TCCAATAGGTACTCTCCTAAAGAGAGAAACTACCTAAATTAAAGTAATATATCTGTTAGGACATTTAGTATAAAATTAAGATTTAAGCGGGAGTTGGCAAATCGGGATGGGATAAAGACTTGTACCTTTCTATTTCTATATAGGGGTTCTTGATTCTTATAAAATCATCTGATACACTAACCAAACTGAAGATTTCTAGGTTTTGGTTTGTTTCGATTACCAGTCAACAGCCCTATTAAGTGATAAAGCTCTCTTTCTCCTTTCACAATTCCTGTATAGACAAGCGTTAAATGCTAGCCAACTGGATCTTAGCAAAATAAATTTAACACTTAATTCAAATTGAACAGGAACTTAATTTTAATTTATTACTAAATTAAATTTTAATATGTCATCAACAAATTATATCAATGAAACATTAGAAGAAATAAGAGAGAATGAGAACCCTAAAAATTTCGAAGATTTAAGTGATATTGAAGAAAATAACGAAGAAATTAAAGTAAAGAATCAACAAGTTGAGGTGAATAAAAATACAAATTTAAAAATTCGAAAATTTTCAACAAAAACTAAACGGAACCTCAACCCAACTCCAACAGAATGTAGTATCTGTGAACGTATGGCTAGTGGCTATATTTTTTATGGAGTAATTTGTTGTGATGGTAGATTTAAATGTTTGAAGTCTGAATTAACATAGATATTGTTTTCAGGCTGTAAACACTTTTTTCACCGTTGCATTACTTCAAAAAACAAATATAAATGTGAAAAAGATGGGAACTGTAATTTGTCTAACAGTAATATTTTTCAATTAAATTAAGCTTATAAGGGATGGGTCGGGTTGCCAGATACCCGAAACCTGGTTAAGTCGAGGTATATAGACATGGAGACCATTTTAGGAATTTGCTGTACTTATTAGTGCTCTTTCGCTAGTGAAGCTAATTAATATAGCGGGGTAATTATTTAAGAATTATGTTAAAGGCAGTTCAGTGACGAACCCCAGCATATCGGAATAAACAATTTCCTCATATCCGCTTTGCTTATTTAGAAGGGAAACATAATATCTAAAACACTAATTAAAGATAAAAATGTCTGCAAAAGTTGCCGTTTCGATAAATGCATATTAAAAGGAATGTATATTCAAACAACAAAAGGAAGGCAACCCGAAAAGGTTTTGGAAATACAAACAATGATTCAAAATAAACGTAGAGAGCTTGCTAGTAAAGGAAAATATGTTCAAGGAAAATTTAATAATTGTGCTGGTGAAGAGTTAAATTTTGTTGATTTGGTAGAATATAATTATACTTATTAGACCGTTCTCGTTCCCCTTATTTTAAAATATACTGGGGGCGTATTTTAAAATTTTATTTAGTCAATCTCTTGCGTCCTCTTCAATCAAAATTCTCCTCTGATCCAAAAACTATGTTGCTTTTAAGACAAATTTCAAAATAACTTTTGGGCAATCTATTTCGGTTATACCGTATTTTCTCGATTAATTCCCCTCCCTCGAATGATTCCCCCTATCGATTAATTCCCCATCTCGATTAATTCCCCATGCTAGAGTTGGGTTGAAACAATAATTCCCCACCCCCAAATACCCTACTGCACGTTCAAATGCCAAAACTCGAATAATTCCCCTCCCTCAATTAATTCCCCATGCCAAGGAAGGGTTGAAAAAATAATTCCCCGGAAGAATTAATCGAGAAAATACGGTATGTGTGTATGATTGAAAATAAATAACCCAGCATCGGGTTGGATGATGGCACAGTCACTTGTGCTTCGGTTTGGGTCCTTTCCGTGGGCTCCCGGAGATTTGGGGAGTGGACACTTGGGGAGTGGACACTTGGGGAGTGGACATTTGGGGAGTAGATAAATGGGGAGTGAGCGGACAATTGGGGATTGGACATTTGGGGAGTAGCCTAACGATAAAAATACAATAGAATATTAAATAGTTTTTATTGCTTTCGTATTTAAAAAATGGATATAGGGCAGTTCACCGAAGGAAAAGTTTGGGACGTGACGTATGTCATTCGATTCGTCTCGGCGAGCTGAGTCGAAGGACTACTCCCAATTTCAGGAAATGGTTCTGGACCGAGTTATAGGTTCCTAGAAATTGAAAAACCATAGGGAAGCTCGATTTTGGGGTGAAAAATTAATATGCAAGTAATAGTTCATTCGAAATAGCTCCTCGAGCTGAGTCAAATGACACTAAAATTAGCTTGATTGAACAAATTTAAGTCGAGATATAGGGCTCGAAATGGGCAAATACCATTGATGGGATTCTAGGGTCAAAAATTCGAAAATATGCTTTTCGAGAGATTCCTAATTTGTTTTTTAAATACAAACTATTTAATATTCTATTGTATTTTTATCGTTAAGCTACTCCCCAAATGTCCACTCCCCAATTGTCCGCTCACTCCCCATTTATCTACTCCCCAAATGTCCACTCCCCAAGTGTCCACTCCCCAAATTTCCGGACACGTTTCCGTGATTGTTTTATTCCATCTCCCATCCAATGAATTTTTCCACAGCATGAACATTATATCTATAATATTCTAGCAAAAGTCATTAATCGCTGCTCAAAACAAACAATTTCTTGATTATCTTCTAACTGTCCAGCAAAATGCTTGTCGTACTAAAAATTCAGGGATTGATGAATGCCATTACAATTCTTCGTGTAATTCTCTAGCTTCATTGCTTACGCGTAAAGAAAATTTAATTGCTATAAAACACGAAAATGTCTGTTGGAATTTGAAAAAACAAAACAAATTTTTTTATAAATTTAAAGATTGGAATGAGAACATATCCAAAATCTGGTCGTGATCCTATGGAAGGATTGCTTGCCTTTACTTCGCTACCAAAATTTCTTACGGATCCATTGTTAATAATTGTTGATACTGCAAGAACTATGCCTTTTTTCGATAAATTGGATTTATCTGATAAGGTGATTAATAACTTAATCGATCAGAGCTATAAAATCCCACTTCGAAACGAAACTCGCTCTTAAAATAAATGTTAGAAAGGTACAAAATAGCTAAACAACTTGATCTGCCCTTTTAATTAGTGTTGCAGCCTTCTCTGTTTTTAACGATAAGCCCTCCCTAATAGGTCCTTTTTTGCTCCTTTTGTGAGAGGCCATGTCCCTTTTTGGTGATTTGTAAAGGACCACCCTGATCTAGAGAAAAGGTCGGGTTCAAAGGAAGTGGCGATTACATCTTGATTCGAAGATTTATGTATTATGATTGTTATTATTAAGATTATTCAAATCACAACAATCACTTTGCCGACTTTAGCACTACATTCTGGGTATTATTGCAGTAGAAAATTATCCGAAACTGTTGTTTCGCCGCAAGGAGTTCCAATTAAAAGTGTTTTCTGTTCAAATATTTACAAAGAAGACATGACGTAAATTTTTTATTTTTTGATTAATCCTTTATTTTTTTTGTGTTAGGATAAACAAATTTCTCAAAAAATTATTTGACGACTCTATGCCGCTATTTAATCGAATTCAGCTAAACAATGAAGAATTTGTTCTCCTTCGCGCTATAATTAATTCTCAGTTTGCCTTAGGTGATTTAAGTCGACATGGCCGAGAATTATTACTAACTGAGGCAGAGAAATATTCTGATATATTGATGAAAATGTTACAGGTGTTTTAACTTATTTTAAAAAATACTAAGGTTTCATAAAAATTTTCAAAATGTCAATAAAAATTGAAAATTTTGACCATTTTTGGCAAAATTTTTCAAAAAATGAAGAAATATGGACCAAAATATGCGAAAATTCCTGCAAATATGCACGAGAGTGCCGAAATATTCAAATATATGCATTAAGAACCGTGTCTAAAGTATCTATCCCAATTCTTATCAATAAATTTTAACTCTGCGTTTAATGTTAAAAAATATTCTATTTAAGAATCACTATGGACCATTTGCGGGTGCTAAAAGATATGCAGAATTGCTTCATTTAGTTGAATTTTGCTTTAACTGTGGAAACAACCATTGCCTTTTTCTAAATTATCTGGCTTATGTAACCGATAGGGGTTATTTCCATAACTCAATGCCTGAAGCACTTCTTAATCTCTGTCTTGGTTGCAAAACTTGAAATTATATTTACATCCGAAAGGGATAAAGAAACTTCTACTCACAAAAAACGAAAATTTTATACACGATTCTAAACGATTCTAATTTTTATTGTTTCTCAAGGGGCTGAGCTTAGTCTCTATCTAATTTTTATTTATATCAATCATTATTTCTTTAATATTTTCTTTAAAGTTGGATCACTTTCCATTTTAATTTAACATTTTTTTGTAGAGACTATAGAAGCACGTGTAAAGTATATAGCTATTTATTTCCCAAGGCTGTGCAATAGGCGGCGTGGTGTAATGGATAATAAATGGCTGCTTTACTCTAGATTTAAGCTTTTAAATCTAGGTATATGTAATTTTATTGTAAGGGGATAAGTGTAAAAACAGCTAGGATATAGCTATTTCTCACCTTCAGCTAGTGCAAAAGGTTATTCGGCGGCTGGGAGCGAACCAGCATCTTCAGTAGACCGGACTGATGTGTTAACCATTACATCACGCCGCCTACTGCACAGCCTTAGGAAATTAATAGCTATATTCTTTACAGTGTTAGGTACGAGACGATAATTTTATGGCATTATTTTTCAAAATATTTGCTTCTAATCTTGATCAAAAGGTTTAGAAAGTTACATTTTAATAATAAAAAAAGTAATAAAATAATTAATTTTAATATTATTATAGGTAGTAATAATTAGAGTTCGAACTTTTCAAAATGCCGGGCCCGGGACCCGGTTTTTTTTTCTCAAAATCGCACCCGGACCGGTTTTTCCGGATAAAACCGGAAAAACCGGTTAGCCCGGAAAAACCGGATTTTTTTAGACCCGGGCCCGGACCCGGTTTTTTCTAAATTTATTAAAAACATTAAAAAATTATTTATTTTTTCAAAAAATATTATTTGCAATTAAAAAAACTGCATCAACAATAATCAATATTTATAATTTATTTGTGGTAGTGACTTATTCAAAAAAATCAATTTTTCAGCTGTTTCTGGACTTAATTTACTCCTTCGATAGTCGAAAACATCACGTGCAACATTAAATGTAGCTTCGCTGGGAACGCTTTGTAGCTTCCTTTGTTCAACCAAACGTTCTAACATATATAAACAAGAATTCCACCTCACGCTTACTTCCTAAAACCATTTTTAGGTTATTTTTATTTTTTCTTAATTTTTAAAAACCTGTAAAAGAGAATGTGAAGGCGTATCAAACATTTCTTGCAAATTCTTAAGAGATTCAAAAGCTTTATTACTGTGTTTGTATCTGCCAACTATCGATCGACATTGTTTTAAAATCTCGTTAAGATCATTGTCACATTTAAGAGCTTCCTTGATACAAAGATTCAGAAGATGTGCAGCACAATTGCAATGATTAAATGGAAGTAATGGCAAAAGATCATCACCTACAGTGTTGAACGCCTTAACTTAAAATTAATTGTATTTAGTTCTTTAGATTTATACCGATTTCATATTAGATGCCCCATCAGTTATTGCTGCAAAAACTTTATTAGGTTCGATACTCCAATCGTTTAGAATTTTTCTTATAAGGTTGGCAATTGCTGATCCAGAATGAGTACCAGGAAAGTGACAAATTGATAGACTATATGAATTCAGATGCCAATGAGAGGTTATCCAATGTGCTGTCAGGCTATTTTAAAATCGTTTATAAATCGTTTAAAATCGTTTTCAAAATACCAAAAAAAGTTATCTGTTGGGCCAGACCATGCATCACATGTTATTGAAATTTTTGATGAACTCGAGAGCTCATTAATAATTTTTGATTTAACTTTAGTGTAAACATTGCTGAGTTGGTTTCTATCAAGTTTAATTAATTAAATAACAGTAAAACATAAAATATACCTATAGAACGTGTCTGATTTTGGTTCATTTGGATATACCAATGATTTGAAACTTGAATGATTTACAATATTGAAGCTGCTATTTGTTGTAGCAATAAAATTGATTACTTTCTTATCAAAAGAACACATCGTTCCTAAATTTAGTAAAAGGAAATATTTTTAATAAATGAGAATTACCGCTGGAAGAAGGCAAACAATCAATTATTTTTGGTTGTTTCTCCTTAGCTTTACTTTCTTTTTCTTCTAATGCTAAGTATTTTGCAGCATACTCTGAGTTAGAATGAAGAGACGAAAAAAGATGAGTTTTCAATGACTTAACTGTTCCTTTTGATAATTCAAATTCATATTTTTGTTTTCCTGTTGCTTTACATTCAATACATTCTGCTTTTGTACTTGAAATTTTTTTAAAAAGACCGATATTCCAAATTAAGCTCATATTTATCAGTACTAAAATGTAAGATTATGTATTTACTTATTCCCCATGCAGAGTTATTGAAATTAAAACGAGAGAATGGTAGAGAAAGAAATTTAATGAAAAAAAAACAAAATGCCAAAAAGATAAAAGGCTAAAATTATAAGCAAATGACTTCGTCAAAAAGACTCCGGGCCCGGTAAAAATTACCGGGCCCGGGACCCGGTTTTTTTACACAAAACCGCACCCGGGCCGGTTTTTCCGGTTAAAACCGGAAAAACCGGTTAGCCCGGAAAAACCGGATATTCTCAAAAATACCCGGTTCCGGGCCACCGGGCCCGGAAAAAACCGGTCCGGGCCCGGCCCGGGTTCGAACTCTAGTAATAATAAACAATTTTTTGAAAAAAATATTTTAAATACTTGTTTTTAAAAAAAAGTTTCGTTTTTCCTTTTTATTTAAAGAAAATATTTTTCTCTTTAAAAACTACTAATAAGAATGTTTAAACAAAAATTTAAAATATTTTTAATATTTATTTTTCTGTTCATTTTTTGCATTAAAATAAAAGCAGATTTAATACCCTCAGCAGATGAATGTCAAAAACAAATAAGTAATGGAGGGACATATGATCATTATGGATGCCAGTATGTTGGATAAATTTGATAATTTTAAAATTAAAACAACCAGACTTCTATTACAGGGTTTCGATCTCGAGTTTTTAAAAATCCGCAATTTTGATCGAAAAAATTCGCATTTTATACTATGATAAATCAGCAAAAAATTATGAAACAAAAATTGAATTAAAATCACTTTATGCGTTATATTTTATAACTTCTAATAACACAAGTGAATCTGAAAAATCATACCTTTAATTATGCAATAAATTTTAATTGCATAATGCCGAACAAATTTTAAACGGGATTTATCTAGTATTGGGTGTATTTGCAATAAAAGTTATTTGAGCTGAGTTTTGGAAATTTCAAATAATTTAAAATAATTTTTGAATAGGTAATTTTAAATTGACATGTCTATAAAAAGGTGTCTAATCAAAATTCCAATCATGCCATACTTAAATAAAATTAAAATTATTAAAAAAATTATTTATTTGCAGTATAATTCAATAAAAATTCCCATTACGTTTAGTTGCACTGGAGGAATAGGTTCTCACGCTGTACCTGTAGACGAAATTGACACGTTATTTTTTTTAATTTTTAATAATTGTTTTATTATTTGTTGACTTGAATAACTATAAATTCCCATCCAATAAGAATTGGATGGGATAATAAGAACAGATCAACTTTATATGTAGATATTTATATGTGAAAATGCAAATTGTTTATTTGATTAAGCAATTAGCAGCAGATATCTAAAATTTAATCTTCATCTCGATATAGATGTTGTGCTGACATGGAGAAATGTATTCTCCCTTTCTATATGAAAGGGACATGTGATAGAATTTCATCAGCAGATTATTACTATTTTGACAATGATACTTGTTCAACTTTTTATGAACGTTGTTCTCATGCAAATGAATGTGGAATTGGTTTATGTAAATGCTTCAAGTAATAGATACATAGTACAGTATTTACTCGATTAATTCCCCTATGAAATTATTTTTTCAACCCATCAGTGGCATGGGGAATTATTCAAGAGAGGGGAATTATTCGAGTTTTGAAATTTGAACGTGTAGTAGGGTAGTTGGTGGAGGGGGATTATTGTTTCAACTCATCCGTAGCAGGGGGAATTATTCGAGAGAGGGGAATTATCTGAGGGAGAGGAATTAATCGAGTAAATACGGTACACCCTTTACAAAATATTTTGCCAACTTAAAATTTAAAATTTTTATTGAAGGTCATTTGTTGGCTGTTTTATTCCTTTGCCTATTCCAAGGGCAAGGAAGCTTTGTACAATAGAATTGAATACAAATAAAAGTAGCTAAAAAATAAATATTTTATCAAGTTAAAAAATGATTAATTAAGCAATTCGAGCTACTAAAAATTCCATTCGATCGGCATTTTCTTTGTTTTCTGATTCTATTACAAATTTTGGAAAGAAAGATTTTACTGAATTAATGAAAGATGAAAATTCTAAATAAAATATTATTAAATTTAATTTTTAAATATTTTAATAAATAAATATTTTAAATAAAATATTTTAGAAAATAATATTTAGATAATTTTAATTTTTTGAATTAACCAAGGATCTAGCCGACAAAGAAAAATTAATTTCAGATTCGGAAATCGGAGAAAAACGGTGGAAGTTTACGATTTGCAGCAATTTCTGAATTTTTTATATCAGAAATTCCTGCAATAGTCATAAGATAAAGAAGGATACCACAATATAAGTATGTAGCTCTTAGTCTTAAAACCTTAACTCAAGACTTATACTATATAATAAGTGGAAAGCAAAAGCTTTTAAAACGACAACTCTAAAGCATTTTTCTGATTTTAATTGATAAATCTCAAAAATTAGGCATTTTTAGAATTTAATGGGTAAATTTGAGAAACAAATTTGAGAAACAATTTTCTTTTTACTTTTTATTTTTTTAGCTTACGCAGAGATATATAGCATTAAATATTCTCAGTATAATAGGTATATGGATTGGAAATATATTTTACATAGTATTCCGCTAGCTTACGTATTCATCCCTCTTTATTACTAAATTATTTTTTCTATAAAGCATAAATCTGACAGGATGTGCAAACATTTAAATATTTTATTTTAATAATTTTAAAGCATTTTTAAATTAATTTAATTCAAAATTTCACATTAATATCTAAAAATATTTAAAAAGAGATATTTAATTTATTTCATAAAGGTTTTTAATTTTAAATAAGTGTCCTTAATTAAATTGTGATAGCTACTATGACACATCCGATAAATTAAGATTTAAGCAAAAGTTTAGCAATCGACATGTAATCGAATCAGCGATCTTTCTAATTTGGGAGCGGCTCTTGGAAAATCTTCGATATCTGGAACCGATTCCAAAATTCCCGGTTCATCAGTTCGGTTTGGTCCCGAACCACCAACTCTATTAAAGAGAGAAAGTTTCTTTCCCTTTTAATTCAAGACTTAATTCAAATTGTTTGAGCAGGAACTTAATTTTAATTTAACAAAATTAAATTTTAATATGTCATCAATAAATTCTAACAGTGAAAAATTAGAAGAAATAAGAGAAAATGAGGACCATAAAAATTTAGAAGATGGAATTGATATTGAAAAAAATAACGAGGAAATTAAAGTCGAGAATCAAGAAGTTGAAGAGGATACAAAGACAAATTTAAAAATTCGAAAAGTGGCAACAAAAACTAAACGCAACTTCAACCCATGTCCAGCAGAGTGTATTATATGTGAACGTATAGCTAGTGGATATCTCTTTTATGGAGTAATTTGTTGTGATGGTAAATTTAAATGTTTGAAGTTTGAATTAATATAAATATTGTTTTACAGGCTGTAAACACTTTTTCAATCGTTGTATTACTTCAAAAAGCAAATATAAATGTGAAAAAGATGGGAACTGTAATTTGTCGAATAGTAATTTTTTATACTAATTAATAGCTTTCGAAAACCAAGAAGCCAGATTCGTTACTTTATAAGCGCCATCTCGAATATTTTAACAGTATAGAGAAAAATATGGATGACTATTATAGGAAATTTACTTTACTTGTTATATAACCTTTGTTATTTGGATTATGATGATAATTACCGTATTTACTCGATTAATTCCCAACTCTCAAATAATTCCCCACCCTCTATTAATTCCCCATCCCGTGGATAGGTTGAAAAAATAATTCCTCGGGGGAATTAATCGAGTAAATACGGTAAGTGCTTTTCAATGACTAATCATAGAAATAGCCCATGTTCCATGGTCACTCGATAGCACACCTGAGTTAGGCGGTTACTGGAAATATAATCTAAAAAACTAATTAAAGATATTAATGTCTGCAAAAGTTGCCGTTTTGATAAATGCATATTAAAAGGAATGTATATTCAAACAACAAAAGGAAGGCAACCCGAAAAGGTTTTGGAAATACAAACAATGATTCAAAATAAACGTAGAGAACTTGCTAGTAAAGGAAAATATGTTCAAGGAAAATCTAATAATTGTGCTGGTGAAGAAACAAATTTTGTTGATTTGGTAGATTATTATTTTGTAGGGGGTATAAATTTTGTTTTGCCTAGCACTAGCTTCCTCTTTTCTCCTAGCCCTAGCCTCCATTTAGATTGAAACGATAATTACCGTATTTTCTCTAAAATAGCCCCCGGGGGTTATTTTTTTCGACGGCCTTTAGATGATTGCTATTTGGGGGGAGGTAATTTATTTGATGTCTAAATTTTTTAAAAATTAAAATTTTTTTACCAAATTTTGAATAATATTTTGCTAAAATTTAATTGAATTCATCACAATCTAAAAGTCTCTTAACAAAAATCACAGCCCAAAAACTTCCACTCCTCAGTCGATAGAACCATCCTAGACCTCGATTAAGGTTCGAGATACTTAATTAAGAATTTATTTTAGCTTATAATCCCACTTGTATATACTTCAGCTAAGTCCCTAAAGATTAATAATATTAAAAGGGATTGGATTAAGATGCTTATCATGGCACCGCTATCCCTTAATCAATCATAATCCCTTTATATCCCTCCAAATCCCCGATATCCCCCATAATCATTTCTAATCATATTGAAATATAGGGAATAAACAGTGCTGTGCTTTGAAAAAATGGCAAAAACAGTTTAATATTTTATGGGGGGGGGGGGCAACTTTAGAGAGGGATATTTTAGGGGGGCTATTTTAGAGAAAACACGGTATTTTAATAATGTAACCATCTAAATCAATGTCTAACATCCCATCTTTTGAGGTCAATAACTTTTAATTACGAATTCTTATGAAAATATTTTAGCAAAAATCACTAATCGCTAGACAAAATACACTGTTAATCGACTATTTACTCACAATAGAGCAACATGCTTGTCGTCTTAGAGATTCCCCCATAGAAATTGGAGATTTTCAATACAATTCTTCGTTAAATTCTCTTGCTACATTACTTACGCGTAAAGAAAATTTAATTGCAATGAAACCCGAATATGTGGTTTGGACTTAAAAATAGGACAAAAATTTTCGTTTTTTAAAGATTGGAAAGCAAAATTTTCTAGCACCTGTTTTCAATCCAAACAAGGGTGTCTTTTCTAGTCGACAAAAGCCTTTAATTTATTTTTTGCTTATGATAGTTGATACTGTAAGAACTATGCCTTTTTTTGATAAATTGGATTTGGCCGACAAGGTTGTCGATCAGGGCGATAGAATCTCTTCAATATTTAAATTTTATAAAGATTTGTTTAATCAAAACAATCACTCTGCCGCTTAAAACATTTCATGCTGCCTATTATTCAAGTTTAAAAAAATCTGAAACTGTTGTTATGCCGAATGAATTGCCAGTTCGGAATATTTTCAAAGCAAATAAAATTTACAAAGAAGACGTGACGTAAATTTATATGATTTTTAATGTAAAGCAGCTGGGCTATAGCTATTTCTCTCCTTTAGCTATTGCAAAAGGTTAATCGGCGGCTGGGAGCGAACCAGTCTTCAGTATACCGGACTGTTAGCCATTACACCACGCCGCCTCTGCATAGCCTTAGGAATTAAATAGCTATATGCTTTACACCTCCTCCCCCAGGGAAGACTGTCCCTAGTCTTCTTATCACATGCGCGGTAAACTAAATCATCGCCTTCTCTGGCGGAATTTCCATTCTCTAACCCAGGGCCCATACACATCGCCTGGTCTACTGAAGATGCTGATTTGCAACCAGCCGCCGAATAACCTTTCGCATTAGCTAAAGGAGAGAAATAGCTATAGCCCAGCTGCTTTACTTTAATTAATCCTTCATTTTGAATTAGGATAAAGAAATTTGTAAAAAAATTATTTGACGATTCTATGGGACCATTCAATCGACTGCAACTCAGCAAAGAAGAATTTGTTCTCCTTCGCGCTATAATTTCATCAAATTTTATCTCATCTGATTTAAGTCAGTATGGCCGACAATTATTACTAACTGAGGCAGAGAAATATTCTGATATATTGATGAAAATGTTACAGGTGTTTTAAATTGTTTATAAAATTCTAAAAAATTTCGCCTGCGTTGAAAAGAGATGAAAATGGATATAGAGGGTACACTCTGTCATAAAATTAAAAGCACTTCCTAGTAAAATATTCTATTTTAGAATCACTATGGACCATTTGCGGGAGCTAAAAGATATGCAGAATTACTTCATTTAATTGAATTTTGCTTCAACTGTGGAAACAATCACAGCCTTTTGCTAAATTATATGGCTTATGTAACAGATCCGGATTCTTTCCATAAATCGATGCCTGAGGCACTTGTTGATCTCTGTCTTGGTTGCAAAACTTGAAATTAGATCTATGTTGTTTCTCTTGTGGTGAGACCACGAAGAACTTCCTTTCCTTCGGGATTTCTTTTTATTTATTTGTTCTAATTACCTAATCATTATTTTTCTATTACCCATTTTAAATTATACCTATTTACTAAAATAGTACATACGGAAGTACTATTTTTCAACCCTCCTCTATAATTTTTTTAAACCCTTGATCACTTCTAATCCTTCTATATCCCTCCATGGGGACTCAACTGAGGGGACACAACAATTAATCAACAATTAAAAATTTTATTGGGGAGGGAGCTTATTTTAGGGGGGGTCTATATACGGGAGTACCTCTTTACTTATTTTTCAACCTTCCAACATCTTTTGGCCAAACTAAATTTATGAACGTTTATAAAATATTTTTTTGAATTATAAAATTTATTCTTTTTATTTTTATTTTTTTTCGGTGTATGGTGAGATAGCAAAGATTACAAGATATTACAGTAATTCTTTAAAAATTATTTCATTAAATTTCTTGGTTTAATTTTTAAATATATGGATTGGAAATATTTTTTAGTATTCGGCAACCTTACGTATCTATTCTCTTTTATTAAATTAATTTTTTCGTAAAGCATAAATCTGGCAGGATGTGCAAACATTTAAATATTTTATTTAATAATTTAAAGCATTTTTATTTTTTAAATCAATTTAAAATTCCACATTAATATATAAAAATATTTTAAAAGAAATATTTAATTTATTTCCTTAAAAAACTTTCAGTCCAGGTTTCTAATTTTATATGAGGTAATTAGGGTGTTACAAAGGTTCTGTCGGTTTAGCATGTTTTTCGATGAATACTTAATGGATATGGATGTTCTATATACCATTCAAAAGCTTAATTCGTATTTCGTTTGACATGTTTCAGCGTTCTTTTAAAAATTTTAAAATTTCTGAGATATAAAATGGTAAATGGACAGAACTTATGTATGTAACACCCTAAATAGGTAAATGTCCTAAAAGAAGTCTGTACGTTTACTTTCTAAAATAATATCACTAATGGGCTTCTATAACTACAGGACATATACAACAAATTAAGATTTAAGCAAAAGTTTAGCAAACGAGATGGAATCGAGTCAGGGATCTTTCTCGTTTGAGAGTAGTCTGGAAAATCTTTGATATCAGGAACTCATTCGGTTCGGTTTTGAACCAACAACTCTATTAAAGAGAGAAAGGTGAGAAAGGTCTTTCTCCAGGGCTCTCATTCGTGCTTTATTTGAAAGTATTATACTTTGAAACCGACCTCCATACTTAAGAAATTGAATTTATACTTTATTGAAAGTATATACTTTAAAATCAACATTTTGGATTGAAAATGAAATTGGGGAAGGGATTGGGCAAAAAAGTGAATTTTTTTAGCCTTGGGCCTTCGAAATTATCAAAATTTTCGCCTGCGGCGCTGAAAAAGAAAGAAATCTGGCTTCTTGGGCTCCAAATTTCAAAAAATTTTCGCCTGCGGCGCTGAAAATGGGAGAAATCTGACTACTTGGGCTCCAAATTTCAAAAAATTTTCGCCTGCGGCGCTGAAAATGGACGAAAGCTTGAGGTTAAGACTGTCAGGGCTTTATTTCTTGTATCAGCGAATTTTGACATGTCATGCGTTGAAATGCACAAAATGCCCAATGGAAGCAAGAAATTATTAGAAAAGATTCATTTAAGAGAGAAATATAAAAGATTTGAGCACGAACAAATATTTTCCAATTTAATTTTGAGTATACTTTAAATTTGGAAATTTTCTCCCTATATACTTTTTTATCAAGATTTTGATACTTTTGAGTGGCATTTTGTCGATGAGAGCCCTGTCTTTCTCTATCTCTTTTAATTCGAATTGTCTTTTAGGACCTTAAATTTAATTTAACTAAATTGAATTTTAATATGTCATCAACAAATTATAACAATGAAACATTCAATGAACTAATGGAAAATGAGGGCCTTCGAAATTTGGAAGATTCAAATGATATTGGAGGGAATAACGAAAAAATTAGAGTTGAGAATCAAATGATTGAGGAAAATAAAAATTTAAAAAATCGAAAACAGTCAACAAAGCCTAAACGCAACCTCAACCCAATTCCAACAGAGTGTAGTATCTGTGAACGTATAGCAGCTAGAGGATATCTCTTTTATGGAGTAATTTGTTGTGATGGTATAAATTTAAATGTTTATATTTGAAATTTAAATATTGTCTTACAGGCTGTAAACAATTTTTCAATCGTTGTATTACTTCAAAAAACAAATATAAATGTGAAAAAGATGGGAACTGTAATTTGTCTCATAGTAAAATTTGCACTTATATTTGCACCACATTACTAACAAGGGGAATGGGATGTACCATCTCGAGTATTTTAGCAGTATAGAGAAAAATATGGATGACTATTTTAGGAAATTTACTGTATTTGTTAGTATTATACGCCTTTCCTATTTGGATCATGCCTGATGATTAAGTGCTTTCAATGACTAATCATAGAAATAGCCCATGTTCCATGGTCACTCGATAGCTCACCTGAATTAGGCGGATTTCGGAAAATCCCCGAATATTCGAACCAAAAATATAATATTATCTTAAAATAACTAATTAAAGATATAAATGTCTGCAAAAGTTGCCGTTTCGATAAATGCATATTAAAAGGAATGTATATTCAAACAACAAAAGGGAGGCAACCTGAAGAGATTTTGGAAATACAAACAATGCTTCAAAATAAACGTAGAGAACTTGCTAGTAAAGGAAAATATGTACAAGGAAAATCTAATAATTGTGCTGGTGAAGAAGTCAATTTTGTTGATTTGGTAGATTATTATTTTTTAGGGGGTTCACGTATAAATTTTATTCCTCTTTAATTCAAAGTAGAGTACATCCGAGTCGAGCGACTCGGACTCGAACTCGCTCGACTCGGGTTTTTTGTCTTTACTCGGGCTCGGAACTCGGGATCCTAATACTCGGCATTACTCGTACTCGGAAACTTCTTACTCGACTGATCGGTTAAAACCGAGTATCTATCTACGGCGCAAAAAGGAAGGAAGGAATTTTGGGAAAAAGGAAGAAATTTTGCTCCTTTACCTTCTAAATTTCTCAAAATTTTCGATTGTAGTTCTGAAAATGAAGACTTATGTTATATCGAGGATTTGAATGGAGTTGGGTGGATTTTAGTGATATCCGGATATTTCAAGGGATCTAAGATATAGTGAAGAATTTGGCCTTCAGTAACTTGGGTTTTCCTACTTGGCCTTTAGAAATTCTCAAAATTTAAGCCAGCGGAGCAAAAGAGAGGGACTTCGTACCAAAATTCTAGTACGAAGTACGATTACGATGAACTACAAATATTTGGATTTTTCTGTCTCTCCGGCATATTAGATTTTCAAAATTTTTGCCTTCATCAACTAGGCATCGGAAAATCACAAAAAATTTTAGATTTTTGTCTCTTTTCTTAAGCTAAAATTTAGGTCAAAAATAAGGATAGAACGAGGTATTTCGAAGATAACTATTTTGTTAATTACCAATTTTTATAAAAAAATATTTCAGCAAAAATCATTAATCGCTAGACAAAATACACAATTACTTGACTATTTACTCACAATAGAGCAACATGCTTGTCGTATTAGCGATTCCCCTATAGGAATCAAAGATTTTCATTACAATTCTTCGTTAAATTCTCTTGCTACATTACTTACGCGTAAAGAAAATTTAATTGCAATGAAACCCGAATATGTGGTTTGGAATTAAAAATAGGACAAAAAAATTTTTTTTAAAGATTGGAAAGCAAAATGGACCTGTTTTCAATCCACACAAGGGTGCCTTCTCTGTTAAACCAAAACCATTCACGGATCTTTTACTTATAATTGTTGATACTGCAAGAACTATGCTTTTTTTTGATAAATTGGATTTGGCCGACAAGGTGATTAAATTTGTCGATCAGGGCTATAAAGCCTCTGAATTACGACGGATACTCTATAGTTAACACACCAATCTACATATATTTTGGCAAAAAATAAAATTTCTAAATCTAATTAAAATAAATGATTTTTCTTCAAAATAGGGAGAAATGAAAAAAATGAGAAGGGTAGTGTCGGCGATGTCGCTAACACGTAACTGAGGGGTGGTTACCTTTTTAAATAACGCCCCAGAACTATAAATCCCCCTGAATGACTACCAAATGTAAAAATAACATAAAAGTCCCATCAATGTTGTGCATCCAAAAAATCGTATCTTATATGAGGTATGTCTTAGATATTGGATGTGGATGGATTACTGAAACGTTGACTCTATAGAGAGTCGAATTACTTAAAAGTAAAGAAAGTTTATATTGTATTTAAATTTTATAAAGATTTGCCTAATCACAACAATCGCTCTGCCGCTCATAACATTTAATTCTGCCTATTATTCAAGTAGAAAAAAATCTGAAACTGTTATGTTAAGGAATGAACTTCAAGTGCAGAATGTTTTTAAGGGAGATATTTACAAGGGAGACTTAACGTAAATTATAATTTTTGATGCATGTATTTTAACCTCGCATTTTTTAGAGTAAGCAACAGTGTCAAGAAATTACTTGACGATTCTATGGTGCTCTTTAATCGGTTACAACTAAACAACGAAGAATTTATTCTCCTTCGCGCAATAATTTCTTCACATTTTGTCTCATCTGGTCTAAGTCAGTATGGCCGACAATTATTACTAAATGAGGCAGAGAAATATTGTGATATATTGATGAAAATGTTACAGGTGTTTAAATTTTTTACTAAAATATAATTGTCTCCCTTTATTGGGTGCTAGTCGATGTTGGGCCCGAGTGGCCAAACACTCTTGGAACGCCGAATTCAGCAATTAAAAACAAAGCTTTCTTTTATGTTTAACAGCAATAATTTAAGAATGGGAGAGAGACAAGCCGATTTTTAGTCGAGAATTCAAACTCAAAATTGAATTAATTTTACCCATAGAAGCTAGATTTTAGTTGAGATCCTTAAAAATCATATTTGGGATCAAGGCACGGCCATTGAATTTTTCGGAAATTTTTTTGTTCTACGAAATCCTTGTAAATAAATTTTAATCGGCATTTAAGTATATTATTAAAATATTCTGCATATTTCAGAATCGCTATGGACCATTCCTGGGTGCTAGAAGATATGCAGAATTGTTTCATTTAGTTGAATTTTGCTTCAACTGTGGAAACAATCATTGCCTTTTACTAAATTATCTGGCATATGTAACAGATCGAGATTATTTCCATAAATCGATGCCTGAGGCACTTGTTGATCTTTGTCTTAGGTGCAAAACATAAATATATTTAGCTTGTCTTTCTTAAGTCAGTATGGCCGACTGACTTAAGTCAGTATGGTAAGGCCACATGTAATTCCTTTCATAGGAATGTATGCGTTTTTTCATTATATCTTCTAAATTTCGATAAAATCCGTTACTATATTTTTATTTTCTTCTTTAATATTTAAATAATTATGTATATTTAAAAGTTGATTTAATCAATGCAAGAAAAAAAAACACGAAGAACTTCTTTCCTTAGGGAATTTCTTTTTATTTGTTTCTTATATGGTTCGGAATTCAGATTTTTGATGTTATTTCCTTTGAGTTCTGAGTTCCGACTTTTGAGCCAGTTTCCATTTCCGGCTCTTCCGATTTCCGATACCTTGTTGCGACCCCCCTCTGTCTTTTATCTTGTTCGCTTTGTAATATTCTTATTTGATTTAATTTCTTTATTTGATTTAATAAAATCAAATTGGCTCGGTTAATTCATTTTAAAAAGGAGAGAGTTAAACCAAAATGATCCCTTAAGGCTTATCCACTTTTAAATCTTGAAAATAAATCAATTAAGAGCCATTAAATTATATGTAAGAAATAATGCCCCAAAATGATTGCTCGAGAGAGAATTTATTAACGAGGAATTTTAGAGTAACGAGACTGATGCGGGGAGAATCTTGTTTCTCTCTTAAAAAGTTCAATTCAAAAAATGTCTTTAATTCATACATAAATACATACATGTGTAATCTCAGAGGAAAATAAAGGGATATGGGAGCTAGTTCTCGGAGCTATACCCAGTACTGGGCCCTATTTCAATTGTCCACAGATTCTGCGGTCTGCGTTCTGTGCACAGACCACAGAACCACAGAAATTCTGTTTCAATTATTCCACAGATTCTGCGGAAAAAGAAGTCCGCAGATTCTGTGGAAACATGCACAGAATCTGTGGAAACATCCACAGATTCTGCAAAACATCCAAAAACATGCAAAAACCACAGAATTCTATTTCAATTATTTTTCTGTGCACAGAAAAAAATCCACAGATCTGTGGCTTTTTTAGTCGATTCTGTGCATTTCTGTTTCAATTATTTCTGTGGTCTGCGGAAAATACACAGAATTCTTTAAAAAATCCACCCTAAAATTTTTTCTGCGAACTTTCTGTGGAAAAACTTTAACAATTTTTTTCTAGGCCTAGGCTTAACCAAATTTCAAAATTTTTAAAGATTATTAAAGTTTGAATCATTCTCTATTTTTTGATATAAAAATTATAATTTTATTACCTAAAATTATTGCTTAAAATTAATTTTGAAAAAGGTACATCTTTTTTACGCAGTTTTTGTTATATTCAAGCAATAAAAAAATAAAAAACGTGAGAGATTCTGAAATTTAGAGCTATGATGTTCTAATCATCATGGATATCTCTAATGAGGGGATGTTTACCAGGATCTATAGAAGATATCTGTATAGCGTATACTGGGATATCTCCCATGATCTCTCATTGATATCCGTCATAATCTCTCCTCCTATTTAATGATAGATTTCCTCCTTAATCACTCCAATATATTAAACCTCAAAATCAATGGATATCCCACTTAATCACTCCTCTACGATTTTAAAGTTCCGATTTGACTATAATTTTGGATTCCAGGCATTTTCGATTTCCAGGAACCTCAATTTCTGACTAAACAATCCCCAGTTTTGTAACATTTCCCTCCCTTGCAACAACTTCTATCGTAGTTTGAAAAAGCCACATGTCGGATCGACATCTCCTGATTTTTCCGATCCGAACCCTGCTTTAGGACATTAATTTAATTGGAGATTTAAGGATATTGGATGAACAAGAAAATTAAGCGGTATATCAGCGGTTTTAAAGTGATATCAAAGAGATTTAAAGGGATGTTATGTGATTTGGAGGGAAAATTTTTAAATCTTTACAATATTTTTCAGTTTAATTTAAGAATTTTTAAAGTTTTACTTCAAAAAATCAGGTACCATTAATACTGCGGTAGTACCGAACTGTCCAAACCATTTTTCGTTTCAATAAAACTGTTATTTTCAAAAACGCGGAAATAAAAAATTTGAATTTAGAAGAAAAAATACACAGAACCACAGAAAAATAATTGAAATACAAATTCTGTGGATCAGTGGAAAAAATCCACAGATTTTTATATTTTCCACAGAAATTTTCATCCACAGAATCTGCGGAATGTTTCCACAGAATCATTGGATGTTTCCGCAGAATCTGCGGGCACCACAGATTCTGTGCACACAGAATTTAATTGAAACAGAATTTCCACAGAATCTGTGTTCTGTGCACAGAATGCAGAATCTGTGGACAATTGAAATAGGCCCCTGAAAGGAGTTTGTATGGGGACAGTAACTTTTGTCATTTTTCGACTTTTGAATGTATATTTTTGTAAGATAGTCTATAAGATGTTTAAGATATCATATCTCACACTTATATGCATAGATGACACCAAACCTTCAGAGATACATATAATAATTTCAAAGGATCCCATTTAGAGCCGTGTATTCAAAATGAGTTTAAACGAGGATTACTTAATAAGCAAAAGAGTTAAAGCATTTTTAATATTTATTTAGGAGGTCTCGAATTTTCTGTCTAGCTTCTCGAGAAAAATTTTATTTTAAATTAATTTTCGAGAATTAATCTTTCCCTTGCTTAAATTTTGAAATTATTTAATTTTATAGCTTGTGATTAATTTTATTTAGCCTGTCATCCCTGGTAGTATTTTATGATAATAAATTAAGAAGGATTTTTAGTTTTACTCACTTAATTGCTTTAATTTTTAATTTAAATATTTTTAAAATATTAATTATTGGGGCTGACATTAACAACAGACACATTAAAGCCAGACCCAAACGGAGTTTTACCAATGAAAATCAAAGCTTTTATTAAGCTTTATTCTGAATAAGTAAGAGGAAGAAAGGTAAACAAATAATGAAATAAGGGATTCTCTCTTTTATTAAATTTTTTCGTAAAGCATAAATCTGGCAAGATGTACAAACATTTTAATTTAATTTATTTTATTTTAATGATTTTATATTTAGTTTTATTTAGAATCCATATAAAATTTTACATTGATATTTTTCACTTAAAAAATTTGTGCAATAAATAATTTCCTTTATTCCAAAATCATTTGTTTAGACCAATGGTTTCCCAGAGGTTTTCCATCCACCTACCCTTCGAGATTCACTTACCCGATAATCTCGAAGAGGAGAAGGATGACATCTCTCTTCCCGCAACCCCTGTTCCACTTAATATCTAACCAGTTTAAGCTTCAATATATAGGAGTTGATATTGGGGTGAATAATTATTAGTGGAGTGATCAACGAAAAAATTAAAGTTCTTCGATGTAGGGTGTCAGACTATACTTGCCTAAATACAACCTTAAAAATTCCCAGGTTTTTCCTTATACATATTTTACAAACTTTGAAGTTTCTTCGAATGAGCCAAAAATTTAAAGCAATACTTAAAGGATGGAAAATATTTTTTAATAGTTTTCCGTTATTGTATACACAAAAGTATTTAATGTCTTTTATTAAATTTTTTCGTAAAGCATAAATCTGACAAGATGAACAAACATTTAACTATTTTATTTTAATGATTTTATATTATTTTTAGTTAAAATCGATTTAAAATTTCTATTTTTTAATTAAAAAATTTGTTAAATAAATTATTTCCTTTATTCCAAAAAATTAACGTTTAAGATTTAGCTTTAGTATATAATTTTTGTTATGAATTTTTTATTGTCCTAAAATAAGCTCTGAATGCTTATTTTAAAAAGGATATCATTAATCAGCTTTTAATAGATGTGCTAAAGTAAATTAAAATATCTATTAAGATATTTCCGATAAATTAGGATTTACGCAATCGGAGTAGAATCTAATTCTGGAACTTTCTTGTTTGAAAATAGAGTTGTAGTTTCTTAGAAAATCATCGGATACCCGGAATCATTCCGAAAAATACCCATTTCTTTGGCTTGATTCAATTCTGAACCAACAACCAGTGCTGGGTATGGCTCCGGGAGCTAGCTCCGGAGCCCGGCTCCGGAGCCGGCTCCGGCGGAGCCGGAGCCGGAGCTAAGATTTTGAAAACCCCGGAGCCGGAGCTGGAGCCGGAGCCAAGAATTTCAAACCCCGGAGCCCGGAGCCGGAGCCGGAGCCAAGGTTTTCCAATTCCCCACGGCTCCGGCTATACACCCCTAAAGATGGGCTAGAGAAAAAGAAGTAAGCAAAGATGGTAGGCGGGAAAAGAAAAGGAAGGGAAAATTGAGACGGGTAAAAAAGATTTTCTTTTCTTTCCTTTATAAAGTAGTTGTGGTTGAATGGATAGTGAGTTAGGTTCCGATTTTATCCGGTTATAGGTTCGAAAAATATTACAAAAAATGATTAAATAATCGTTATTCTTTGGAAAATAAATTATAATAAGCATTTTTTAAATAAATAAAGCTGGATAAATTTTTTAAATTGATTAATTTTAGTCTCCTGTGAGTCAAATTTTTCAAAATTTTCGCCTGCGGCGCAAAAAAGGAAGATTTTTGGCTTAAGGATCTTCCAAAATTCTCAAAATTTTCGCCTGCGGCGCAAAAAGCGAGATAATGAGAGGATAAATCCAACATCTCCTATTCGCCCAACTCCCAGACAACCCAAATCCCCTTAATCCAGCTTAATTCCTCGATATCGCCCTTAATGCACACGATAATCCACCCAAATCCCACTTAATCCATTGATACTCCTCTTAATCCTCTGATATCACTCGACATCCCCCTTTATATACCCAAATCCCCCAATGAAAAATAATTAATTGATTTTCCAGCCGGAGCCCGGAGCCAACATGGAGCGGCTCCTAAAATCGCCGGCTCCGGAGCCAGAGTTGGAGCCGGAGCTAAAATTTTAAAAGGTCGGAGCCCGGAGCCGGAGCCGGAGCCAAGATTTTGAAACCCCGGAGCCCGGAGCCGGAGCCAAGATTTTCATACCCCGGAGCCCGGAGCCGGAGCCGGAGCCAACAAATGGCAAATACCCAGCACTGCCAACAACCCTATTGAGGAGAAAAGGCCCTCTCTCCCCTTTCATAATTCCTGCCTAGGTAAGCGTCAAATGCTAGGCAACTGTATGTTTATTAAATAAATTTAAAATTTAATTAAAATGTTTGAGCAGGACATTAAATTTAATTTATTACCAAATTCAATTTCAATCTACCCAAATGTCATTTACAAATTTTAACAATGAAACAAAAAATGAAATAATAGAAAATGGGGATATTGGAAAGAATAACGAAGAAATTAGAGTTGAGAATCAACAAGTTGAAGAGGATAGACGTGCAAATTTAAAATTTCAAAAACAAACAAAAACTAACCGCAACCTCAACCCAACTCCAAAAGAATGTAGTATCTGTGAACGTATGGCTAGTGGATATTTCTTTTATGGAGTGATTTGTTGTGATGGTAGATTTAAATGTTTGAAGTTTGGATTAATGTAGATATTGTTTTCAGGCTGTAAACACTTTTTTCACCGTTGTATTACTTCAAAAAACAAATATAAATGTGAAAAAGATGAGAGCTGTAATTTGTCATATAGTAATAATATTTTTATAATAATTAATGGATTTAGGTGTATTGGGTGAAGGAATGTTAATGATATTATGTTGAGATAGTATGGAGACTTTTAGGATATAGGTATTTGTTAGTTTAAGCTTTACAGCGTAACAAGAAGGCTGCTTTTGGCGTAGGGGCTCGATCTTTAATCAGGATTTAGCCACTACTAAAAAAAGATGTACAGGGTTAATGCGCACCCAATTTACCCAGTTTTAAAGCGTATCAAATATGGCCACCGTCCTCATTTTATTTGAATCCGTTAGTTACGCCTTTTGGGCATTCGGGAAGCAAGGTTATGCGCTTAAATAACCTAAAAGATTGGAGCGCTTAGGCAATCACTCATACGGGAATGAGAGAAAATCTCATTCAGTGTGATGCTAACTTTTGCCCCAAATTTTTCCACGCGCCTTCAACTCTGTATGTGGGCACTTCGAGGATCTTAATTGTATTTGTTCCTCATGTTAGTTATTTCCTTATCAGCTAAATTTTATTCATTATCGTTATCTTAAATTTGAATAAAGTTATGTCAAATATAGGACTTTTATGTCACACTGTAATACAATTTAATCTCCCTAGGTGCTTTAAGTCCTTTTTTATTGAGCAACCATGGAAATATAAATATCCGCAAACTCTTTGGTCACAGAACAGTAAAGGGAGTTTGTTTGTTGTCAGGACAATAAACAACAAATAGTACAGCAAATTCGGGTTTTTTCGGATCATATATAAAATTTTTTCATTTGATAAGGAAAAAAATATTATCTAAAAACAATAATTAAAGATATAAATGTCTGCAAAAGTTGCCGTTTTGATAAATGCATATTAAAAGGAATGTATATTCAAACAACAAAAGGGAGGCAACCTGAAAAGGTTTTGGAAATACAAACAATGATTCAAAATAAACGTAGAGAACTTGCTAGTAAAGGAAAATATTTTCATGGAAAATCTAATAATTGTCCTGTTGAAGAAGTGAATTTTGTTGATTTGGTAGATTATTATTTTATTTATTCGGCCGTTCACGTTCCCCTTATTTTAAAATAGGTACACTGCGTTCCAAAAGTATATGCACCCCTAGTTTTTTGATTTTTTATACATTTTTCTTCGTATTTTGATTAGACTTACTGTCTATCGTACATATTTTTAAATTTTATTTAGTCAATCTCTAGTGTCCTCTTCAAATTAAATTCTCTTCTGGTCCAAAAACGATTTCTCTTTTGATACCGTAATCATAAAGCCCCTCTTTTACTAAGTCCATCTTTTGGAGCAATCCGGGTAATTCTTCGGTTCGTACCCCCCACTCATTTTTCCTTCCTCAAATTATCAAAAATGGTCAGTCAATCTTGTGTTATAGAACTCGTCGAGATGAGTCGAATGACACCAAAATTGACAAAATCCGACTTGATTGGACCGAGATACAGACCCCTGAAAATTGAACAACCACAGGGTCGATTTTTTGAAATGAAAAAAATTTACATAAATGATAGCTCATTCGAAGGAGCTCGTCGAACTCAGTCGAATGACACCTAATTCAACGTGAGTGGACCAGATTTGACATAATTATGACATAAAGTAGACCTATCGGAGTCGGCGACTTTTATGTCATAATTTTGTCAAATCTTGACCAATCGAGTTGATTTTGGCGCCATTCAATTCAGCTCGAAGAGCTGAATCGAATGAGCTATGTTTTGTATAAACTCTCGAACCCATGGTTTTTCGCCTTATGGTTTTTCAGTTTTCAGGGGTCTGTATCTGGGTCAAATCATGTCGGATTTTTTTGATTTTGGTGTCATTCGACGCATCTTGACGGGTTCTATAACACAAGATTGACTGACCATTTTTTGATACTTTGAGGAAGGAAAAAGGAGTGGGGGGTACGAACCGAAGAATTACCGCAATCCGTTTAGTTTATACTACATATTTCGATCTTCAATAACTTAGAATTCTGATTTTTATAATATTCTAGCAAAAGTCATTAATCGCTGCTCAAAACAAACAATTTCTTGACTATCTTTTAACCGTTGAGCAAAATGCCTGTCGTACTAGAGATTCAGGGATTGATGAATGCCATTACAATTCCTCGTTTAATTCTCTTGCTTCATTACTTACGCGTAAAGAAAATTTAATCGCTATGAAACACATGGTTTAAATTAAAAACAAAACATATTTTTTTATAATTTAAAGATTGGATTGCAAAAATATCCAGAACCTGGACTTCCTCTCATTAATGGATTCCGTGTTTTTTCTATTCTGCCTAAACCTATGACGGATATGTTGCTTATTTCTGTTGATACTGCAAGAACTATGCCTTTTTTCGATAAATTGGATTTATCTGACAAGGTGTTGAATAACTTAGTCGATCTCGTCCCAAAAGTTTCTGTTCCGAAAAACCCAGACCCCGAGATTTACCTACCGTAAATACTCGAATAATTACCCTCTCTCAGTTAATTATCCCCCTTAAGCGAAAGGTAGAGACAATAATTACCCAAGTTAACAAGATGGTCCCGGTTTATACTTAATTGTTTTTTATAAAGATTTGTCTAATCACAACAATCATAATGGCGATTGGAACACTTAATTTGGGATATTATTGTAGTAGAAAATCATCAGAAACTGTTGTTTTGCCGAATGGATTTCCAATTAAAAATATTTTCAGTGCAAATATTTACAAGGAAGACATGACGTAAATTTTATTTTTTGTTCTAACCTTCATTTTGAATTAGGATAAACGGATTTCTCAAAAAATTATTTGACGATTGTATTTTACGATTCAACTCAATACAATTAAACAAAGAAGAATTTGTTCTCCTTCGCGCTATAATTTCTTCACATTTTGCCACAACTGGCCTAAGTCAGTATGGCCGACATTTATTACTGACTGAGGCAGAGAAATATTCTGATATATTGATGAAAATGTTACAGGTGTTTTAAATTATTTTAAAAATACTAGGGTGAATATGTATTGAAGTCTTTCATTCTTAACGTTTGAGGACTTGTGGGGGTATAATAACATAGTGGTGCCCTTGCCCATTCTGAGGAGGGGATAAAAAATGTTTGCGCCCTTACACTCATAAAGGCCGAATATCCCTACTGTTACGACCCGAGGTGTCCGAGGTTTAACTAAAGTCTACGAGCACAACAATAACACTTTATCACACGTAGAAATGAATAATGTGTAGGCGAAGGGAATGGGACAGACGAAGGAGATCAGTGACTAGCCCCGCTAGTATGATCCGACTAGACTGACGATTTCACTGGCTTTTATACTAAACACTTTATCGGCTAACGCCCATACACAACACCTACATATGTATATGTATAAGTTCTAAAGAAAATCATTCACTACAAGGCGAACATTTTTTATCCAATTCCTTGCCAATAAAGTCTGACTCGGCATTTAATTTTTTAAAATATTCTACATATTTCAGAATCGCTATGGACCATTTCCGGGTGCTAAAAGATATGCAGAATTGCTTCATTTAGTTGAATTTTGCTTCAACTGTGGAAACAACCATTGCCTTTTTCTAAATTATCTGGCTTATGTAACCGATAGGGGTTATTTCCATAACTCAATGCCGGAAGCACTTGTTAATCTTTGTCTTGGTCGCAAAACTTGAAATTATATTTACATCATAAAGTGACGTAAATCAGGGGTGGGCGCAAGAGGACGATAGAAAAACAAAAACCTAAACAAAGTCGGTCCGCAAAAGTCGGTCCGCAAGTTTCGCATTACCATTCTAAATCATATATTAGCCAAAATTTAACGAAATGCGCCCACCCCTTGGTAAATAACGTGCCGATTGTGGAAGGTTTTCTACCCACAAAAGCGAATTCTAATTGTGATTGTTTCTCTAGGTGTAGAGCTTAGACTCTTTCTATCTATCCTTATTTATATCAATCATTATTTCTCTAATATTTTCTTGGGTTATCGGAAAACCATAGGCCCCGACTGATCTTTTTCAACTGGCCAAGAAATAACAAGTTATAGAGGTTCAAATTTCAGTCCTTGGCTTTTTATTCCGCCCATTGCTGAGAGAAAGCGGAATCATCGTTTAAAATGCCGTAGTTTTCCTATGTTCGGAGGAAAGCTCTGTAAATAAACATACAATTAAAGCTTTCCTTCATTTCACGTTGAAAATCCCAAATAATAATTTTATATTTTTCTAAAAACAAATCAAATTTTTCTTTTGGATTTTCAGGTATATTAATTAATTTTTTATAATTTTCATTTTCTTCAATTAAATTTAAACAATTAAAAATATTTTCTTCTTCAATTTTTTCTTTAATTTCTTTTATCATTCCAAATAATTTTTTATAAAAATTTTTTCCTTCTAAAGGTCCAAAAAAGTAAATATTTCCATTAATTTCCCATTTATCTTTACCACATTTTTCATTCATTTTTTCAATTAATATTTTTTTAATTTCTTTAATAGGAATTTTTGAAAAGTCTTGACTGAAAATAAACACCATATATAAAAATTATTTTAATCTTTCATTGAAACAAATTATTTTAATTTTAAATGATTATTAAGTTGCTGCATCTCAAGGCTCCCATGCTTCATCTCAAGGTCTCTCATGATCTCCCATGATTTTAATTCCCTTTTTTATCTTCTTTAATCCCTCTCTTTAATCCCCTCACTCACACCAATTAACTCGATATCCCTCCAAGTCACTGATATACCTTATCAAACCTCATTAATCCCACCAATCGCTTACTTTCCCCTACATCCTCCTCCCTCCCAAGGAGGAGGACCTCCCTTCAATGAGGAGGACTCCCTCCCCTACATCTTCCTCCCTCCTCTTGATTATTCTAAAATACCTTTGCTTTAAATTCACTTTTCTTTTATGAAGTATTGTTGAAACTTTAGCAAATTGCAATTTAAAATGTCTTGCTATATTATCTACTCTTATACCTCCAAATAAGAAAAGAACGCAAAAGCCTTGAACTATTGGTTCCTAATAATTTACAAAATTAGCTTTATTCCATTATGTCCCCTACTCTTATAGCTGTTAAAGACTTTTGGTTTGAATCTTAACTCAGGTCTTTTCTTGGGTCTTGGGGTGTAGTCTTGGTTTCGATTTTTTTGAGCTTTTGAAATATACACCCTTAGATCGCTGAAGGATGGATTGTAAGACTCAATCGAGGCTTTGATTTTCATTAAGCCCCTCAGTTATTAACAAAATTTTAAAAGTAATTAATTTATAATTTAAATTTAAAACCTCTATATAATCTATATTTTTGTTAGGATTTTTCTTATAATTAATTAAGGCCTCTCCCATTTCCGAATTTTTATTTACAAAATATTCCATAATTTCTTCTTGTGATTTTGGATTTAAACATTTTTTGTAATCTCTTTCAAAATTTTCATTTGGGAAAAAATAGTTTTGAATTTCATAGATTTCGTCTACATACTTTTTGACATACCTAAATTAATTTTTTTTAATTATTTAAACAAAAAAATTTACTTTTGATACTGTTTTTTCTAGAATTATTCTGAATAAAATCATCCAATTTCCTTTTACCTCCTCCTCCTCTAACCTTTTTATTTTTTATTTCATTTGAAGAAGAATTTGAAGAACTACAATCTTCACTTAATGCTTAATTTATTTAAATTTTAAGAAAAATATTTTTTAATTTTTAAAAATTACAATAATCACTATTCCAAGAATTATCAGAATTATTTGGTGTCGAAAATGTTAAATTAATTATTATAAATATTATTAAATAAATAATTAAAGAATAATTTTTTAGAGACATTTAATTAATTGTTTAGGGGGAGAATAATTAAAAATTAATTTAGAGAAATAAATAAATTTTTAAAATAATGAGAATTTATATTTATTTATGTTAATATTTTAGACAAAATAAAGGCTATATTTTGAAATAAACATAAAAATGCACTTTAAGTAAAAGGGCATTCACATGCTTTATTATGTAATAAATAGCATTAGACATTTAAATTTCGAAGTATTTGGCAGGGTTGCGTCGTAATTACGAATTACGGCATTTTTTGAGTTACGAATTACGGTTACGAAAAAAAATTTTCGATTACGAGGCAAATCTGGTATTTGGTAATTTTATTAGGATGTAATAAAATTTTTATAATATTTAAATTTAAATAAATATGTGTATTTTTTAATTTTCGTGTGATCTAGAGTTGCACCCTGAACGATCGGGGCGGATGTGTCAGGCAGTATATGGGGGTTTCGAATTATTTCGGGTCGGTGGAGAAAAATATGGGCGAGAAAGTGTTTTAGCCAAAAAAATATTTTAAGCCAAAAAATTCTAATCCCCTTATGGATGTGTTGAATTTCCATTTTGTCTATTCGAAAGCCTTTGAAATTTGCTACAAGATAGCTTAAGTCCTATTTTCCTGAAAAAATATTTGTCTTTATTTATTGTCTCAAATTTAATCGTTTGACAAATAAATTATTTATTTAAGAAATACTTTTGAAAAAAGAAAAACTTAAAAAATTAAATAATATTTTTTAAAGTTGTCAAATAAAGAAAAGTTTAAAAGTTTGTAGTTTTGTTTGTAGTCTTAGCCAAAAATATTATTTTCAGCGACATAGGCAAAAAATTTTTGTTATTACTGTTAAAACCGGAGGTTGTCCGTTTATGTCCGAGAGTTGTTCCATGTTGATGTGCACAAGAATAACAGTTTATCCGAAGTAGAAATGAACAATGTAGGTGAAGGTGGAAGGAGCTGGAACAGACGGAGATCAGTGACTAGCCCCGTGGTACAACTAATTCTATAGTGACACCACTACACAACAATTACAATACTTGAGATACGTATTTCACTTTTAGCACGAGGGAAGTGGGTAATTTTTGGGAGAATACATAGATGGATAGTAAGAAAACTGGGCTTAACCCAAGACAACAAAATTTTTAGACAAACAGGACTCAATTTTTTTATTTAATTTAATACATAGAATAAAATTTTTAAAAATTTATTATAAAAATTTTTCTCATTTCTTTATCGGTTCTTATGCTCTAATTATTTATTAGCATGTCCAACTTTAACTTTCAATTGTTCAAAAATATAATTTTTAACAAATTCATCAATTTTTATTTTTATTTTCTCTTCAATTTTTTCATTTAAATATTTTTTATTTAATTTAATAGAATAACATTCTTCAGGTTTTTCATTACATTCTTCTAAAATTTTAATAAAATCTGTCACAATATTTTTATTTTCTTCTTTAATATTTAAATAATTATATTTGGACATTGATTTAATTAATTCAAGAAATGCTCGGAATTGAAGAAATACACTAATTTTGTTTAAAACTTCCTCTTTATTGTACACATAATTTTTATTATGTACTAAAAATTTTTATTAAATATTTTAATCTTCTCTCTCGGTTATCGAGGGCCTATCTAAAATAATCTACACTATAAAATTTTTCTACCATAATACTCGCCATACGGTCGAGTATGAGTACTAGCTTAAACATATAAACAAATCCATAGCAAAACCTATTTCCCTCACCCATAACCGAAGCTCTTCATTAACCTAACTGAACAATTCTCTTGCACATTGTCTGAAACGTCGTTGATCAAATCCTAAACTCTGGAACCTTTCTTCAACTTATTCTCCAACCCCGTTGCATTTCAAGCCGGAACTCCTCTCACCCATTGTCAGTTGGGTGAACTTCCATTGAAACCATAACCTTCTACCCGTTTCCGGATCTCGTCTCTCATTCACACTTTATTCCTACCTTTTTTCTAACCCATTGTCAAAACTTTTCTCTCATGCAAACTTACATGGCCCGTTTAATAATATTAGGAAGGCTTGAGACTGATATCTGGGGATTTGTGTGGATTAATGTTGATTTGATGAATATCTATGATATCTGGGGATTTGGAAATATCAGGATATATCCTGTATCTCATTCATTATCGTAAGTTTTTTCTATCAGACGTCACTTGTTCTCACTCACTCACTTTAATGAAGGATTTTTTCTACGCGTAAGACGTAAAGTGAAGCCACCCTTTCTAGTAAATAAATACATAAACATACAATTAAAGCTTTCCTTCATTTCACGTTGAAAATCCCAAATAATAATTTTATATTTTTCTAAAAACAAATCAAATTTTTCTCTCGGATTTTCAGGTATATTAATTAATTTTTTATAATTTTCATTTTCTTCAATTAAATTTAAACAATTAAAAATATTTTCTCCTCCAATTTTTTCTTTAATTTCTTTTATCATTCCAAATAATTTTTTATAAAAATTTTTTCCATGTATAGGTCCAAAAAAGTAAATATTTCCATTAATTTCCCATTTATCTTTACCACATTTTTCTTCCATTTTTTCAATTAATATTTTTTTAATTTCTTTAATAGGAATTTTTGAAAAGTCTTGACTGAAAATTAAAAAGATGATATTAGTATTTTTAGTAGCTCGAATTATTTTAGGTTTAAAAATCAATTTCTAATGTCAAGGACTCTGACATTACTACAAAATTATATTAAAAAACGACCTCTAACTGAATGTTAAGGTGATTAGTTTTGAACATTATTTTAAATAGATTCGGTATACATATTATTAATGCTCGGTTATCCGGATCCCAACTCCCGAATCAGAAAATTTTCCTGATTATTTGGCCTCCTGATCCGGACTCCCGACGTAAATTCCCGACCCAACTTCCGATTCCCGGTTTTTCTTCTCCCAAGCATCACTAATACATATAAGTTTTGACACATTTTAAAACCAATTTTATAAAATTTAAAAACCTTTTCTTTAAATTGACTTTTCTTTTATGAAGTATTTTTGTAACAACAATCGTTTTAAATTTAGTATATCTTACTATATTAAATATTTTTATACCTCCAAATAAAAACAGAACGCAAAAGCCTTGAAATATTGGTTCCTAATATTTTAAAAATTAGTTTATTTTATTATTAAGTCCTGCACTCTTATTATTATTACTCGGGTCCAAAATTGCCCCTCGACCTCGATCTCGGCTTTTTCAGTCTCGGTGATCCTCGGTCTCGGTTTTTTCGAAAACCCTCGAACTCGCGCACCCTTGTTTTTATTCTCCTGCCAGTATTTTATATACTGACTGCAATCTAATGAATTTATCGTATTTCCTGAAATAATACTCCCTCCTGAATTAGTACTCCCCCCTTAAATAATACTCCCCTTTGGAGGAGGGTTCAAAAATTGTACTTAATCCCTATAAATTTATCGATATCCTCCTTATTCGTTTAATATCCCCTTATTCCCTTGATATCACTCCAAATCCAATAATATCCTTCATGTTATCCCCCAATAACACTTATTTTAACCCCCCAATTACGCTTATTTTAAGTCACTTATATGTTTAAATGTTCCGCCATTTGCTCAATTCTATACTAATTTCGATATTTTTTCGAATTTTTTATAAAAAAATTTTTTACATCCAGGTCAGGATCCGACATTTTTCAAATTCGACTCAAATTGATTTAAACGTAAAGAATTTTGAAATAAATTTTCCTATGATAAATCATAAAGGAAGGTTGAAAAATAGTACTCCCCCTTGAATTAGTACTTCTGCCTTAAATAATACTCCCTATTGGAGGAGGGTTGAAAAATAGTACTCCCGGGATTACTATTATCTGAAATACGGTATATTATATAAATTAGGAACCTCTACATTATCTATATTTTTATTAGGATTTTTCTTATAATTAATTAAAGCTTCTCTCATTTTCGGATTATTATTTACAAAATATTTAATTAATTCTTTTTGTATTATTGGATCACTTCTAAACTTTAATTTTAAATTTTCATTTGGAAAAAAATATTCTTGTATTTCATAAATTTCATCCAATTTCTTTTTGTCATACCTAAATTTGTTTGTAATTTAGAAAAATATTTTTTTTTAATTTACTTTTGATATTTATTTTCTTTTTTTGAATTATTTTGAATAAAATCATCCAATTTCCTTTTACCTCCTCCTCTAACCTTTTTATTTTTTATTTCATTTAAAGAAGAATTTGAAGAACTACAATCTTCACTTAATGCTTAATTTATTTAAATTTTAAGAAAAATATTTTTTAATTTTTAAAAATTACAATAATCACTATCCAAAGAATTATCAGAATTATTTGGTGTCGAAAATGTTAAATTATTTATTATAAATATTATTAAATAAATAATTAAACAAAAATTTTTTAGAGACATTTAATTAATTGTTTTGGGGAAATTTTTAAAAATAAATTTAGAGAAAACTTAAATGGAATTGATAAAAAATAAAAATTAATTTAAATAAACAAAAATAAATAGAGAATATAGTACATGTTTTGAAATAAACATAAAAATGCACTTTAAGTAAATGGATTCACATGCATAAAAAACTATTTTTATTAATTTTTTTAAAGTAAAGTCTAGATTTAAATTACGAAATATTTAATAAAAATAAAAAAAAATTTTATATTTTTCTCCAAGAAACTGCTAGGAAGAGACGTATACTTTCAAAGTGATGCAGGTCCTAGGCAGACCTGGGCGAAACTCAAAATTTTTTTCTGACGAAACGAAACGAAACAAAATTTTTTAAAAATCGTTTCGTTAACGAAACGAAACGAAACAACCAAAATCTTACGAAACGAAACGAAACAAAACGAAACATTTTAATATTCAAAAAATTTTCAAAACTGCATTTATTTCGCAATTATTCGACCTCAAATACTTTATTAGTCGCCTATGCCTTATAAATTAGAGCCCGGACGGAGGGCTCGGTCGATATTTTTTTGATAAATACCGAAAAATACCGAATATCGAAAAATATCGAAAAAATCAAAATTTTCTCGGTCGATATTTTTTCGATAATATCGAAAAATATATATCGAAAAATATCGAAAAAATATCGTATCGAGCCGGGCTCTATTATAAATGATTTAGTTATTGGTTTATTTACAACAATTGTGTCCCATAAGCCAGGCCCGTAGCAAGGAAAATTTTCGGGGAAGGGGGGGGGTCAATCATTTTCGAAGCCGAATTTTTGGCGACGCTTTTTTTCAAATAAGATTGAATATTTTTCAAGTAAAATTTTATTTTAAGCGCCGCAGACGAAAAATTTTAAAATTTTGAAAGGCCGTAGGCCAAAAAATTCACTAGCTTGCTCCATTGCCTACCCAAATTGTCTCCATATCTCCATTTCGAGAGGAAGGCGATATAAGCTAGTGCTTCGCCGGAAGTTCCGGTTCCAGTATTTCCGCAACTCGCAATCCGCAATTTTTAAATTATGATGCGAGTCCGGTAATAGAATTTGTCGTCTATTAAGTAATATGTATATGTGGATTAGGGAGTAGAGTATAAACGGATTTGTAGTATATAAGTAATTGCTATCTTCCTTTTTCAGCGCCGCAGGCGAAAATTTTGACAATTTGGGAAAGCCAAGAAGCCGAAATTCTTTTTTTTTCAGCGCCGCAGGCGAAAATTTTTTAAATTTTCAATAAAAGATGGTAAATTTTATAGATTTTGGCCTTAGTTTAGGCTTAAAAAATTGTTTCGTTTCGTTGAAAAATCACAGGTGTTTCGTAACGAAACGAAACGAAACAAATTTAAAAGTGTTTCGTAACGAAACGAGACGAAACAGTAAAAATCATACGAAACATACGAAACAACGAAACGAAACGAAACGTTTCGCCCACGTCTGGTCCTAGGCTAATAAGCCTAAGCTAGTTTTTTATAAGAAAAATTTTTGTCTTCCGGAAAAGTTATATCCTTAATTGTCGTACCACCTGTAAATAATATTCATTTATACCATCTAAATTTAATGGAGCCTTCAAAAAATTAGAGATAACCGATATATTTATAAGTAGGGTTGGATTTTTCGAACCGAGCCGACTTCGAGTCATTTTTTCAGGTCGGACCGGTCGAGTATTTTTCGGGCCAAAATTCGATGCCCCCACCCCTATTTACGAATGAATAAATTTACTTATTATGATGTTAAATAATTTTTAATAAAAAACGGTTAAATAAATTCAAATAAATATTAAAAATTAGTTTTCTTTATAATTTCAAATCATCTTTGTAAACTTGAAATGCAAGTTGATAAATTCCCGGAAGTACCTAAAAATTCAGAAAAAAATAATTTTAATTATTTTTTCCAATATTTTACTTTAGCTGCTTCTTTCTTAATTCCCCTTTCCGGAAAGATAAACCCTCCAAATAAATTATCGTAACGTCCAGAAGTTAATTCCATAGTATAGGAATATTTAACGCCCAAACTTGTTGCGTAATCGTCACTTCCACCTGCAGCTTCGTCTTTTTAAAAATAATGAAAATTATTTTAAAATTAATTTAAAATTGATATTTTATATTTTTGAAAAATAATTTTTGAGTTTATCTTAAAAGTTCTTAGTATATTCTGATCTTAATTTTGTATACATTCCATAATAGTTTCACTCAATCTAGGATACAAAAATATTTTTTTAATTTTGATTGGGTGGGGGTAATTCCAATAATGGATGCACACTAGAAACCGAACCAAAGCGGGACCTCATACAAAAATCTTGGTTATCGGGATCGTTATTTTTTTTCAGACTCCTTATAAAGTAACTACTGTGTAGATAACTCAAAATTTTGGATATCTGTACAAATAAACCGACAGAATATTTTCTATTAAAAACAAACATAAAATGTCAGGTGCACTTCCAATTTTAAAAGGAGCCCCTCCTTCCTGGACAATTGCTTTTGCCATTTTTTCAGCCACTAATCTCAAGTCTTCAACATTATCTGGATATGTCCTTGCAGCATAATTCCAACCATGGATTATTAAATTCCCATACGCATGTAATGTTAAATATGCTTTTAAATTATTTTTGTTTTTATTCATATAAGCTGCTAAATGTGCACATTCCGGTTCGGAAAGGGGTGTTGGGCCTGGGTAAACTTCACTGAAATTGGAATATTTTAATAGTTAAATTGTTGGTTGTACAATTTTTATATTTATCAATTAATCTAGATGATCCTTCTATAGTTAATTCTAGACAGTAAATTCCCCTCTGAACTCCTCAAAGCTCTCTTCCTCTCCCTCTCTATAAGTAACTCTTCCTCCAGTCTCTTCTTATTTAGTATTTATATGTTGATTGACTCTATAAACATCACTTGATTTCCTGCTTTTATATATGATCTTATCTTCAAAGAAAATAATATTCTGAACTATGATTGAACTCTGAACGGACCCTCTGAACTTATTCGAAGTTCCCACTTTTACTTCGACATTCGTATCTATTAGAGTTTCACGGAAGTTGTGATTCCTGTTCCGAAAAGTTACGGTTCCGAGATCCAGAACTCAAATTGGATTCTGTTCCGGTCAAAATATCGGTTCCGGTGAAAAACTAGTATCTATATATAGCTATTTTGAACCTAATAAAATCTACATTTTTGAGTTTTTTATTTCCTAAATTGCCCAAATTAATTAAAAATTGTATCTTTTAAATTTCATTTTTATAACCTGCAAGGGCACGGATCTGTTCCCGTTTCTGCCCAATGATAAGGAAAGTTTCTGTTAGGATCTACTCCATAACAGAGTGGAGCATCTCCAATACCACAAACTTTTGTTGTTTTGTATGGGCCAGAACGTGTATGTCTCCAAAGTCCTTTAAATTCTTAATAGCTTTAATTTTCGAATTTTTGTTTAACTATCTCTTGTCCAAGTATATTCATATCCATCTGGATTTAATACAGGAATAATATGTACATCAATATGGTCAAGTAGGGACCTCCATTTTGGGTTATTAATGAACTTTAAAAAAATTTTTTTTAATAATTTTTGTGTTACTTTAAATCTCAAGGACTGGATTACTTTGATTAATTTACCTAGGGACCGAATTTCTTCGGAATTTGAACGTAATTGGATATGATTAAGGAGTCGTTTGTATCTAATTAACTTGCCTATGAGTAAATTAACTAATAAAATAATTTAACTAATCAGCACCTCATTATAAGATAAAAATCTTTTGAAACCCCATGGTGTAACTTATAGTGACAAATTTCACTAAATTGATCTGATCCGACGTAATTTTATTTCCTCAATTAAAGCCTAATATTTTTGATATTTTCTCTCTTATTAAAGTCCAATCTATATATTTTATAAATTTTAAATAATTAATTTACAGCATTAATAACATTCAAAGCAACTGCAGGCGCGATCCATTCTCTTGCTAAATTTAAAAAAGTTTTTTTATTTTAATTTGGTTCAAAACCATGTATTCCTCCATCTAAAAGAAATATAGGCTTAATTGTTTTATTGTTAAATGGAGCATAGCCAAGCTTAAAAAAATTTTTTTTTATTTTTTCAAAATTAAAATTTTTTAGTAATATGTATTTATTCTGCAAATTATTTGAATGTTCAAACACACTTTTAGATACCCTTCAAGATACGCTTTTTTCAATTTTGGTTAGTCACAAAACCAAAAAAATTTTTAAAGTGCTTTTTTAATTCAAAAATAAAACTGATACTTAATTAAAATCGGTTTTTTTTAATTTTATTTACAGAAAGTCGTGGATAACGTGTCAATAAAATATACTTTTAAAGGTACTTGTGGGCTATCCCTACGGACTTTTCCGGACACAATTGTACGGAATGGTCAGTTTCTCTCCCCCTTTCTCCCCTTTTAAAATATATGTACATGGTTGAGATAGATCTAATTTTGATATTCACCTTTAATACACCCAAATCTCTCAATTCAGTTGTTTTCCCAATACTCTCAAATTTTGCAATTTTTGGATTTTCTTTTGCAATTAATTGTAAATATTGAATTATCTATTTAAATATTTTTTTAATTTTATTTTTTAAAATTTTACAGAATTATATCGATGATAACGCCCCAAATCAAATTCTTCGATACTTGTAATTAATTCTTCATCCCATTCATCTAATAATTCATAACGGAGAGTTTCCCCAGAAACACGCATTTGGCTAAAATTTATTTAAATATTTAAATGTTTTTTTAATTTTATTCTTTTTAATTTTATTCTCATTTTATTCTCATAAATTGTATTAACCTTGTTTGATAATACAATAGTGATGCTCGAGTATCCCGACTCCCGAGTCGGGATATCAATTGAAAATACAAAGAAACTAAGTTCTAATACACTCCCATCATCGAAATCCAAAAACTTTTATTTATTGTGGAAACTCCCGACTCCCGAGGTCATTTCCCAACCCGACTCCCGTTTCCCGATTACCGGGTTTTTTGTTCTCCCGAGCATCCCTATAATACAAGAAACCACCAATGGTATTTTGGTTTTGTTTGGCTGTTAACAGCAGATTTATTCTGAAAAACTCTCAGAGCGTGTCCATCGACTCTTCCGCTATTTCTGGGTTGGTTGAGTCATTTTAATAAATACCCTGCCTAGCACTGCCTAATTTTTTAACAAAACTTATCAACTTACAGCCCAAAATCTTCAATTAAAGTAGAATACACAATTTTTTTGTCATCAAAGAAATCCAAAAGTTTTCTTTCACTTTCTGGCCCAGAGAATATTTCTGCAGGCATTCCAGGCTGTGAATGAACTTTCCATATTTGTATATTATTCTCTTCAGATTTCAACATATTTATTGAACGAGTAATGTTTTTTAATTCCATTAATTGTGATTTGTTTGAAAGAAAGGCACGGAAAAGTTTAAAACTTTAAAAAATAAAATTTAAAGATATTTTGAAAATAAATACAGTCTCGGGCTTCGATTTTATATACGACTTTTAAGATATAAAAATAACATGCTCTACCAATTAACCCTCTCTAATAATTAATTACTTTCTCCGTCAGAGATTTTAACGATAATTACCCAGGATTATTAGTTAGTATCGCTTGGAAGTTTTCCTCTACCCAGTGAACAAAAAAGAAAAATATTTGATTATTTAATTTGGATTAATTTGAATATTAATTTGGACATAAGATCAAGGTCCGAAGTGTTCCATTTGAATGATAAAAAAAGTGGAGAGACTAATTTAATTTATTTAACAAAATTTTTACAAAGTTTTACCAGTTATTTATTTAAAATTATTTTTTAGATAAAAAATAAAATGTTTTTTTTAATATTTTTAAAACAACATACATACTAGAAATCGGACTGGGAGAGTCGTACGAAAATCGAGATTTCGAAAAGTTCTCTATCTCGATAACCTAGATCAAAAATTCAGATTTTTGATCGAGATCTTGTCTCGATCCGGTCTCTAAACATACCCGTCATACTGTCGATGAACGTGTTTTTCCTCTTCAGACTTTGCAAATGATAATAATGTAAAAATTACTGATAATAACAAAAACATTTTTTGGTTATTTTAGACAATCAAAAAATATAAATTTTTTCTGTAGTAATTTTTAATTTAAATACTTTTTTTGAATATTTATTTAATTTTTATTTATTTAAATAAACAATAAAAATAAATATAAAATTATTATGTACAAACAAATTTTTTGTCCTTTTTTTGTTAAATACAAACCATTTTTATGTCTATCTATTTTTTCAAGAACAATTACTAAATCAATTTATTATTTTTTTTATTTAATTTCTTCAATGAATAATAAAAATTTATATAATTTTTATTTGATTAACAAATAGTTTTGGTGATTAAGTTTTTTTGTATATGTATTTTCCTATTTTGATGATGAAAAAACAAATAGAGCCTTTTGTTGAAAAAAAATTTTTTTACAAAACAGAAATGTGTATAGTTTTTATATTTTTATTAATATTTTTAAAATATAGTAGAAGAAGCTCGATATATTTACACCCCTAAGGCCCAGGGACGATTTGTTTATTTAAAAAACGCAGGTAACGTAAGAAGGAGTCAAATTGGGCCACAACGCTTCAGTGGCTGGTCGTGAAAAAGAGACGTAAAAGGAGGTATCTTTATAGAGAGACTACAATATTGTAGTAGAAAATTTATTGCTTCGAAATTCAAATTCTCTTAAAATCGTTTTTAAAAACAATTATCGGATATTGACACAAAAATTGTTCAAAAAATTGGGAAGGATTTTTAATTGGTTTAGCGAGGCACTAAAATTAAAAGACGCGCCTAAGAGGTACCAGGAAAAGTTGAACAACTATCAAACTTTGGAGGATAGTTGAAAAATAGAGCCCCATGGGGCCTTTTTTTCCTTATATTCTAATTACTCAATGTACACCGAATGCTGCAACATTTTACTCGTAAAAGCATAAACGAGAAAAAATTTTAGAGCTCTTATTAAATCTTTAATCATTTTTAGTTTCCTATTATCTTTGAAAATTTTTTTGGAATAAGAGCTCTAAAATAGCTACAAAGTATATATACATATATGTACAAGAATGAAGAATACAATAAAAAGAGTTCGAATTTTTCACATTGACGGCACGGTAACCGGGTTCTTTACTTTTAAAGGGATCAGGGACTCCAAAAACCTGATTTTATCAAAATACCTTGTGTTTCTGTTCTACCAGGCCTGAAACCCCGGTCCGGATCTGGATTCGAACTCAAAAAATAAATTCCAAATAGAACAAGTACATAGTTTAGGAGGAAATAATTTTAAAAAAAATAAAAGATAAATGAGTGTAGAGAAAGGGTTGTTACTCGTCCCGGCTTATCCGCGTGTAAGCAAGAACAGGGAAGGCATTCTTTCCCCATCTTCCTTTTTATCTCGAAAAAATCCGTTGTAATTATTTTCCAATTTTCTTCAAACAAAACATCAATTAAGTTGTTATTAGTTCGAATTCTTAGGAACGAACGTTTAAAACTTTTCAAATTTTTAAAATACGCCAAACGCAGAACGCCAAAAATCAACGCCATAACGCACAACCCAGTTCCCCCGGTTTCATTAAGTACCCGAGTTGAGTACTGGAACCATATTTTGAGCCATAACTTTTTGGTTTTTCAACTAATTCGAATAAATCATATATTCGAAAGCCATGAATGTGAGGATTATTTTCGCCAACTAGATTTGATCAGATCAATCCTGCTAGATAAAATAATCCTTACATCAGGATCTTTCTATTGATATATTATTTAAATTGATTAAGAATTGAAAAAGTTATGGCCTAAAATATGGCAGTTTTTTCAAAACCCGTTTTCCTTAAAATTATCCCTTCTCACTGGTTTTTGTTATCCGTTTTTGCCTCCCTATCCCCGCAAATAATAATCTTAGTTTGGATCTCTGAAATAAAGGTGTTAAAACTAAATTGGCTTTCACTTTAGCGTTAGTTTTTCTTCCGAATGTGTTATAAAAGTGAGATCTGATTTTTCCCCTCCCAACTAAGTTGCCTTAAGTCAACAAATTTTTAGCTGTTCTCATTTCTAATCCTTGAGGTTATCTGCGTGAAAAACCTCGAATTTCAGGTAACAACCCAAATCCCTATTTGGAGTGTACAAAAAGTATGTTTTTACATGTTTGTGTGCTTTTCTACGTCTCGATCTTTTTACAGGCGTTTTCTTTACTCGTTGCCTTCGAATTTCTCACCTCATCATTTGGGTGGCTGTGAAAAGAACAATAATTAATATTTTTCTGATTATAATATTTGTTTACGTTAGTTTTGCTAGCATCAGTTGGAGGTTTAATTCCACATTTTTCACCGCATTTAATGCATTCTTGTGGAAGTGGTGGAGGTGGTGGTTGTTGACCATTCGGAGGTGGTGGATGTTGACCATTTGGAGGTGGAGAAGGTTGCCCATCTTTTGGAGGAAGAGGAGGTTTACCACCTGAGGTTGGTGGAGGAGGTGGTGGTTTATGAAGAATTGTTATAAGAGCTTGGACACAGCCGACCACCTAGTTAATATATTTTTGTTAAAATGGATTTCTTTATCTGAGATTTTAAACTAATTTTAAGTAAAAATCATCGATTTACTAAAAAATTTTAAATAGAAAGTTCTTACATCTTTATCCGGTTGTGTTTCACCTTAATTATTTTTATATTAAATTTTAACAGAATTTTTATTGGAAATAAAACCTTTAACTAGCGAGAAAAGAACAGCAAGAGCGCCGATGAAAACTCCAATCTTGATCGCCATAATCAAAGCAGTAGCTAACGAACGCTTTGAGAATTTGAGTTTTTTGTTTAAATTTGGTAGGATGAGGAAGGGTTGTCCGTCCTCCTTTCGATTCTGTAGTCGACTACGATGTCCCACCTTTCTTTTATATGCCCCAATTGTGTTGCCAGAAAGTTGCATTTTTGGGAGTAATGGGAAGGGAATATAGGCGGAGATTGATAGAAAAGGGCAAAAACGTCAGGTGAAAGTGGTGAATGCGTGACTTGTCTAATGACTTTCTTTGTCTATGTCCTTTTCTCCTTGCCAATTAAACAAAGAAAATATTTAAATTGCCATAAAGGAAGACTTGGTATTGATCATTAAAAGGGCATTTATGACAGGAGACAGGAATTCTAAATTTTAAAAGACTTTAAAAAATGCCAGACTCCTTCCCGTAAGCAGTCCTCATGTGAATGTCTGTCTGCGATTGGGAATCAGGAGACAGACCTCTCTCATGATTAAGGGCATTTCTAGTGAAGACATTATTGAAATGGAGAAGAGGAATTTTAAATAATTTTAGACAGACGGCAAAATTCTATTGGAAGAATAAAACTTTTTGGGTCCAATTTCAATACAATGTCGTGCCGAAAAAGAAATAGTATAATATTTCCTCTCGTTTCTCTTCCCTTATTTTGACCCCATATATTAATCTCTCCTCCCCTTATATTGTAAACCCCACATTCCCCATTTTAATGTTCGTTCATTCATTAGTTCGTTGTTGTTTATTTTATTTAAGAGAAAAGTAAAAGAGCTTATTTGTGTGTTTGGTGAAATTAAGTAAAAAGGGTAACGGACTTTTACCCCTTTTAAGTCCTACATGGCGCTCCTGTTCTAGAGAGTAGTCCAAAGATTGTTTTAATTTGGTTATTTTATTTGAATTTGTCTATTTATTTATTGATCTTCGTTGGCCCCCGGTGGACCAGGAATTTAAATTTTTTTGCACCAACAACAACAAATATTTATTTTTTTTGAAAAGTTATTCCCCGGTGGAATAGTTTTCGTTTGACAACTTTTTTTTGAGATTTTTTTTCTGAAAAAAAATCTTATTCAATTTTCCCTCGGCGGGTGGATTGAATTCTCGACGTATCAAATTTTAGCCCCGGTGGATAAAATTTGAATTTGGTTTGGCTCAACAAAAAAATGCGATCTTCACAACAAAGTATAAATCAATATTTTCCTCCTCAACATTACTCAGCCTACCCTCCTACAATGAATTTTCCCACGAATAATCAACAACTAGGGCAAATGCATTTTCAAAATTATGGCGTCCCAAATTTCTTCTTCGGATGCCCTACTGAATTTTCTCAGCAAATGATGTACCCCTACCAATTCATCCCTTCACAATCGATTCAACCAAATTGCCAAAATGCAAATTTAAGTTCTGAAGATACGACACAAGCTAACATCGAAAAGCTTTTGCTCGACACAATACCCGATTTAGACGGAACTGAAAACAATTTTGAGATTAAGAAATTTTTCAAGAAATTCGATGCATATCTAGAAGATTGGCCAGAGAAAAAGAAAATTTTTACTCTAAAATCAAAGTTGTTTGGAAAGGCCAAAAGTTGCTTCATTCTTTCAATCAAGTCAAAGCACTACAATTATAAATCGATTAAAAATTTCATCCTTTGTAAGCTCCTTCCATCGGAATACAAAGTCGAAGAACCAATCAATTTAATCAAAAAGAAAACCAACTCAAAGTTAGAACCGGAAAAGTTATATCCTTAATTGTCGTACCACCTGTAAATAATATTCACTTATACCATCTAAAACTAATCGAGCCTTCTAAAAATTAGCGGATAACCGATATATTTATAAGTAGGGTTTGATTTTTCAAACCGGGCCGATGTTCGAATCATTTTTCAGGTCGCGGTGGGGTACCTTTCCGTGCCGCGAGTTCCGTGCCGCGGATTCCGTGACTTCCCAGTTCCGTGACCTCCCAGTTCCGTGACCTCCCAGTTCCGTGACCGTTGTAAAAGGGACGTTTCCTTACTAATTATTTAAATAAGAAACAAGGGTTTCTCGTAATTTTTTTAGTTTTTCCTACTTTCTACGATCTAAAGAACATGAAAAAAGGTAGCCGAGTTTTTCTCTAGGCTTTTCTTGGACTTTCTCGGGCTTAGGGGGTCTTGGTCTTGACTTTTTTTCTTCAGGGAACAAAATTTTAATAAAAAAAACGAGTCAGATACACAAAAATTTATCAAAAAAATCATAAATAAAAGAGTTCTGCACACATTAAACAAGATTTGACTAAACATAAAAAAGGAAATTTAAAAAAATTAGAAATATCAACTAAAGATTAAAAAAATTAAAACCTGAAAAATAAAACAAAAATTCCTGATCTTGCTAAGTTTGGAACCTTGTAAAGCATCGGAACAGCCGTGGGATGGATATCCAGCACGCCACAACCAAGTTTTGGTTAAATATTTTATTAAAAACATAATTATATTATTGGGGAGAAGTCACGGAACTGGGAGGTCACGGAACTGGGAAGTCACGGAATCCGCGGCACGGAAACCGCGGCACGGAACTCGCGGCACGGAACCCTCCCAGTCCGTTCAGGTCGGACCGGTCGAGTATTTTTCGGGCCTCATTTTTATCAAACCAAGCCGTTCGAGTATTTTCGGGCCAAAATTCGATGCCCGTTTCGATCTATCGGACCGAACCTGGTCCCCACCCCTATTTACGAGTGAATAAATTTACTTATTACGATGTTAAATAATTTTTAATGAAAAAACAGCTAAATAAATTTAAATAAATATTAAAAATTAATTTTCTTTATAATTTCAAATCATCTTTGTAAACTTGTAATGCAAGTTGATAAATTCCCGGAAGTACCTAAAAATTTAGAAAAAAATAAATTTTAATTAATTCTTTTCCAATATTTTACTTTAGCTGCTTCCTTCTTAATTCCCCTCTCCGGAAAAATAAAACCTCCAAATAAATTCTCATAACGTCCAGAAGTTAATTCCATAGTATAGGAATATTTAACACCCAAACTTGTTGCGTAATCGTCACTTCCCCCAGCAGCTTCGTCTTTTTTAAATAATAAAAATTATTTTAAAATTAGCATTTTATATTTTTAAAAATAATTTCTAAGTTTATCTTAAAAGCTCCAAATATATTCGGATCTTAATTTTGATTACATTCAATAATGGTTAAACTAAATCTAAGATACAAAAATATTTTTTTAGTTTTAATTGGGTAGGATAATTCCAATAATTGATGCTAATGAAAGCACACTAGAATTCAAACTAGAGTTGTACCCCGACCCCGTACCCCGACCCCGTTCCCGAACGATTTTTTCACGATTCTCCCCGACCCGAACCCCGCCCCGAAAAAAAGTGAAAACCCCGTACCCCGGCCCAAAAAGTTTAGGGGTTATCGGGGTTTTATACCCCTAAAAAATGCCATTTTTCGGAGAAATTAATGAAAAAAATTGAAAAAATTTCCACCCATTTTACTTTGCTTTTATTATTTTTGAAAGAAAAATGAATGAAATATCACAATTTTCTTTCCTTCTTTACTAAGAGACTTGTGGTTGAGTGGCTTAGTCGTTGGGTTTAGCCGATATTTCATTAATATAGGATTGGGTTCGGATCCATATAAGGAGGACTCTTTTGTTTTCATATTTTTTTACAAAAACAAATTATTAATGAGTTAAATTTTAATTTGAAAATAATAATTTTATTTTTAACTGATATCCCTTGTCCAAATACCCTTATCCGCAATACCTTCAAACCCACTGTATCACCAGTTCTCAACCATAACAGTTGGAAAACTATCGGTACTAATTTAGTTTCCCCCCCCCCCAGTCAGTTTTTTCGAAAATTATGTAAAAATGGTCAGTCTGAACAACAATTGTAGAACCCATCGAGCTGTGTCGAATGACACCAAAATCAACAAAATCTGACTTGATTTGACCGAAATACAGACCCCTAAAAATTGAACAACCATGGTGGTGATTTTTCGAAATAAAAAAAAGTTTACCCAAATGATAGCTCATTCGAAAGAGCTCGTCGAGCTGTGTCGAATGACACCAAAATCAATGAAATCGGACAAGATTTGACAAAGTTATGACATTATTTAGACCTACCGGAGTCGACGACTTATGTCATAACTTTGTCAAATCAAGTCGTATTTCGTTGATTTTGGTCTCATTCGACTCAGCTCGACGAGCTCTTTTGAATGAGCTATCATTTGTATAGATTTTCGTCTTTATGATTTTGTGCCCCTGTGGTTTAGGGGTCTGTATTTCGGTCCAATCAAGTCCGATTTTGTTGATTTTGGTGTCATTCGACACAGCTCGATGGGTTCTACAATTGTTGTTCAGACTGACCATTTTTACATAATTTTCGAAAAAACTGACTGGGGGGGGGAAACTAAATTAGTACCAAACTATCTAGGTCCTGTTAAGGGAATCAGAGATATAAAGGGATTTGTAGGATATCGAAGAATTAGGGAGTTATAAAGGGATTTAAAGGGATATAAGGTTTAGATTAAAATGGATTTGAAAGGATTACGTGAATCCTTTCAAATACCCTTATCCGCAATACATCAATATACTTATAAATCATTAATATCCCTTTAACCACAAAAATCACTCCAGATCACCATGTATCCCTAGATATACCATTTAATCCCTAAAAATCCCGCTTAATCCCTCCAGATCCACGTATATCCCAAGTTAACACTTTAATCCCTTCAAATCCCCTCTAATTTCTTAAAATCCTACTTAATTTTTGAATAAATCAACGAAAATATACCGATTTCTAATTATTTTTGAGCATTTTTTTCTCTAAAAATTTTTCCACTAAACCCCCGTACCCCGACCCGAACCCCGGCCATATTTTGCTCCCCCGACCCGAACCCCGCCCCGAAACATTTGGAAAACCCCGAACCCCGACATACCCGCCCCCGAACGTTCGGGGTACAACCCTAATTCAAACCAAAACGAGATTTCAAACAAAAATCTTGTTTACTGAGAATATCAATCTCGATTCCTTTTCGACTAATACACAATTGTTAAGATACATTTTTTCATCCCCAATAGTTTACGTATAAACAGGATTTAGAAAAAACTTTAATTATTTAATTTATTGAAGACAATAAATTTGTGATTCCAACGATGTACACAGTTCACAGCCCTTAAAAAGTAAATACTAAATAACTCAAGATATCTGTACAAATAAACCGACAGGATATTTTCTAATAAAAACAAACATAAAATGTCAGGTGCACTTCCAATTTTAAAAGGAGCCCCTCCTTCCTGGACAATTGCTTTTGCCATTTTTTCAGCCACAACTCTCAATTCTTCAACATTATCTGGATATGTTCTTGCAGCATAATTCCAACCATGGATTATTAAATTCCCATAGGCGTGTAATGTTAAATATGCTTTTAGATTATTTTTGTTTTTATTCATATAAGCTGCTAAATGTGCACATTCCGGTTCGGAAAGGGGTGTTGGGCCTGGGTAAACTTCACTGAAATTGGAATGCTTTAATATTAAATTGTTGGATTTATAATTTTATATATATTTATCAATTTAACTAGACAGATCCTTCTACAGCTAATTCTAAACAGTGAATTCCTCAAAGGTCCCTTTTTCAACAAAATAATTCTCTCTCTATAAGGAACTCTTCCTCTAGTCCCTTCTTATTTAGTATTTATATGTTTATTGACTCTATAAACATCACTTGATTTCCTATCTTTATAGATATGTTCTTATCTTTAAAGGAAAAATAATATCCTAAGCTATGATTGGACTCTGAACAGACCTTCTGAACTTATTTAATGACATTCGCATCTATATGTAATTTTGATATTTAAGTTGTATTATTATTCTAAATTGCCCAAATTAAATTAAAAATTGTATCTTTTAAATTTCATTTTTATAACCTGCAAGGGCACGGATCTGTTCCCGTTTCTGCCCAATGATAAGGAAAGTTTCTGTTAGGATCTACTCCATAACAGAGTGGAGCATCTCCAATGCCACAAACTTTTGTTGTTTTGTATGGCCCAGAACGTGTATGCCTCCAAAGTCCTTTAAATTCTTAATAACTTTAATTTTCGAATTTTAGTTTAACTATCTCTTGTCCAAGTATATTCATATCCATCAGGATTTAATACAGGAATAATATGTACATCAATATGGTCAAGTAGGGACCTCCATTTTGGATTATTAATGAACTTTAAAAAAATTTTTTTTAATAATTTTTGTGCTACTTTAGATCTCTAGGACTTTATTATTTTGATTCATTTACCTAGGGACCGAATTTCTTCGGCATATGAACTTAATTGGGGATGATTGGGGAGACGTTTGTATCTAATTAGGTAACTTGCTTAAGAATAAATTAATTAATAAAATAATTTTATTAATCTACACCTCATTATAAGATAAAAATCTTTTTCAACCCCATAGTGTAAATTATAGTGCAAATTTAACTAAATTGAGTTGATCCGACGTAATTTTATCTCCTAATTTATTTCCTCAATTAAAGCCTAATATTTTTGATATTCTCTCTCTTATTAAATTTTAGTTAATTAATTTACAGCATTAATAGCATTCAAAGCAACTGCAGGTGCAATCCATTCTCTTGCTAAATTTAAAAAAGTTTTTTTATTTTAATTTGGTTCAAAACCATGTATTCCTCCATCTAAAAGAAATATAGGCTTAATTGTTTTATTGTTAAATGGAGCATAGCCAAGCTTAAAAAAATTTTTTTTTATTTTTTCAAAATTAAAATTTTTTAGTAATATGTATTTATTCTGCAAATTATTTGAATGTTCAAACACACTTTTAGATACCCTTCAAGATACGCTTTTTTCAATTTTGGTTAGTCACAAAACCAAAAAAATTTTTAAAGTGCTTTTTTAATTCAAAAATAAAACTGATACTTAATTAAAATCGGTTTTTTTTAATTTTATTTACAGAAAGTCGTGGATAACGTGTCAATAAAATATACTTTTAAAGGTACTTGTGGGCTATCCCTACGGACTTTTCCGGACACAATTGTACGGAATGGTCAGTTTCTCCCTCCCTTTCTTCCCTTTTAAAATATACATGGTTGAGATAGATCTAATTTTATTATTTTTACCTTTAATACACCCAAATCTCTCAATTCAGTTGTTTTCCCAATACTCTCATATTTTGCAATTTTTGGATTTTCTTTTGCAATTAATTGCAAATATTGAATTATCTATTTAAATAATTTTTGAATTTTATTATTTAATTTTTTACAGAATTATATCGATGATAACGCCCCAAATCAAATTCTTCAATACTTGTAATTAATTCTTCATCCCATTCATCTAATAATTCATAACGGAGAGTTTCGCCGGAAACACGCATTTGCCTATATTTAAATTAAATTTTTTAATTGTTTTTTTTTAATTTATTGTCGACAATCAAAAAATTTATAAAAATTTTCACATGAATCCAGCTAAATTTTCTTTTAGTTTATTTGATAAACAAAAATAAAAATTACAAATTTGAGTTAGGATTGGTTGGGCGGTTTTTTTCCTCATTTCGAAGAGCTTTAAAAACAGAATGCCGTTCAGGCTTTCGCTATTTTCTGGAATGGACTGAGTCATTTTAATAGTCATCTTTGTTAAGTCAACTATTAAAATCCCTAAAATTCCCAATTATTTTACCAAAGATTCTTCCCAGATTCTAAATTAAAAAATATATTAGCGATTTTTTCACTCCATTCCCTTGCCTAATTAAAAAAAAATTCTTTAAATTTTTAACAACTTACAGCCCAAAATCTTCAATTAAAGTAGAATACACTATTTTTTTGTCATCAAAAAAATCTAAAAGTTTTCTTTCACTTTCTGGCCCGGAAAATATTTCTGCAGGCATTCCAGGCTGGGAATGAACTTTCCATATTTGTATATTATTTTCTTCAGATTTTAACATATTAATTGAACGAGTAATATTTTTAAGTTCCATTAATTGTGATTTGTTTGAAAGAAAGGCACGGAAAAGTTTAAAACTTTAAAAATAAAATTTAAAGATATTTTGAAAATAAATACAGTCTCGGGCTTCGATTTTATATACGATTTTGGAGGTAGAAAAATAACATGCTCTACCAATTACCCATCTTAAATAATTACCTAATTACTTTCTCCAACAGTTTAATTTCTTCCAGATTTATTATTACAGGATATTTAGTATCCCTTGGAAGTTTTCCTCTACCCAGTGAACAAAAAAGAAAAATATTTATTTAATTTGGATGGACATAAAATCATGTTCTGAGTGTTCCATTTAAATGGTAAAAACGTTTAATAAATAATTTTACAACAAAGTTTTGCCAAAGTTATTTACCGTAAATACTCTAATAGAAGCCCTGGGCTTATATTTTTCAATGTGCCCCTCGGATGGGCTTATATTAGATGTGGGTGTCTGTTAGAGAATTTACAGTATTAAAAACATACCCGTCATACTGTCGATGAACGTGTTTTTCCTCTTCAGATTTTGCAAATGTTAATAATGTAAAAATTACTGATAATAACAAGAACATTATTTTTTAAGTTTATTTTAGACAATCAAAAAAAAATAATTTTTTCTGTAGTAATTTTTAACTTTAAATACTTTTTTGGATATTTATTCAATTTTTATTTATTTAAATAAACAGTAAAATAAAATATAAAATTATTATGTACAAACAAATTTTTTCTTGTCTTTTTTGTTAAATACAAACCATTTTTATGTCTATCTATTTTTTCAAGAACAATTACTAAATCAATTTATTATTTTTTTATTTAATTTTCTTGAGTGAATAATAAAAATTTATATAATTTTTATTTGATTAACAAATAGTTTTGGTGATTAAGTTTTTTTGTATATTTTACTATTTTTATGAAGAAAAAACAAATAAAGTAGAGTAGCCTTTTGTTGAAAAAAATTTTTTTACCAAACAGAAATGTGTATAGTTTTTATATTTTTATTAATATTTTTAAAATAAACTAGAAACTCGATATATTGACACCCCTAAGGAACGATATTCGTCGGATTTGTTAATTTTTAAGAAAACAAGGTGATCTAAGAAGGAGTCAAATTGGACCGGCCACAAACCTCAGTGAGCGACGTGAAAAGGGAGAAGTAAAAGGAGGCAATATTGTTGGCGGATTTTTAAGTTAGATAATTAGAAATTCACCAAGAGGAAAATTTATTGCTTCGAAATTTCAATTCTCTTAAAATCGTTTTCAAAACAATATCGGATATTGACACAAAAATTGTTCAAAAAATTGGGAAGATTTTTAATTGCTTTAGCTAGGCACTAAGATTAAAAGACATGTCTAATTTGTAAGAGGTATCAGTTGAAGTGAGGATAAGTTAAAAACGAGTAACTACTAAGCATAAAATTCTACTAATTAAACTACGATGTTATTTTTTAAAAAAATTAGTTTTTAAAGTTAAGAATATTAAAATAACCCTTTTTCCTTATATTCTAATTACTCAATGTACACCGAATGCTGCAACATTTTACTCGTAAAAGCACAAAAACGAGAACAAAATTTTAGAGCTCTTTTTAAATCTTTAATCATTTACAGTTTCCAATTATCCTTGAAAATTTTTTGGAATAAGAGCTCTAAAATAGCTACAAAGTATATATACATATATGTACAAGAATGGAAAAATATAGTAAAAAGAGTTCGAATTTTTCACAATAACGGCACGGTATTCGGGTTCTTTTCTTTTAAAAGGACCCGGGCCTTCGAAAAACCGGATTTTATCAAAATACCCTGTGTTTCTTGTCTACCAGGCCTGAAAACCCGGTTCCGATCTGGATTCGCACTCTAAAAATAAATTCCAAATAGAACAAGGACATAGTTTAGAAGGAAATAATTTTTAAAAAAATAAAGGATAAATGAGTGTTGAGAAAGGGTTGTTACTCGTCCCGGCTATATCTATATCAAACGGAAAAAACAATTCTTATCTAAAAGTTTTCAACATCCAGTTGATCAATTTCAATGTTGATCACTCTCCCGGCTGATTACTCTCAGTTGATCACTCTCAATCACTCTCACGGAAACTTAATTAACCAGGAGAGTGATCAACATTGAAATTGATCAACTGGAGGTTGAAAAACAGTTTTTTTTCAGTTTGATATTTTTATATATATATCAGTTTTAGATATACATAAATTGTTTTTTTCCGTTTGGTAACCAAAATTCCTATTGGTTTTCAAATTTTTAAAATACGCCAAACGCAGAACGCCAAAAATCAACGCCAAACGCCATGCACAGCTCTCTTCCCCAGGTTCATTAAGTCCCACGAGTTGAGTACTACTAGAACCATATTTTGAGCCATAACTTTTTGGTTTTTCAACCAATGTGAATAAATTTTATATCATTCGAAAGCCCTGGACTTGATCAGATCAATAGCTAGGTTGATTAAGAATTGAAAAAGTTATGGCCCAAAATATGGCGGTTTTTTCAAAACCCGTTTTCCTTAAAATTATCCCTCAATGGTTCTTGGCCATTTTCGCCTCCCCATCCTCGCAAATAATAACCTTAGTTTGGATCTCTGAAAAAAGGTGTTAGAACTAAATTGGCCTTCGCTTTAGAGTCAGTTTTTTCTCCCGAATGTGTTGTAAAAATGTGATCTGACCTTTCCCCTCCCAACTAAGTTGCCTTGAGTCAAAAAATTTTTAAGCTTTTATCCCTATAAATTGTTCTCCTTTCTAATCCTTGCGATTATCTGCGGGAAAATCCTCGAATCTCAGGTAACAACCCAAATCCCTATTTGGAATGTACAAGAAGTATGTTTTTACATGTTTGTGTGCTTTTCTACGTTTCGATCTTTTTACAGGCGTTTTCTTTACTTGTTGCCTTCGAATTTCTCACCTCGTCATTTGGGTGGCTGTGAAAAGAACAATAATTAATATTTTTCTGATTATAATTTAATATTTGTTTACGTTAGTTTTGGTAGCATCAGTTGGAGGTTTAATTCCACATTTTTCACCGCATTTAATGCATTCTTGTGGAAGTGGTGGAGGTGGTGGATGTTGACCATTTGGAGGTGGAGGAGGTTGCCCATCTTTTGGAGGAAGAGGAGGTTTACCACCTGAGGTTGATGGAGGAGGTGGTGGTTTATGAAGAATTGTTATAAGAGCTTGGACACAGCCGACCACCTAGTTAATATATTTTTGTTAAAATTTTAAGATTTCTATCTGAGATTTTAAACTAATTTTAAAGAAAAATAATCAATTTACTAAAAATTTTAAATAGAAAGTTCTTACATCTTTATCCGCCGGTTGTGTTTCACCTTAATTATTTTTATATTAAATTTTAACAGATAATTTTTAAAAATAAAACCTTTAACTAACGAGAAAAGAACAGCAAGAGCGCCGATGAAAACTCCAATCTTGATCGCCATAATCAAAGCAGTAGCTAACGAACGCTTTGAGAATTTGAGTTTTTTGTTTAAATTTGGTAGGATGAGGAAGGGTTGTCCGTCCTCCTTTCGATTCTGTAGTCGACTACGATGTTCCACCTTTCTTTTATATGCTCCGATTGTGTTGCCAGAAAGTTGCATTTTTGGGAGTAATGGGAAGGGAATATAGGCGGAGATTGATAGAAAAGGGCAAAAACGTCAGGTGAAGTGTTGATTGCGTGACTTGTCTCTTGACTTTCTTCTTTGTCTATGTCCTTTTCTCCTTGCCAATTAAACAAAGAAAATATTTAAAATTAAATTGCCATAAAGGAAGACTTGGTATTGATCATTAAAAGGGCATTTATGACAGGAGACAGGGATTCTAAATTTTAAAAAAGACTTTAAAAAATGCCAGACTCCTTCCCGTAAGCAGGCCTCATGTGAATGTCTGTCTGCGATTGGGAATCAGAAGACAGACCTCACTCATGATTAAGGGCATTTCTAGTGAAGGCATTATTGAAATGGAGAATTTTAAATAATTTCAGACAACCGGCAAAATTCTATTAATTGAGAAAATAAAACTTTTTGGGTCCAATGTCAATTTAACATTAAAAATTTTAGAAGTTTCAGGTTAGGAATTGGAGAATCTTAAGAATTGGAGAAGATATTTCATAATGCGCATGATGAGAAGTTTAAATTTAAATGCTTGCCGAATAAAAAAGCATGTAAAAATAAATAAAAATAAATTTTTAAAATAGACAGGAAAATATTTTTTGTCAATGTTTGTAAATTAAATTGACAGTGGCATTGATTTAAAAATTGATTTATCCAAAAAAATAAAATTTTTAAAAATATTTGGCAATAATTTTTGACAAAACAAATTCTCAATTAAACACGACTTTCTATCCAATAAACTTGCTGAACTTAAATAACAAAATTATTAAGTCAGGCACTAAAAAACAATGTCAGAATTTCATCAACAGTCAAAATAAAATTCAAAAATGACGTTAATACAACCCAGCATTTTCCTTGAACATTTAGCCGAACATTGTCATTAATCAAGGAACACAAACGACGATATCCTGCCTGTCAGTTAATAAGTCAGATAATACTTCCAAAATTCCAACCGATTTTGATCTAAACCAGTGCTGGGTATAGCTCCGGGATCTGGCTCCGGAGCCAGCTCCGGCGGAGCCGGAGCCAAGAATTTGAACTGGCTGGAGCCGGAGCCAAGATTTTAAAAGGCCGGAGCCCGGAGTCGGAGCCAGGATTTTAGAAGCCCGGAGCCGAAGCCAACAAATAGCAAATACCCAGCACTGGTCTAAACAATATAGTATTTAAAGAAAAAGCTTTCAGTGTAGTTATTCTTCATTCAAATCAAAATTTTCTAAAATGACTGTAACAGTGCCAAAGTACAACGACGATACCAATACAGACGTTACACAGGAGTCCATTCAAGTTCAACCACAAATATTAGAAACTTACAACCAAAATACATCAAAGCCGGCGGGCTTTAAACGAACGCCGCAACAAGTGAATTAGCTAAGCTTTTTTAAACATATAAAATTTTATAGGCTTATTGTCCCAAATGTGAAGAATATGTTTTGACAAAAATCAAATATGTGTGTGGTATGGCTAGGGAACGACAAATCAACGTTTTCTTAAGAAAAAAAAGTTGATTTAATAATATCAACAATTATTCGCGAACAACTTTTTTTAAAATACATAACGCCAGAACAACGTTAATATCAACGTTTTGCGCCAAACAACTGCGAATCAACGTTTTTGTATCTTTTTTTCTCTGCTCTGCCGTTATATTTCTCTCCTTTTTTCTGTTAATTTTCTTCTGTGTAGTCTCTCCTTTGGAATTTTAAATAATTTTACGAGTAGAATTTTTTTATTAAAATTGAAAAAAATATATAAAACAACAAAATTTTATTCATCTTTAAATAATGATTGTAATGAAATAAGTGTGGAAATAGTATGCGGATCAAAACGATTTCGTTTATAATCATATACTAAAGGAGAAAAACGGGAAAATATGCGTTCACAAGAAGTAGAAGAAGAAGGAATTGCTAAAAAATGCTTAGAAATGGATGAAAGGTGTGGAATTTTCATTGAATTTTCTTTCCAAAATTTAAGCAAATCTAGCTTATGTCCTCCCAAATTCTTACATCCAGTTTCATACTGTTCCATCTCAAAGTCTATCTCAGTCCTCATTGCATTTTGGCCAAAGGTAACTAGACTTGGTGAAACTAAATTTTCTATTAAACTTATTCTGGATAAAATAAAAACCGTTTTCCACGTGTGGGCGTAAACATTCAGGAAAGTTTTGTTTTGCAACATTTCTAACGGCTTTTTGTATCTAAAATTTAATAAGTCAATATTAAAATCTAAATAAAAACCGTTTCATAGTCACCCCAATGACAATTCGTTTGACACACTTTCTTAAGAATTCCACAAACAGCAGGATCAAGGTAAGCAGCACATCTGATGATAGAAATACTTTCCGTATTTGCAATGAAAATAATAAAAATAATAAAAATAATAAATAATAAAAAAATAATAAAAATACCTCAAATTATGTGTGCCTGCGTAATTGAATATCGAATTGCACTTTTTACAGACCACAAGATTCGTTAAATTTTCTTTATCGTCTATGACACAATCGAAATGGCTTAAAATAACTAATAAAATTTATTGAATGTTTTACTAATACCTTCCGAATATTCTACTTTCATTCCATGATCGCCTACTCTTCGGACTTCCTAGATCTAATCCCTTTACGATATCGGATTTTCGACGTTTCGATGACGGTGTCACAGGTTCTTCGAGATCGCCGCTTTCGAATGCGACTCTTAATTCATTTTCAAATTCATCCATCTAGTAAGAATATATGTGGAAAAATCCCTAAAAATTACAGAAAAGGGACTGAACATTTATAAAAATGGAAAATTGCAAATTCCAAAGGAGAGACTACACGAACGAAAATTAACAGAAAAAAAGAAGAGAAATATAATGGCAGAGCAGAGAAAAAAAGATACAAAAACGTTGATTCGCAGTTGTTTGGCGCAAAACGTTGATATTAACGTTGTTCTGGCGTTATGTATTTAAAAAAAAGTTGTTCGCGAATAATTGTTGATATTCGCCGCGAATCAACGAAAACGTTGATTTGTCGTTCACTAGGTATGGCTACTTGGTTGCTGGTCTTTCTCTTTATGCTCTTCGGGTGAATTTTTAATAAAAATTCAAAAAAAATATTTTTTCTTCAGTCTTTATTGTGGTTGTTGTCTTATTCCATTGTGCATCAAAAGTTTTAAGGACGTTGAACACCGCTGCAGTCAATACAATACTCTTATTGGTACACATGGACGTATGGCATGTGAAGGGCCTCAAAGTCCTCAACCTCAACCAACTTTCGTTCTATCTCCAAATATACACATACATAATAACAACAAAAGGAGGTGAAGGGCATGTTCGGTATATGTGAAATTGTGATTTTTGTGATAAAACAATGATATATTTACTATCAATATTATTTCTAATAAAAAATTAGTTAAATTCTGGTGTTGTGTTAGATTTGCACTTATGGAAGAATCAGGTTCGATGCCTGGCGACAGTTGTTGGCTGCTTTAATCTAGTCTCCGTGGCTGCTTTAATTTTTAGGCCGATTGCAATGTTAGGCAATCGGACCTAACATTGCTTGTAAATTTCGAGACAGCCCTACTAACAAGAATAGTAAAATCCTTAGCCCTCCCATCCACATGTAAGTAGCCGCTGTGGTTAATTTAATTAAACCAACAAAATAATAGTGTTTGGCAATCCCGGAAAATTAGGGTCCCTGTGAAAAGTTTAAAAATAGGAGAAAACCAACGTGATTGGAAAGTAATTGGACAAAAAATCTGATCTCAGCTTTTCAAAATCTGACACGAAATCAGATTCGTAATCAGCATATTTTTTTACCTTAGAAACATCATTTCTCCTAATTTTAAACTTCTTTTGCAGGGATCCCAATGCCTAGTCTTTTATTTAAAATTCATTTACTTTTTTTGATAAATTTTATTTGAAAAAAAATTTTTTTTAAGAATTTACAAAAAGAAATTTTACAAGAAAAAAATGTTAAAATAGCCCGTTTGTTAAAAAAAAATTGATAGGATATATAATACATAACGGCAGTTAAATAACTTTCAAAATTTTAATTTAATCCTTTTCCGTTAAAAAACAAACATCCAAAACACAAAAAGGTAAACGACATGTTGGACACGGCGCTCGTCCAGCCATCCATATTTCCGGCAAATTTTGATTTTGTTTGGAAGCAAAAATTCTTCCCATACATCGAGCACACCTAAAAAAAATTTTTTTTAACAAAATATTTTTATTTAAATTTAAACTAACCACATTGGTCGGCATTGACAATTACGACATTTTTCGTAGCTTGCACCATCTTGAATGTCTAGAGAATCGATACATTTCTTTACTAGTTTGACTTGTGCCGGTAGTTGAGAACAGCCTAAACAAGGCTCCAGATCCTTTAAAAATTAATTTTTAAAAAGTTTTTTTAGAATATTAAGTGGAAAATAATTAAAAGGCGAAAGATAAAAATTTGGGCTCTTGTCCAGTTTAAGCGTCCAATCGCACGTTTATACATCCAACGAAAATGTTAATGGACGCATAAACTGGACAAAACCCAAAATCTTCTTACCTCTTTCTGTTTATAATCGTAACGAGGATTTCTTTCCAATTCTTTTATAAAAGCATCAACAAAACTAAAAAAGAATTCTATTTATTTTAAATTTCAATTTTTAAATTCAAAACCGTTCATGTAAAGGCTGTGGAAGTGCTAAAGAATCCAAAACTTCAATTGGACGCCCAATCTGATCTTTCAAATTATTTAGTTCTTGCTGATTTCGAATTCTTAAAATTTAAATAATTTTTAAATAAAAAGATTTTCGGAAAAAAGATTTTTCAAAAAATTAAAAAACGAAAACTTTTGCCTTCTCGTTTAGAAACTAAAGAAAAGCTAAAAATATGAAGGAAAAAGTCTGAAAAAAAATTACGCATGGATTACCACGTTACATATCCTTATAAATGCCAAATAGTTTATTAGGTATTTTCATGATTTTTTAGTAGGTACTTTCCAAAAATTAAAAACCGGAAACTTCAAATCAATTAACGTGCTTAACACATATTTAAGATATACATTAGTTTTGCTCAAAAAATTTTTTTTAAATCCACCCAAAACCCAACCCCAAAACAAAATTCAAATTAATTAAAATTACCTTATGTGAAAAGTTTCAAAACATCCACTTCTACTACAAACACGTAAATCAATTAAATGTTCAGCGGAAGTTGAAACCAAACCATCATGACTTGGAACACTCTGAAAATGAAGAAAAATATTTTTTCAAAAAAATTTTTTTACTTGATGTAAAGGACTAGAACGGACAATAACCAATTGGGAATCAGAAATTCTAGCAAAATTGACATTGTAATTGGTAATTTTTAAAATCCATTCATCAGTTATTATTGTACGTGAACAATCTGGAAATTTAAAAAAAAAATCAAAAAAGTGATTGTCAAATTTATCTTCTTAATTTCTTTTGTTAGAAGGATCTAGGATATCACACGTGGAAGATTATATCCTATGAAAGTAAAGAAAAAAAACTTGGACTAGATTCTTGATTTAGGTTGAGGACCTCGACCTAATTCGTGACAGAGTCAAAGAAAATCAGGGTTTAGGAGGAAAAATCAAGGCCTGAATCCAGATCATTGTCGATCTCTATAGGGGAGAAATCGTAAATAATTTTTAAAAATAATTTCCCAGCCAAACTTAAACATTTTTTCTCCTTACGATTATTAAACTTAAAACAACTCCTGCTAACAAATCCTAATTTTTAGACAAAACATAATTCATTAAACAAAAAAAAACCTTTATTTATCATTGAAAAAAGCATAGGCCTTCTAACTTCAATATTAATTTGTATTGCCAACTCACGCCACGGCCCGTCTTGGGGATTATTCAGGAGACGTAAACGGCGTATCATATAATGACGTTCCCAATCATTTAAATAAAGAATCGAGCAGAAACAAGCAGTTGCTTTAAATGTTCTTTAAAAAACTGAATAAAATTTTAAAAAAACCAGTAGAAAGAGCGATAGACAAATAAGCCATTATTTGAATAAGGTTATGTGGAAGAGGTGTAAATACAGGTTGAGGAACACATAATTCAAGTCCAACGAAACAAACTAAAAATATATTAAATAAATTTAGATTTTAAATAAGGAATTGGTGAGAAATTTTGGATCTTATTCCTTATCCATTTATGCGACCAAATGACCCATCTATAGTGCCAGGCCCGTAGCCAGAATTTTTTTCAGGGGCAAGGGGAAAATTTTTGGCGCCGAAAACGAAAATTTTGATCATTTTGGGGGGTAAGAAGCTTTTAAATTTTCGTCTAATCCCTTCCCCAAATTTTTTCCTTTTCCGCATTTCGGAGGTGGAGGGGCAAGGGGTAAAGTAGCCACCAGGGCCCGTAGAATAAATTCGGGGTTAGGTTACCCGAGTAACTTTTCCCCCACAAAACGAAGAAAAGAGAAAAATCCTTGCGCCGAAGAAATGAAGAAGAAAAGAAAGAGGAAAAGAATACGGTAGAGGTGGAGGGTAAAATTGTTACACTGCTAAGGGGCAGTGTAGACATTTTATTTAAAAAATCCTTAAAAATCGAGATCTCATGGAGAAATTATAAATTTAATATTTTTGGATAGTTTGAAATGTCCTCTATTTAATGATATAAATTTTGGAATTTTTTCTTGGAAAATCAATTTATGGCAATTTTTAGAAAAAAGTACCTCATTTTTTAGTCATTTTTTAAGGAAAAGTAGTACCTTGCTAGAAAATTCATAACTTTTAGATAGGTCGGTCAAAATTTTTGATTTTTTGGTAAAACATAGTTAACATTCCAATCTATGTTTTGGCATAAAAATAAAATTTTTATCGCCATTTAAAAAAAAGTTATGAATTTTCTCCTAAATAGGGAGAATAAGAAGCGGGTAGCGGCGCCAAACCCTTTGCTTAGGGTCAAGTCGGCGCTGCCGCTACCCGGGTAACCTTACCCTCGAATTTATTCTACGGGCCCAGGAGTGAGCGCATTGCGTTTTGCGTTATTTGCGTTAAATTTTGGCCTTGCGTTGCGTTTTGCGTTTTTTTCGATGAAATTAACGCAAAAATACGCAAAAAATATACCCAATCTGAGGACAAAATTGGAGAAATCTAGCTTCATATCTTTTTAAATTTCTCAAAATTTTCGCCTGCGGCGCAGAAAAAGGAAGAAATCTGGCTACTTAGCCTTCCAAAATTCTTAAAATTTTCGCCTGCGGCGCTAAAATGAAGAAGTATAATGAGTGGTTAAGGGAATGATCAGTTGTCCTGAAGGGTTAGAAGGGTTATGATTCATCAAATCATCTAGCATCATTTTAATTTAGTAAACCTGAACCAATTTTATTTATATCCTCTTAATCCTCTTATATCTCTTCAACCCCTGATACCTACTTTATGCTGAAATCCCTGTCATCTTTTTAATCTGAGAGCCTAAATTGAAAGAAATCTAGCTTCTGGATTTCCAAATTTCTCAAATTTTTGCCTGCGGCGCCAAAAGTAGGGGATTTAATTACATGTTTCCATCATGGAGCAGTTCAAAAAATATAGGTTTAGTATCTGTAACTCAGATCTCACGTTCTCTCCAAATCCCCTGATTCCCCGGCATCAATTCGTAACTACAGTAGCCCCTTATCCTTCGATATATCCCCAACTTAACCGACATCCTTCGGTAATCATATGGATTTTTTCAAATCTGTTGATCCCTCCAAAATACATCCGTAATAACCAGCTACTTTGTTAAACCCCTTGATCTCTGTAAATCCTATGATATCCTTCATAATCCCTTATATCCCCTATATTACTCCAAATTATTACCCATTCAACTTACATGTATCATAAAATCAATAGGACTCCCCAACTTATAGTAATACTTCGATTTTTAACTGAAAAAATGGGTAATACATGATAAAAAAATTTTTTTCCGAATTTTTCGTTCTTGCGTTTTGCGTTATTTGCGTTAAATTTTGGCCTTGCGTTGCGTTTTTTGAGATTGGCTCTTGCGCTCATCCCTGGTAGCCACCCCTGGCTACTAGCCTGTATAGTGTAATCGACCTTTTTATGCTCATTCTAAACCTTATCCCTATAAAAGATCTATCTGGACATATGTTTTTATTAGACATATAGTCCGATCAGAGATTGTGTTAGTAATGTTTCTTCTTACACAAGAGCCGAAATTTTTGTAAATTTTCTGAAAATAAATTTAAAAAAATTCTCCCATAAAATGATTTTAATAAAAATATTTTACTAACGAAAAGGTAAAGAGGCATGAACCATAATTGTTAGTAATGTTCTTCTCAAATGATATTCAACAAAATTAAATCTGAAATTGTTTAAATTTTCTCTAATAATAAAGCTTTTTAATATTCTCTCCAAAAATGTCCATCAAACCCCAAAAAATTCATTTTTGACCATTTTTAAAAAATAAATTTATTTTTAAATAAAAAACCTTTCATCTCCCAGCCAGAATGCAAAAACTTTTGAAATTGTAAATCCTGCTGACTGCATTGCATCTGATGGAAGTATGACAACTAGACAAAGAAATGCTGACAGAATAAGGAAGAAAAGAAATTCGGAAAATGATATTCCAAGTTCCATAATTTTTAAATGAAAATTCGGCTGAAAATTTTTAGAATTTATAAAAAAAGTTTTATGTTTAAAAATGCTAAAAAAACATACAAAAGTATATATTTACACATCATTTTATCGAGTCATCATTGAACTTTTTGTTGCTAAAATGCGCATTCCACGCGGAACGGGCCTTTGAGTACCGCCTCTTAAATATTTGCGAGACTCAAGTGACCAAATTTAAAACACTTTGCCAAAACTAAATTTTTAAATAAAAATCGATTTTATCGAAAGGGACACGCCCAAGTAGGCGCGCGGCAAGGCGCAAAGCCATAACCTGTTGGAAAATTTCTGGACCTTAACAATTTCGGTACCAATCTCTTTAACTCGATGAGAGGTATCGTTTAATACTAAATTTGGTAAGAATCGGAAATTTTCCAACAAGTTATGGCTTTGCGCCGAAATGGTCGTGCGCCTACTTGGACTGTACTTTATCGAAAAATTGAAACTAAAGAACCTCAAGCAAAGCTTAGGATGATTTGTAATTTTTGAATTACTTTTTCGTGTTGTTCGTTTACTAGCGATGGGTTTGGCCACTGGGGTTGATATCAGGATACTCTGGCAGTTTTTTTATGACTCTGCCCGTTGGAAAGCCTATCGGCTTTAGGGGCGCGCTTCGCGCGCCGCTAGCGATTTTTTATGCATGGAACAAAAGATAAGCATTCAGTTGGGACTCATCCTTCCACTTAGAGACACTTCGGGACTTCGGCCTTCGTCTTTCCCCCATTTGACTTCGTCTTTTTCTTTTTTTTTCGGGACTTCGTCTTTCCCCCATTTGGAATCATCCTTCCACTTAGAGTCACTTCGGGCCTTCGGCCCTCGTCTTTCCCTCGATTGGACTCATCCTTCTACTTAGAGTCAGTTCGGGCCTTCGGCCCTCGTGTTCTCTCTGTTTGGACTCATCCTTCCACTTAGAGTCGCATCGGGCCTTCGGCCCTCGCCCTCCCTTTTAGATGGGTGTCAGCTCGGGCCTTCGGCCCTCACCCTCTCTTTTAGATGGGTGTCAGCTCGGGCCTTCGGCCCTCACCTTCTCTTTTAGATGGGTGTCAGCTAGGGCCTTCGGCCCTCACCCTCTCTTTTAGATGGGTGTCAGCTCGGGCCTTCGGCCCTCGCCTTCCCTTTTAGATGGGTGTCAGCTCGGGCCTTCGGCCCTCGCCCTCTCTTTTAAATGAGTGTAAGCTCGGGCCTTCGGCCCTCACCCTCTCTTTTAGATGGGTGTCAGCTCGGGCCTTCGGCCCTCGCCCTCTCTTTTAGATGGGTGTTTGCTCGGGCCTTCGGCCCTCACCCTCCCTTTTAGATGGGTGTCAGCTCGGGCCTTCGGCCCTCGCCCTCCCTTTTAAATGATTGGACTCATCCTTCTACTTAGAGTCAGTTCGGGCCTTCGGCCCTCGTGTTCTCTCTGTTTGGACTCATCCTTCCACTTAGAGTCGCTTCGGGCCTTCGGCCCTCGCCCTCCCTTTTAGATGGGTGTCAGCTCATGCCTCCGGCCCTCGCCCTCCGTTTTAGATGGGTGTCAGCTCATAATTAATCTCCGCTTATTATCCCCTCTTGAAAGACTACTCATTCGACCATATTTCTACCAACTCTAAATCCCGGATTTCGATGTTCGAACTACGAACTTCGAATTTCGACTTTATCCTTTATCCCATTCAACCCCCACGATCATCCCCTCTTGAATGAGTACTCATTCGACCAAACTTCCCAACCCCGAAAATAACGGATTTCGAAGTTCGAACTCCGAACTTCGAATTTCGACTTTATCCTATATCCCATTAGACTCCCCTGAACATCCCCTCTCGAATAAGTACTCATGCGACCACATTTCCCAACACCGAAAATACCGGATTTTGAAGTTCGAACTCCGATTCAGTATAGATTGAAGTTCGAACTCCGATTCAGTATAGCCGATTCAGTATCGCCGATTTTTGAATTACTTTTTCGTGTTGTTCGTTTAATATATCTTTTTTACGGTTAAGGACGATTCAGTATCGCCGATTCAGTATAGCCGATTCAGTATCGCCGATTCAGTATCCGATTCAGTATATGGCCATAACTTTTCTGATATCCGACCGATTTGAATAATTCTCATATTATTCGAAAGGTCCCGAGATTCGACATCTTTTTCATAATTGGCCCGATCAGATCTGATGATCTCAAAAAAAGTTACAGCGTGAAAACCGATCTTTTATGCCTGTGACGTCGTTTATCAGTGATAACTTTTTGTAAAGTGATCAGATCAGGTCAGTCCAATTATGAAAAAGATGCAGCACCCCAAGGCCTATCAAATCATATATAATAATTTCTACAATTTTGATCGAGCAAAAAGTTATGGCCAAAAAGCCCAAATACTGAATCGGCCAATACTGAATCGGCTATACTGAATTGGCGATACTGAATCGGCGATACTGAATCGTCCCCTACCCTCTTTTTTAGGCAAATAATTATTATTTTTCCGAAAAAACATACAAAATGACTCAATTCCTTCCTGACAATTTGCTTGGATTGTTTGCGCCACGTCCTCCTATTCAATATAAACCACCACCTGATGACCTTTTTATCAATCGAAAACACATTCCAATAACTGGAGTTGCGGAGTATGTTCAACAATTTGAGGTTTGTTTTATTTTAAATTGGGTACTTAAAGGGGTTGTCTTTTCCAAACCACCAAAATGGGCGCAGCCACTCGAAAATAGGGAAGAAATAGGGCGAAAAGATCAAAAATAGGGAACATCCCCTATAAATAGGGTAAAAAACAACCCTGACTTAAAGGGGTTTGTGTCCGCTGGAAAAAGATAATTTTATTTTTTCCTTAATATGTACATATAATGGTCAACTTTCTTCTTCCTCAATTTTATTCTATTCCCATGTGGCGTATTCAAATGATAAACATTAATAAATAGAAGATTATCATGGGACAATAATGACTGAAATGGCAAAAATGAAAATATTGATCCTAAATATTTGTGATATTGAAGAAAAATTGAGGAAGAAAGGCTGACCATTCACATAATAAGGGAAAAATATAATTATGTTTTTCCAGCCGATACAAACTAGGGTTTCGCCGGAACCGAAATTTTGACCGGAACCGGAACCGGATCCAATTTGAGTTCCGGTTCCCGGAACCGGAACTTTTCAAAGTTCCGGCCCGGAACCGGAACCGGAACTTTTAAAAAAATTTTTGCTAGCAAATTTTTAAAAATTTGTAGTTTAAATAGGGTTGTCTGTTCACCAACTTCATCGGTTAACCGAAACCGAACCTAACCGAGACTTTTGATTAACCAAAACTGAACCGAAAATCTGTCGGCAATAAGTGATATACATATTTGGGCTAGAGAGTGGTGTATAACGGATTTGGTGGTATAAATGTTTGATATCGGACGATATAAGGAATCAGAATTGTAAAGGGGTCCACATCAAAATCCACATTAATCCATCCAAATAATCCGTTATACCATTCAACTTTCTTTTTCAGCGCCGCAGGCGAAAATTTTGAAAATTTAAGAAGGCTGTAAGCAAAAAAATCATACGAAATATTTTAAGAATTTTAGAGGGCCAAAAAACCTTAATTACTCCATGTAAAAATAAAATAATTTTTAAAACAAAATTAAACTCGTAAAATGATTAATTTATTGAAAGAAAAATTTGAATATTTATTGTCCTACGATTGGGAAGCGAACCCAACTTAAATTCATTAACACATTGAGTGAAGCCCAAACCCTTAACCACTCGGACACACGCTCATCAGAAATCACCTGAAAGAAAATAAACATATTTCTTTCGATTTTTTTATTACAAGTATAAGAGTACTAGTATTTTATTAATATTTTTTAAAAAAACTAATCCTTAGGGGTGTAAAAAAGTTCCGGTTTGGCCGGAACCGATTTGTAAACCGGAGCCGGAACCGGAACCGGAACCAATTTGAGTTCCGGTTCCCGGAACCGGAACCGGAACCAAAAAAAACACCGGAACTTCCGGAACCCGGAACCGGAACCGGAACTTCCGGCGAAACCCTAATACAAACCCTATAAGTACCTTAAATTATTTTAAGGACCCAAAGGATGCCCCACCAAAGGTTCGCATTGAAACTCGTGACGAAAAACGGATTCGCAAAAGAAAGGAGAGGCAAGAACTTATGGCATATAAGATTGAACAGGGAATTGCTACTTGGACACCCGCAGATAATCCTAAAGCTGCTGGTGATCCATACAAAACACTTTTTGTTTCAAGAATTGTAAGTTGTTCTTTGTTATTATTTTATTAAATATAGAATTTACTTTAGAACTATGAAACTTCTCAATCTAAAATGAAGCGAGTGTTTGAAAAGTATGGCAGAATTAAAAAGGTTTATTTCATGTTTTTAAACTTTTATTGATATTCAGATTGAATTAATTCATGATTTAAATGGAAAGCCGCGTGGTTATGCTTTTATTGAATATGAGCACAAATCGGATATGGCAGGTTACTTGTTTTAAAATTTTAAAAAATTCAAATTGTACTACTTCTCAAAATATACTTTCCGATAAGCTTTTATGGAGTTGATTTGTTCATTGCCAAATGAGACCGAATCCATCCGGTTTATAACGACCAGATATCCGAACTTTATCTCATTCGTAACGAAATTTATATACCGAGTGTTTCTGGGTTTGTTAACTTTCATCAATTCGACTCGGATCCTCATTCCCCTTCATTTTGATTTTCGGCTTACTAAAAATCCCCTTTCTCTTTTATTTCCGCTATATTGCCCCATATTTTCAGTTCACCACGGATTCTCATTTTTAACTCTTGTCTTCTTATGTAGGTTTGTAAAGGCTTTGTAAATTTTTTGGATTTTTTATGTTTATGTTTACTTATAATGCGGTTAGGTAAGAAAGGGTAATGGACCTTTATGCATGGTAAGTAATGATACTTAAAATTTTTTCCAGCTGCGTATAAAAAAGCGGATGGAACAAAAATTGATGGGCGTCGTGTTGTTGTAGATTATGAGCGTGGGCGTACAAAGAAAGGTTGGCTTCCTCGGCGTTTAGGTGGCGGTAAAGGTGAAACTCGACGAAAACGGGAGTCTAAAGCAGCTTTGGCGGCAAAAGAATGGGAAGAAAGGAAGGACTGATTTTTTTTTATTACAATTATGACAAGATGTTTATTAAAACCTCTATTTTGATATTTATTTATTTTCAGTTTTTCATATAAAAGTGCTCAACTTTCCAATACTTCTTTTATTCGTTTTTTCGACGATATCTTATAACATTTAAACACATTTTTTAGATTCCTTTCAAAGAAAATCATAAAAATGACTCAATTCCTTCCTGACAATTTGCTTGGATTGTTCGCGCCACGTGCTCCTATTCAATATAAACCACCACCCGATGACCTTTTTATAAATCGAAAACACATTCCAATAAATGGAGTTGCTGAGTATGTTCAACAATTTGAGGTTTGTTTTTTAATTGTTAAAAATTAAGGAACAATTTTGGAAGTCGCCCTACTTTTTTCCGTTCCCCTTACCATTTTGAGCTTTTTCTGTTGATATATAATTTATTATACATGTATTCGAAAGAGCTATTTTTGAGCTTGGTCGATTATACAAAGATTGGGCTCTTTCGATTATATATAATTTGTCATAAAATGAGAAAAAAGAAAAGTACAAAGGAAAAAAAGGGGGCAACTTCCAAACTATTATCAAAATTAATGTTTTCAAGGACCCCAAAGACACTCCACCAAAAATTCGAATTGAGACTCGTGACGAAAAACGAATTCGCAAAAGAAAGGAAAGACAGGAACTTATGGCATATAAGATTGAGCAAGGGATTGCTACATGGACACCCGCAGATAATCCTAAAGCCACTAGTGATCCATACAAAACTCTCTTCATTGCTAGAATTGTAAGTTTTAAAAAAAGGGTAATAGTCTCGTTTGTGTGCGACATTTTTTATTATTGCCCATGACCTTTTTCCCGATATACCTTAAGTATACATCTCAAGGAATTATACTAACGGTCCACATAGGTCTGTGCTCAATTAGAGTGTATTATTCTGTCGCTTAACTAGATTATTCACGCATAACTATCGTTGGGTTGGTTTGACTTACAAAAGCAAGTTATTTATGGATTAAGTTTTGCCTTTATCTGTCCTATAGATAAAGATGACTCCTGGGGCCTATTTCAATTGTCCGCAGATTCTGCATTCTGTGCACAGAACACAGATTCTGTGGAAATTCTGTTTCAATTAAATTCTGTGTGCACAGAATCTGTGGTGCCCGCAGATTCTGCAGAAACATCCACTGATTCTGTGAAAACATTCCGCAGATTCTGTGGATAAAAATTTCTGTGGAAAATATAAAAATCTGTGGATTTTTTCCACTGATCCACAGAATTTCTATTTCAATTATTTTTCTGTGGTTCTGTGTATTTTTCCATCTAAATTCAAATTTTTTATTTCCGCGTTTTTGAAAATAACAGTTTTATTGAAACGAAAAATGGTTAGGACGATTCGGTACTACCGCAGTATTAATGGTACCTGATTTTTTGAAGTAAAACCTTAAAAATTCTTAAATTAAACTGAAAAATATTGTAAAAATTTAAAAACTTTCGTTCCAAATCACATAACATCCATCCCTTTAAATCTCTTTGATATAACTTTAAAACCGCTGATATACCGCTTACTTTTCTTGTTCATCCAATATCCTTAAATCCCCAATTAAATTAATGTACTAAAGCGGGTTCGGATCGGAAAAATCAGGAGATGTCGATCCGAAGGGTGGGGGCTAACTCAAGTCTGTTTCTTAAGTTGGTATGTTCCTTGAGTTGTTCGTTCCTTGATTTGTCTTTTCCTTGACTTGTCGTTCCTTGATTTATCGTTCCTTGACTTGTCCGTAGCTTGAGTTAGCCCGACACGCGATCCGACATGTGGCTTTTTTAAACTACGATAGAAGTTGTTGCAAGGGAGTGAAATGTTAGTAAACTGGGGATTGTTTAGTCAGAAATTGAAGTTCCTGAAAATCGAAAATGCCTGGAATCCAAAATTTCAGTCAAATCGGAATTTGAAAATCGTAGAGGAGGGATTAAGTGGAGGGGGAAAAAATCGTAGAGGGGGAAAATCGTAGAGGAGGGGACCCCTAATTAGAGATATCCATGATGATTAGAACATCATAGCTCTAAATTTTAGAATCTTTCACGTTTTTTTATTTTTTATTGCTTGCATATAACAAAAAATGCTAAAAAAAGATGTACCTTTTTCAAAATTAATTTTAAGCAATAATTTTAAGTAATAAACTAATAATTTTTATATCAAAAAATAGAGAATGATTCAAACTTTAAAGATCTCTAAAAATTTTAAAATTTGGTTAAGCCTAGGCCTAGAAAAAAATTTTTAAAGTTTTTCCACAGAAAATTCACAGAAAAAATATTAGGGTGGATTTTTAATGAATTCTGTGTATTTTCCGCAGACCACAGAAATAATTGAAACAGAAATGCACAGAATCGACTAAAAAAGCCACAGATCTGTGGATTTTTTTCTGTGCACAGAAAAATAATTGAAACAGAATTCTGTGGTTTTTCTATGTTTTTGCATGTTTTGCAGAATCTGTGGATGTTTCCACAGAATCTGTGCATGTTTCCACAGAATCTGCGGACTCCTTTTTCCGCAGAATCTGTGGAATAATTGAAACAGAATTTCTGTGGTTCTGTGGTCTGAGCACAGACCACAGACAGCAGAATCTGTGGACAATTGAAATAGGGCCCTGATCGTTTTGTCCCTCTTACATTCTTTTTATAGTTCCACACAAATAATTCGCACACAATCGAGACTTACCGAAAAAAGGGCTAATTTGTTTATTTATCTAAAATGTAAATTTTAGAATTATGAAACGTCGGAAAACAAACTACGTCGTGAATTTGAAAAATATGGCAAAATCAAAAAGGTAACAAAGTCTTGATTAAAGTATTTTTTGATTTATTAAAGGTTGTATTGGTGCATGATAAGACTGGAAAGCCTCGCGGTTATGCCTTCATAGAATATGAACACAAATCTGACATGTCGGGTAAAACTTATTTTTTGTTGGCTCTATCGGGTCTATCGGGTTCTTTAAACATTTTTTATTCGAAAATGGCGCAGCGGTAAGATGGTTTTTTCGAGAACAAAAAATTAGTCTTTTCTTTTTTATTTTTATTTTCGTTATATTGCTCCAAATTTGCAGCGTTTGGGAAACGAGAGCCAATCTCTCGATGGGAAATAATTTGATTCTCAGTACTGAGTGCGTAGGTTTGTTAAGGCGCGGTAAAATTTTTGGAATTTATTTTTTGATTTTTTTGTATAACGCGGGTAAGTAATAAATAGTGGGTAAGTGCAAAACAGCAGGAATGCTGATGAAACCCGAATTCCTTGGAAATTCATTTTCAAAAAGGTAAAAATGTAAGGTAGGAAAGCAAACCCTCGTCAGAATATTTTCTTATCAAAAACATTGGAAGTATTCATTGAATGATTTTAACTAATGATCGTCTTCTGACGGGTTTCTATACTTACATTACATACAAAAAGCGCCACAATCTCAAAGCCGAAGCAAACAGGAAAATCTGTGAGTTTCGCTCCAGTTGGTATTTAAGAATTTTTTTTATTTTTGACTGCTATATATTATATTTTTCGAAAATATTTTTGGGGGTTTTAAGCTGATATTGGCACCCTTGTATATTTTTGTTAAGTAAGTTTGAACTGAGAGATTTGCTTTTTAATAAGCTTGGAATTTGAATGTCTAAAAATTCTACTAGAACCTCAAATAATTATTTACAGCTGCCTATAAAAAAGCTGATGGCACCAAAATTGATGGTCGTCGCGTAGTTGTTGATTACGAACGCGGGCGCACAAAAAAGAGCTGGCTTCCACGACGTCTGGGTGGAGGTAAAGGGGAGACGCGGCGAACGCGCGAATCTAAAGCAGCGTTGGCAGCAAAAGAATGGGAAGAATCTATGGCTAATGGAAGTGAATATTCGAGAGGAGGTAGCCGAGAGCATCGACGAAGTCGGGATCGCCGAAGCCGTTCAAAAGAAAGAGATCGTCGTTAATGAAAGGATAAAAAGAAGACTAAATTTTGTGAGTTTTAACTTCGATTAAAGAATGCGATATTTTGGCTTGATAATTTTCTATGTATTTTGTATTTCAATTTTGCATGATTATAAAGTTTTGGGATAAAATTAACTACATAATGTTAACTTTCCTTTATTACGAAAAAATGAAGTACTTAACCATTAAATTAACTTAAAACGTTCCCTCTTCTGACGTAACTTATGTAATTTCATGGTTAGACCCCATAAAGCAATAAAGCGTTTCATTTTTGATCGATTCCGCATTAACTTCAAATTTCCTGTTTTCTTTCGTCCATTCTAATTAAACACTAACATTATATGTGTGTGTGGTAGGATTACCTCTACTGATGCTTGCAATGCGTACAACTGTGAAAGGTTGACGATAACAAACTTGCCTCAACCTATTTGATCATCTGGTATTTTTATACTGCAAGTTTATTTGTTTTTCTAGCTTTTCAAAACATAGCGCCTCACATTCCCAATGAATTGGAAATTAAAAAATTTTATTTTTGCGGACTTTGGACGTTTATTCTAACTTCTGAGAACATTTTCTCTGCAAAGTTTATCGACGTTTAATTTCAGCTGTCCTCTAACATTTGCATTTACTATTTATGTATAAAATTATGCTTGGAAAGATAAGGAATTGAACACAGCAACCGACCCTATTCTTATCTTTGATATCGTGTCACTTAACGTAAAGTTTGGTCAATTTTCTGTCAAAAAAATTGAAAAAAATATTCTTAACTAAAAATATTTTCTTTAATTAAGAATTGAGAAAAAAAATTTTTTCTTTCAATTAAACCGTGTCGGGCTGACTCGCGGAACGGACAAATCACGGGATTACCAGATCACGGAACGGCCAACTTACGGAGTGCCAAAACACGGAATAATTTTAAAATAGGAATTTTTTGAGAATATTTTGATTTGATTTGGTAATTCCGCGACTTGTCATTCCGCGACCTGTCTGTTCCGTGAGTTGGAATTCCTCGAGTTAGCCCCCACCCAATTAATTTACCAATTTGCAATGTGAAAGTTATATTTTTATTTTCTCAAATTGCCCGCGTTTATTTTACATCATTAACTAAATCGATCGTTAAAGAATAAATTTTTTGATAAAATCTTTACTTCTCTATTTTTTGTGTTAGAGTTCATTTGTTTTACTTTTTAAATGTTAAAAAAAATTTTTTTTATTATCGTGTCACATTGATAAAAAAATATTTTTGTTAGATTTTGGATTTATGTCAATTACCTTTTAATTTTTAATGATAACTACATTTAGTGATAGTAAAACAGCTAATTTTTAAATATTTTTAAAAATATTTCCGTTAAATATGGCCAAATTATTAACTGATGAAGCATTCCAAAAATTGTTGTTTGACCTTCTATGTGTGTGGCACGATGTTCAGGTTTTGCTTTTGATAAGGAATTCTTTAAAATTTTATTTAAAAAATTATTCTTTAGCGTCACTACGATCCGCCAATTACACATACTGAGGAGGAGAAAATGCAAAAGGTTTGAATAAATTTTTAGAAAACTAAGATTTCAATTATTTTGGGTTGATTTAGAAATTAAAGGAGAGTTGGGAAATTGAAAATTGTAATAGGCAATCCCGGAGAATGGGGGGTTTTTCTGAAAAAAAATTTTAAAAATAAGTCCGACAGTCCTGTGTCAAATTCCGAATTCGGGTTCGGGATTCGACTTTCTCAAAATCTGAACTCAGATTCGTAATCAGCATATTAAAAAAATTTTTTTAGAAGAATCTCCAATTCTCCAGGATTGCCTTGAAATAAACTTTAAAAAATTTCCCTTTGTTAAGGTCAAACAATTAATTTGTAAATTGTTGGGAGAAATTGACGGGCGAGTTAAACGCATTCAAACAATGTTGTCTACAACTCCCGATGCTGAACAAGTTTTTTAAATTCAAATAATTTTTCTTTTTTATTCTTTTTAGGAATTTATTGAAGAATGGTCTTTACTAACTTGGAATGTTCTTTGCATCACAAGTCGTCTGCAAAACGAATTAAATGTTTCAGTTAAATCACAAGAAGATAAAGTTATTTTCAACAAACTTAATATGGCTTTGGTTGATCTTGTAAACAATTCTAGGTTGAGTAGACGAGCTGAGGGTTAAAGTTCAAATTTATTTTTTAGAGCTGCATTGAACCCTTTATCAGTTCATATTGATGCTACATTCGATTTATTAGCCAATTCGTTAAGTGAAACAATGCATATATTGCATGGGCTATACCGAACATTAAAATCTAATAGACAAATGAATTCTGATCAGGTTCAGGACTTTGCTCAGAGGTTTGGTATTTTTTGGTACTTTAGTAGTTTAAGGATACCTTTTTTTAAAGGAAAATTTTTTAAATAAATTTCTAAAACCCGTCAAAGTGTTAATTAGTCGTCACGCAGACATATCGGAATATTTCAATGTACGAACAGTTACCCTACTGATTTCGGGACCTTCTTGGATTTGTCTTATTGAAGAATAGTTTTTATGTTTTAGAACAAACGTAAACATGCAAGAAATTATTTTTGTCACTCCAATCCCGGTATGTCCGCACACCAATGAGTCAATTGTGTTGTCGATTTTTCGAAAAATTCTTAAGGGGGCAGCTTAATTATTTTTCGATTTAGATTTTGGTTTTGAACATGTGAATTTTTTTTATCAAAACTAAATTTTCCTTCGGTTTCAATAAAACAATTATAATTTTCTGTAAATACAGGGTGCGCCAGAAACGAAAAATAAATAAAATAAAAAATTATAAAGTTTACTTGAGTTTCGAAAGGTTATAAAAAATGAAGAGTTGGGATTATTTGTCGCACCCTGTATTTTTTATAAAAAATCTCACAGGTTACAATCTTTTTCTGATGAATATCTGAACCCGTTCGTGGAACTTTTCAAGGTGTTTTTTCTTTTCTTTATTTTTCTTTTATTAATTAGCCACCGCCATGCGCGGTGTGCATTTTTTTAATACACATCCAATCTCGCTTTAGTCCTATTGTAACGAGCAAACTGTCCGTTTGTGGCAGGACTTGCGAGATATTCAAATCGCATGGTAGGTTATTGGTATTTTTAAAATAAAAATTTTATAATTAGTCGGACTTCACTTATCCATACTTCTTGGGGCTAAACATCGAGACTTATAATTTGGGGGGTGGAGGTAACTGAACTTTGATGATCAATCACGAGAAACCATCGCTTATTTTCATTACGAATTCGATATTTTTGGTATCGTTCGATAGAGGACCCCCGACTTGCTACTATTACAAGTGGATAGGGATATGTCAAGTAACCAAGAAATTTCGGAAACGTTTTTAAATTTCATATCTTATTTTGGTTTATTTTATACATAGTGAAGTCTGACTATATTTAAAAATTAAATTATTTAATTCAAATGGTTTTTGTTCGATTTCCAGTTTGGTCAACAAAGTAACTCTTCCAGTGGAACCTGTAGTCCGTTTGGTTAGCTTCTACTCTTTTCAGATGCATCGTTTGGCGATTTTGGCTGCTAGATTACAGGTTATTTGAAATTATAAAAATAAATTTCTAAAGAATCTGTTGGAATTTTTGTTGATTAATTGTGTTTTTCTACCTTTTAAAAAATCAACTAAAGCTTTAATGTCAAGAATTAATTTTAATATTTTATCATTTGACAGGGTTTTCGCTATGAACTCACAGTGAACCATCGTCAAATGTTTGGCGATTATGATCCTGTTAGACCATTATCTGACAGTGTTTTTTCTGCTTTGGAATTGTTAATGGCTGATTGTGGTTAGAATAATTTTTTATTTTTTTAATTATTTTGAAATTATTTTTACAATTAATTTAAAGGAAGGTGAATTATCAAAAAAATATTTTATTTTTTATTTAATACTAACAATAAAATATCGAATCCAAAAATTAGTACTCGCCACCGAGCCATCAATGAATCCAATTCTTGTCACGAACAACCTCTTCTCAATTTATTGTGGTGCTTTGGCTAGGGGTGTTGTTTTTAAGCAATTCAACGTTCAAATTGTATGATTTTTTGAATTAAATTTTCCTCATTGTTCTTTTTTAGGTTAGTGAAGATACGGCTGAACATATACAAGTGATTTATTTTTTTTTCAATTTTAAAAATATTAATATTTTCAAATTTAGTCAGAAATGCGTAGACAACGCCTGCTCCAACAACCTTCACCTATCGCTCAAGTTCCTTCTGCCGCATTATTAGCTATGAAACCAACAAGCGGAACAAAACGGTCAAATGCTCAAACAATGAATGGTGATTATTAAACATTTTATATTAAATATAATTGGAGCTCACCCATGTATCTGACATGAGTAAATTGTTTCTTGTTAGATGAGTGTATTCTTCATTTTGCGGGTCAGGGATCATGCCGGCCCGATTCTCGGAATCAGAAATTTTGTTTTTTTTTGTCGGCAGGATCCCTTGTGGGGGTATTCAAAGACATCTCCCCTCTAGTGGGGTCCAACTTTAATATTTTTTAATTATTTTTTATATTAAAAATTAGTTAATACAATAGATACAAGTGGAAACACGACAACTGCGCATAAGAAAAGTGATATAAATAGTAAAGAAGTTGTTACCATCTATCCGGCATTTAATACGTAAAAATTTTTTATTTTTTTTTAAATAAATTTTTGATTATTTTAGCAAAAATCGTTACTGGGCTGCAATTTACCCTCATTTATTGTGCACAACACGTCAAAAGGGTCGACATTCGACTAACAATTCCTACCAGGTTAATAAAATTTATTTAAAATATTTTTATATTTTAAGGATTTATCTCCGAGTGGCGTTGACCCAACAAAGTTGATAAGCGGGAAAAGGCCTATTTTCTATTTTTATATACGAGCGACAATGTTTAGCCCGTCTGGTCGTTTTGCGGATGCTCATACGCTCTCACTTCCATTTACTATTGCAACAAGACGAAATCAGGTGCCAAAAAATATTTTTGCATTTTGAATTCGGATTAAACGTGTAACGTTTTTTCTGCGTATAGTCCGATGAAACTTTATGAGTTAATGAAATTTATCACTAAAATATAAACTCATGAGTCCGAACAAAAATTTATGAACTTAATAAAAGCATATTTTTACTCATAAAGTATAATTGGGCGCATAAACTAGGTCAGAGCCCATTTTTTCTACCCATTTAATATGGACAAAATCAGAATTTTGACTCAAATCATTATTTAAATTTTGATTTAATTTTTAGGACTATCAAGTACAACGAATGATGAGTTCTTACACAGCTACTTGTTTCTGGCTCTATGGAAATAATGTTCAGGATGGCCTTTTACTTCAATGGGTGGAAGAAACTGCAATGGGATGGGAACGATTTAAATTTCTTTTTATGCAATATTTTCGTGTTAATGCTGAAGTCGATAGAGGATTACAAAATAGTGATTTTGATTTACTTCAAGTAAATATTTTCTAAAAATTTTTTTAATTTCCCAAATTTTTCTAGTACAAAATTCAATGTAATGATTGTTCCCCTCCATCAAATATTCAAGGAATTGGAGATGAACGTTTGCTTTTTTTCATTTAAAAATAAATTTTAAAATATTTTTATAGGCAAAATTACTTTTAAAAATATTTTGTGTCCACATTTGCGGTATGAATGTGGTTCTACAAATGTACGTTTCAGTGTTTGGAGAGGGCTTCTTGAACTTTTACAATTATTTCAAGTTTGTTTATATTTAATAAAAAATTTTGGGGAATTAAGGCATGTTCCAGGCCCTCCTATTTCTTCGTTGAAATTTTTCTTTTCCTCTATTCTTCTTATTTAACCTAACATAGGACGGTTGATTGAAGGGCAAGGAAAATGGGGACCCACAAACGTAACTATTCCCTTCTAACTTATCCGAAGATTTTAATGTAAAAATATTTTTTAGGACAATAAAACCTGCGTTAAAAAATTATGGGAAAAGAATTTATTGATGGGATTTATGGAATTTGATCAAGTTGCAAAACTCCTTTCGCCATACCCCTCTGCACTAATTATGCGACTTTCTTTTGTTACTGGTGGAACAATTTGTATAACTTTAAAATCAACTGTACATCAACATTCTTCTGGAATTGATTCAATAATTACAGACGAACAAGTAATTTATTATTTAATTTATGTTATTAATTTTTTAATTAAATGATCGGGCCTCCCTATAACCCTTGAGATTAGAAAATGTTAATTAACAAACTCTCCCTATAAAATGCCCTCTGGACAGAAAAATTCTCGAATAAAGTATAGCATCATCAAGTCACTAGGCTACGAAATTTTAAAAACGTATTTAAAATTCGGGGTATCTAGTATTGGTATACCTTTTTAAAATCTTTTTGAAATTCAACATTTAATGTAAAAAAATTTTTTGTAGACTTCTTCAACATCATATGTTGAACCAATGCATTTGGAACCTTTAGATCTTAAAAAATTGCAAGCAAAAAGTCTTGTTGAATATTTGAGAGATATTGCTTTGACTGAAAAAATAAAATATTTAATTAATGCGAATGGAGAGCCTCTCCAAATTGGTGAACTCCTTCTTGAACAATTTAATGAAAAAAGTGCTGGTGGTGTTGGAGAATTGGAAACAAGTCGTTGTATTTCTTCTAATGTTACACATTGTGGGGATGTTGGTGCAATGCAGCAAATAACGTTAGAAATTAATTAATAAAAATGGCTTTTTCATTTGTAGCGTAATAGATTTAAAATTAGAGTTCGAACCTGGGTATGGTACTGACCAGGATTTTCTGAACCCTGGCACGAAGATCGAGATTTTCATGTTTTTAGTTTTCAGTTAATGTTTTGGTCCTTGTAGGAAAATGAAGGCACATGGTGCACCGCCAAGATAACCCAGCCTTAGTTTTTTATATGAATTAATATGACCGAATTTCTGTTTATTTTATCAGTTTTGTCTTGATCTTTGTTTTTCAATAGCTGTTTAGTTTTTTTGAATGTCTTTCTATTTTTTCTAAAAAATTTTGAGATATTTTTGAAAATATTAGGTCTAATCTCCCCCATTACAGATTCACAGCAATGCGTATAGCTGTTGTTACTTGTAAAGTTAAACCTCCAAGTGCTGATATGGATTTTGATGAAGTTGTTCAACCTAAAGGTACTTCACCTGTCCCCAGTAGCAGTAGTTATTCACCTTTTAATCCTTATTTCTTTGGCGGTGGAAATAACAACACAAATCAAACAAATAATTATCGTCTTCCTGCAGCAAATGATGATTTTGTACGAGAAGTTATACAGTTGTGCAATTTTTGGGGGAAATCTAAACAGGTGTTGAAATTAATTTTGATTTTTTGAAATTTGTTACTTTGTTGATAGTATTTGAACGATAATGTAGATCGGGGTTCTGAAAAAATCGCGACTGCAAAATGATAATTAAAATTGACCCGCTGAAGGGCCTGGTTCCGATCCGGTTTCTGTTTCTAGCATAATAACTAATAATTAACCAATCTATTAAAATTTAGGACTTGACAGTCTTACTTGAACAAGCTGCTGAAGAGCAATTCGCAACACTCTCCCTCAATTCAGGGCATTCTTCCCGTGCCCAAAGTATTTATAGAGACCCTTCTATAACTACTGGAAATGGTGGTAGAAGAATAAGTACAGGAAGTGGAATTATAGAGCAACAACAACAACAAACATCAACAACCCCAACACTTTTAGTTCAACAACAACAACAACCAAATAATAATTCTTTTGATTTATTTTCTCCAACAAATTCTACACAATTTCAATTACAAAATAATTTTTTAAGTCAACAAAAACAGCAACAAATAATAAAATTGGAACAAAGAATGTTACAGCAACAACAACAGCAACAAAATAATAATAATAATGGACATTCCTCTTTTTGAATTTTATTGAGAAAAAAGACGATTTAAAATACATATTTTGTTATACAGTCGAATCCCTTTAACATACTTTCCGGCAAACGTTCCTGCATAACAAGGGTGTGCCAGTTTCGCCTTTCGCGGATTTTCGCCTTTTGTGTTTCGTGTTTCAAATTTTTAAATATGTTTCGTCACACCCCTGCTTATATCTTCTATGTATGTCTCGAAGAGTGTCATTGTTAGAGAGATTCGATTATATTTCATATTTAAAAAGGCATTTTTAATTTGTTAATTTTTCTGAGTTTCCCTCTTTTAAAAACCCTTAAACCTCTGGGCCAAATTCAATTTGACATTTCATTGTTACTTTTTCAATGAAAAAAAAAATAGAAAAATAAGCGCATTAGCATTTATTGCTTCTCAATTTTAAAATGATTAATTTAAATTTTGGAATCTCCCACAAATTCAAAAGTCTTTACAATTGTTTTCAGCCCTTCCACAAATTTTATTTTTTATTTTTACACATTTTCATCTTTTAATTTATACTAAACAAATTTATCAATTTTCCCATTATTCCAAAAATACCAAAAAAATTATCTTTTAACATTTATTCGAAATGAAAAAAGATGGAAAAATTCTTAAATAATCTTTTTATTAAAATTCCGTATTTAAAATTTATAGTTATTACAGTCGGACCTCTTTTTTGTGAACCGCCAGCTACTCCATAACACTCACATTTTAGTTTACATTTTTAATTAAATCAGGTTGTTCAGAACCTTATTTTATCAGGACACATAACTGTTGTTCGACTGTATTTTTCATTCTCTGTTGATTCTAATTTTATTTTTTTAATTTTTAAATATTTACGTATAAAAGATTAAATACTACATATTATTAATCCAAAATTAATTATTAAATTAATTATTTAAATTATTTTTTATTTAAACGTTTCCATGATTTTTTCTTAAGAAAAGAAAAATGTACAGAATTATCTAATTATCAGTAAAATAATTCTATTTACCTCCTTTTTATAAAAAATATATTTTATCAGTTATTTAAAAATCGAGAAAAAAGGGGGCAGAGGGGAGAAATTTATTAAAGATGAGTAATACTTTAACTTATTCTCTCTTTTTAATAGTTTTTTGAATAAATTTGACAAAAAATTGGATTCTTTTTGTGTCCAAAATAGAGAAAAGAATAAACCCTTTCAATACTCTCGTGGGCAAATAAAGAATAAAATACAAACTATTTGAATAAAATAAATTATTATTTACATAGCTTATGTTAGTTAAAAATTCGAGAGGGAAAAGAGTTATCAATCAAAAATAAACATTTTTTTGATTTTTACTTTTTAGATTTAGAAAAGAAATATTTTTTCCGTAAAAATATTTTTGTGAAAAAATATATACTTTTAAGAATCAATTAAAATAGAAATTAAATTATGTATAGTGATAGACCTGGGATTTGGATCCTTACCTTCATTTTTCTGGATCCATAATCAAGATCATGGCATTTTTTTAGTGTTCCTTGATTTTTAGTGTTATTTTTTAGTGTTTTTTTACTTATTTTTTTATGTACTACACTCTGTCAGAAAATGATAAGCACCCCTTAGTTTTTACGTAAAAACATATTTAAGTTTAAAGTAAAATAATTTTAAAATTTTTTATGAATTTTTAATTCATTATTCGAAAGAAAAAACAATAAGATATAGATTATTCATGGGTAGTAGGGGATATAACTGGTATTTCCAAAAAATCGACTGTCAGATAATTATAAGCACCCCTTAAGTTTCGGCATTAGGGGTCGTTCTAAAAATCTACAAAAATTCAGGTAAGCATATCTAGTTATGTCAATTGAAAATACAAAAGAAACTAAGTTCTAACATAACCCCTACATCAAGATTCACAAACTCGAAAATCAACGGAAAACAGGGGGTAGACGTCTTTAAAGAATATTTTCGAACCCTTACATGTGAAATAAAAATTTCTTTTTGGGCTTATTTGAAAGCCCTTGAAATTTGCTACAAGATAGTTTACATCTCATAATCTAGAAAAAATTCTTCTTTGAGAAATAATGAGTTTAGTTTTTGAGTTACATTTTTATCACTTTTTGGGGGGCGTTTGAGTGATTTTTATGACCTGAAAGTTTATCACATGTCTTAAAGGTGAATTTTTTCGAAAAATAAAATTAATGCTATCTTGTAGCAAATTTCAAGGGCTTTCAAATAAGCCCAAAATGTAATTTTTATTTCACCTGTAAGAGGTCGAAAATATTTTTTAAAGACGTCTACCCCCAGTTTTCCGTTGATTTTTGTGTTTTTGGATTTCGATGTAGGGGTTATGTTAGAACTTAGTTTCTTTTGTATTTTTAATTCACATCACTAAATATGTTCACAGGAATTTTTGTAGATTTTTCGGAGGCCCCTAATGTCGAAACCTTAGGGGTGCTTATAATTATCTGACAGTCGTTTTAACGAAATTTCATTTATTTTCTCTACTATCCATATTTAATTTATCAATGATTGTTTTTTTCTGTTCAATATACATCAGAAAATCCTAAAAATATTCAAGACTATGATATTTTAACTTTAACTATGTTTTTATTCAAAAACTAAAAAGTGCTTATAATTTTCTGACAGAGTGTACGTACTTATTTTTATTATTTTTTTTATTTTTTGGTGGTCCTTGACTAACGGTTAGGAATCTGGTCGAGGTCCTTAACCAAAATTAATTTCAGGGTTTTTAAAATTCCCGATCTCTATTAAATTATTTTTAAAATTAACCAAAAATAAAAATCTTTTTTTTATTAAATTTAGGTCCATAAATGATTTTCTAAATTTTAAATTATTTTTTCTTTAATATAATTTTAATTAAAAATTAAATAAAAAATAATGTCAATAAATTCATCACAATCTATTTTGGAAGTTAATAACAACAACAATTTAAATAATACCTCACTTCAACTAAATACTCAATCACTTTCTCATGTAAATATATATTTAAATTTTAACAAATAAATATTAAAAAGATATCCAACCGGATATCTTGAAATCCAAAATTTTCCAAGATCAAAACTAGGTTAACAATAGAGACCGGACTCGAGTGATCGTTCGATAATATCGATATCGAAAAATATCGATTATCGAAAAATATCGAAAAAATCAAAAAATTTTTCGTTCGATAATATCGATATCGATATTTTCCATCGATATATTGTATCGATCCGGTCTCTAGTTAACAATTGCTTTTTTTGAAAATGAGTTCCCTGAAAATAAAACAAATACATACATATAACGGCACTTCTCCTTCAAAAATTTGACGTTAAATTGGAGGGCCCAAACCTTAATACCGGATTGTCTCTAATACAAGCCCTGGGCTTCTATTTTTCAATACCCCTCATTGAGTGGGCTTCTATTGGGGCATGGGCTTCTATTGGGGCATGGGCGTTTATTTTTCAATAGCAAATTTTTATCAAATCACAATAAATTAATTACCGGTAAACAACAAAAAGTAAAATCATAGCAAAGTAAATAAGTAAAAGAAACCAAAAATTAAATATCAAAATCTATTGAAGCATCACTTAAAATTCCGTTTTCGTCATCTTGGTCCAAATCCACTGCTTCTATCATTGATTCAATCCCAACTGTTGCTTTATCTATACGTGCTAAACCCAAATTGACCATTCCATTACTTTCTTTAAGACATGAAATGAGATGATCCTCCGAGCCTTTTGGATCATTTGTAATACCTTATGAAAAAAAATTTGAAAGAAAAAAACAGTTTAATAATACCACATGTTTTGAACGATTGTGCAATAAGATCTCGAGGTAATTTCTCCCATGCATTCACAATCCATTCTAAATATACGCTCATTGGTGGTGGAGCTGGATTTCCGCCTTTAGTCAAAGGTCGCTCACCATGCAACATCCAATCTTCATATTGCTGCCTAACACGTGTTTTAAAAGGGCAGTTCCAGCTTACGTCCGGTGGTTGCAAAAATTTAGTACACCCTCCCGGAATAACTCCCGTGTCCAGTTGTAATTCTTTTAAAACCTATATATTCTTTTATAATTAAAAATAAAAATTTAAAACTTTTTTTGTCTCCACTGAAATATGAGCACGAAAAGAATCCCAAATCAATATTCTTTTTCGAAAGAACCCTATAAATATAAATATCAGGTAATTACTTTTAAAAACCATAAAACCTTGTCCAAAAACGCTTTTCAAGTAATCCTCAATAATTTTGTTATCCATCCACACGCGGCCGTTCCAAGATAATATTAATTTTTGCTGGAACTTTTTAACAATTGCCGGTTCGATGCGTTTTCGCTTTAATTTTCGCTTTAATTTTCGCTTTAATTTATCGCTTTAATTTTGTCGCTTTAATCTATCGCTTTAATTTTGAAATCAATAGTGTATGAAGCACGTGTTTTCTTTGTCGAGGGACCTTCATCATCAGAAGATAAATTATTTTCATTATCGGCCATTGGAAATTATTTATCAATAGTTAAATTTGACTAAAATAAATAAAATAGAAAAATGGTATTCAAAAACAGATGGGCTTCTATTGGGGCATGGGCTTTTATTGGGGCATGGGCTTCTATTGGGGCATGGGCTTCTATTGGGGCATGGGCGTTTATTTTTCAATACCCCTCATTGGGTGGGCTTCTAATAGGGCATGGGCTTCTATTAGAGATGGGCTTCTATTAGAGACAATCCGGTATTTTATTTTTCTATAGATTTTTGGCTCCTTTTTTCGCTCAACAAAATTTTTTACAAAAGATGCTGAATTGGCTAAAAATAAATTTAAAAGAATAATTTTGTTTTTACTTTCAATATTATTTATTTTGAGAATTATTTATTATATTATTGAATTATTTAGAACACAAGTAAGGGATTTTTTCAATAATGGTAATACATAGTCTTGTTTGTGCGCGACATTTTTTAGTATTTCACATGAATCCGAATCTATAGAATTAAGTCCCCAGCTCTAAGAATAAATCCAACAGTCCACAACGCACAATAAGGTTGGCGGGTCCTGGGAAATCCTTGAATATCCGGATCCAGTATCCGAAACGAAAACTTCCGGATAGGATATCCGGCCTTTTTTCGGATCCGGATATTCGGATCCGCCAACTTTAGTGCACAATGTGTGTAGAATAGAGTTGGTCGCGGTACCGTATAACCGCGGTATTTTTCGGTATTACCGCGGTATTTTTACCGAAATACCGATACCGCAAAATCGCAACACTAGTGTAGAATATTTATGAAGATAGAAATCCACTACTTGACAAGATTGTACCTAACACACGCCCAAGCGTTGGTTTGACATACAAAAACAAGGCTTGAATTAGATTCAGCTTTCGCCGGCCCTAAAGACTATATAGAAATGACAGTTTTGTCCCTCCTTTCTTTCCATTCTTCCTCTTAGGATAATATCGCACACAAACGAGACGATTACGAAAATATTTATAACAAAATTAACTTAAAAAAAAGAATTTAACACTAACTTGGGCTAGAACAAGTTTACAATTAACATTTACTTTAAATGCTTTGAGTTGTTTTGGTTGGCTTTACAAATATGGAAATAATTATTTTAATAAATTTATTTTTGGATTACAAAATGTTTATAACAAAAATGGAAATTATTTTGTAAATTTTTTTTAAAATTATTCTTAAAAATAAATAGGGTGTGGGGGAACAGATTATAAATACACCAGTGATCGTGCCGATCGAACTTTACTTAAAATGCTTCCCTAAAATGCGCGATCCCTGAAATACGCTATAAAATACCCTTCAATTATTAAGTATTCTTTTTTAATCTGATTGGACACCGAATGAGGGGAAGCTACACCCTTAATCTAAGGTACCCCTCATAAATTCTATTTGTTGCATTCCGAACTTAAAAGGTAGATTTGTCTGTCTAAAAATTTTTTTAAATACTTTTCTTGAACCCTGAAATTATTCCCCCCAAAATACTTCTCTTTACTATTCCTTTTGAAAATATTTTTTAGAAAAATAAAAATTTATTTAAGCAACAACAACAATCCCACCAATTAATCCCGTCATTTATTCGTCCATTTATTTTTTCATTTATTTTTATTTTTACAAGTATTATTTGGTGTTCTTTACAAATATTACAAATACAAGAACAAAAAGGATTAAATATTACTAATGTTAATTTAGTTGAAGAAAATAATATGTAAAAATATATTTAATTTAAATTTGAAGTTTGAAATTTAGCTTAAAAATGCTTAGAATGATTAAGACCAAAAAAAAGAAAAAATATTTTTGATAAATTAAAAAAATTTAATGGGATTAGGATATGCGTCCCCGTCTTGAACGTTAACACGAAATTACATGCGGTGCAGGGTATTTGGTATTTGTGGGCTCCGAGCTTTTAAAATCTTAGCTCCGGCTTTGTTCGGAGCCATACCCAGCCAGCACTGATTGCATGCGTCTTAGGGTATATTTTTAAGAGTGGTCTGTGCTTTAGAAACGGATAAATCCATATAGAATACATACCTAAAATCAAAGTAAAAATTAATCCTTCCAAAAAGTCCCTCACTTTTTTCATTAAAAAGATTTTCTTCTATTAATTAATTAAAATTATTCTAAATATTTTTCCAGTTATCCAACAGCAATTAAAATATTTTTGTATTCAATATTTATTTTATTAACTTCATTATTGTGTGCATATATTGGGGCTATTTCTCTTGGAATTTTTCATATTTCGTTTAAAACAGTCCTTTCACATTGGGAAGTGTTTAAAAAAGAATTGTTTATGCCTGCAATTGAAAATGGACAAATTATTGTAAATTTAATAGTAAACCCCTCGTTATAATATACCCCAATAGATACAATTGTTCGGAAAGGAGATTACACCTCTAATACGTCTTTTCAATAATTTGGTTAGTGAAGCAGTCTAAATGAAAGCTATCTAAGCGATATTCTCATTTTAAGGTTCACCTCGTTATAAGGGTGCCCTCGAACGCTCTAGGGTTGGTGTTTTAATTTTTCGAGGCTGTGTTCAGGTCGGGGATAATTGTGAAAAAATTGTTCGAGAACGGGGTACAGGGTCCAACTCTGGTTAAAAGATACAATTCCTAGAGGTGTGCTTATAATAAGGCTCTACTGTAATTTAAAAAATAATATTTTTTTTCAGAACCCAAATATATTTAACCAAATAGAGATGTCTGTCAGTTCATTATTAATTCTGTCACATAACATAAGCAATTTATTAGCTTCATTGGGAATGAGTCTTTTTATGAATGCTATTTTCTTGAATATATCTGCTGGTTTTATTTCTGGAGGCGGTGGAGAAGGAAGTGGCGGGGGTGGTGGGGAAGGTAAAATAAAAAAATTTTTTAAAAGAATTTCCAAAATGAGTAAAAAACAAAGTCGGATACTTATAAATATAAAAAGAAATATAGTATGTATGACTAGGGGCACTTATCCCTAGTATTCAACCATAATTTAAAAATCAAATACATTAGTGAGGGGAACACTAATGTATTTGAGGAACCAAGTGAGCCCCACTAGTCATCCCGATCCCGAAAATTGGGAATTTATTTTTTCGGTGGTTAGATCCTTTCATTATGTTGACTTTTCTCTCATTCTCTTTTCCCCATCTCAAATTGTTATGTTGCCCAGGAAATTCCGGAAATTGTCTTTCTTCTTTGTACCACTAATTTTTCCTGAATAACAGAGTAAAAGACTTGTTTTATAAGAGAGACAATCCCGAACAAAAGCTATCAATGTTTTAAATAATTTTTAAAAATTAAAGGCAGTTCTTCCCTTCTCTACAATATAATTTACCATATAAATAATGTTAATTGGAGTGTGTTAAGTATTGTTTTACTAATATATACATTGAAAGGGCCCTATGATGTTCACTCTATTGTTTGTTTAAAAAATTTTTTTGAAGATTTTTTTAAAATTTTTTTATCAGATTCAAGAAATTAAAGATCAATTATTACTTAACGAAAATATTTGGGATAATAATGATGAGAAAAAATTAAGGGTAATTTTTAGGGGAAAATTTTATTTAAGGAAAAAAATAATTTTTTAAAGTTTTGTGAACGCACAAAAAATTTAGTTGAACGAATCGAAGGAATTAAAATTCATAGAATTGATCAACAATTATTTAATTTGGTAAATTAATAAATTAATTTAAAAATAATTACTATTTTTAAAGGTATTTATTGCGCAAATGGTGTTATTGTGGTTACTTGTTGCTTATTCTAAATATTCTAAAAAATAGAAAAAAGGGAGAAATATGTGAAATACGAGAGCTTATTTAATAAATAAATAATTTTATTAAATTTTTTCAATAAAACATTATAAAAGCAAATTGTTGATTACATTCGAATCTCGTTTTTTCACATCCACGGAGTTAAAAAATAACCTTGTAATAATGGAAACCGGTAATCTTCTAGTTTACTGGTCCAGAAAAAAAATTAGGAGCAAATGATGTTTAGCTATTTTTGAGGGTTACCAGTAGGTAATCGAATGTGCTGAGTTCGAATCTGAGCTTAGAATGGATTATTTTTGAACCCCGGATCCGAATTTGACAAAGTCGGATTCGGGTTAAAAATTCGAAATTAAAAATTTAGGACTATTATTACTCCTCTCCTCTAGCGGAGTTGAACGGTATCAAAATCATGATGTTTCGACAACTTTGGACGAAGTTAATGTGTCTGATTTGTATACGGAAGTCCTACCAAGCGTGTATTTAATTGATCATAACATCGTCTAAAATTGTCGAAGCATCATAATTTTGGTAATCATGTAGAATCTGGGATACACTTAAAAATTTGCTTGTTTTTTTCTGAAAATCATTTTTTATATGTAATCGACCATGCTGAGTCCGAATCTGAACCTAGATTTTATTTATTTCAAACCCCGGACCCGATTTCGACCATGTCGAATTCGGGGTAAAAAATTCGAAATTAAAATTTTAGGGCTAATCTGACACGCCTATTCGAGCTGAGTCGATAGGTATTAAAATTATTCAGTTTCGACAACTTTGGACGAAGTTATGATCAATTAAATAACGTTGGGTTAGACTTCCGAATACAAATCAGACACCATAACTTCGTCCAAAGTTGTCGAAACTGAATAATTTTGATACCAATCGACTCAGCTCGAATAGGCGCTTCAGATTAGCCCTAAATTTTTTATTTCGAATTCTTACCCCGAATTCGACTTGGTCGAATTCGGTTTCGGGGTTCGAAATAAACAAAATCTAAGTTCAGATTCGGACTCAGCATGGTCGATTACCTATACAAAATTATTTTCAGAAAAAATATTAAGTCTTAAAGTATTTTTTAGGTGTATCCCAGATTCTACATGATTACCATAATTTTGATACCATTCGACTCAGCTCGAATAGTCGTGTCAGATTAGCTCTAAATTTTTAATTTCGAAGTGTTTACCCCTAATTCGACATGGTCGAATCCGGGTCCGGGGTTCGAAAATAATCAATTCTTTGCTCAGATTCGGACTCAGCACACTCGATTACCTACTGGTGACCTTCAAAAATATCTAAACATCACTTACTCCTAATTTTTTTTCGGGACCAGTAAACTAGAAGATTACCGGGAAACCTTAAATTTGGGGTATTGCTTCCCTCATCCATTGGCCAATCATTTTCTCGATTAATTACCCTGGGGAATTATTTTTTCAACCCTTCCTTGGCATGGGGAATTAATCGAGGGAGGGGAATTATTTGAGTTTTGGCATTTGAACGTGCAGTAGGGTATTTGGGGGTGGGGAATTATTGCTTCAACCCAACTCTAGCATGGGGAATTAATCAAGAGGGGGAATTATTCGAGGGAAAGGAATTAATCGAAAAAATACGGTACTACTTTGATTCTATCCCCAAATCCATAAATCCTAATTTGGTAATATTTTTTCTAGAAAATTCTAAAAATTGAAAAGTTGTTAAATTTGTATAAAAAAATTTCTAAAAAACAAAATTTATTAATCCTCTTCTTCTCCTTCAATATCATCATTATCATCAGATTCACCCTTTTCATCATCCCTCAATCCACTAATATATCCCTGTATTTGCAATCCCAATAAAGTAATAATATCAAATAAATGCCCATCTTCTTCATAATTTGCTTGCTGTAAAGTTTCCAAAATTTGTTCTTCTTGAATTATAAATAAACGTTTTCTTTTGATTTTTTTCTTTTGTGGAGAGTTAATTGGGGTTTGAATAATTTCTAATTGTTTTTCAATATCTTTAATAAATGTTGTTAAAAATTCGGAAAGTGGAGGACGATGAATTGAATTTTTCTTTAAATTAGAAAAAATATTTTTTTGTTCTGTATTAAAGAATTTTTTAAAAATTAGTTTTCTAAGCCAGATGCTGGTTTTATGGATTTAGTGAATAGTTAAGCTAAAGCATGTTTTTTAAAAAACACCTCAAATTTTTTAAATTTTCCAAAAAAAAATTTTTTTTAAGCAAAGAATCTCTTGCTATTAATAAAAAGTTCAAGTTCAAATTTTAAATAAATCCCCGAAAGTAGGGTAGACTTTAGATTGATGACATTCTAAGTAGAGACCGGACAGAGGGGTCGGTTTGTATTTTTTCGATAGACATCGAAAAATATCGAAAAGATATCGTATCGATCTGATCTCTAATTCTAAGACTAATAGATTTTTAAAGAGGTTTTGTCCAGTGTTCATAAATTTCAATTTTGATCGTACTCGTACTTCGTACCACCCCTATTTTTTCTCGTACTCATACTTTGTAGCAAAGCACGAGTACGAATTTTGTTACGAGCTTATGAACACTGGTTTTGTCTCAGTACAATTTCTGCTATAAATCTTAAATGTTCTTTTTTTTAATTTGGAATAACCCATTTTTCTCGATAAAAAATTTTTTTTAAATTTACCCCGACAGAATTAGAAACTTCAACATAATTATTAGTTCTAATAACAGATGAATGTATTCTTTCATAAACATTCCAAAATTTAATAGAATATTTTGGTTGACAAAAAATAGGTAATTCCCAATCTGGGGGCTCTCCTGCTGGTGAATTAATTTTTAAAAATTGTTTAATTCCATATTGTTTTTGTGTCAAAGTTAATCCAATATAATTTTTGGCAAAATATTCCAAAAAAGAATTTAATTCGTTTGGAGAGTTTTGAACAATTAAATAAAATGCACGTCGAACATGTTGTTGTGGAATTAATGGAAGAGTTAATATATTTCTGTAAAAAAAGAAGGGAAAAATTAAAATAAGTAATTAGAATGATATTTTAAATGTAATGCTTTTTAAATGTAAGGTATTTACTAGGAAAAGAATTTACTAGAGTGCCCTGTTCTTGAAAGTAGGACAAGACTTTAGACTTTATTTTCAAAAACCCCTCGTAGGAAAAATTATCCTGTTAGAATTGATATTATTTCAAATCTAATCCAGCTACTTGTGGTTAAGGTCTAACCGAAATAAAGTCTCATTCAGAAATTTAGGTTGTCGAGATCGAGTTTTATCGAGATATCTTGATCTCAATTGATTCTCAATACGAAAATTTATTTGATTTTTGAAGCATTTGAATACTTAGGTATATGAGTAATTTGTTCAATGGCGGAGCAGGAAAGTATTTTTAATTTCCTTAAAAATAGTCTCAATTTACCTAAAAATTTTAATAGAAATTTTTCCAATAATCTGATCAGAATAAAGATTTTGCATTCCCAAAAGTCTCCATTTTCGTAACAAATTTTGGCCAAAATGAAACATACTTCCATAAAACTGGGCATACGGAAAAACCTTTTTTTAAAAAATAATTTTTTTAAATAAATTTAAATAATTTACTTGACTAGCTGCTTTAAACGAAATAAAATCAAAATCAAAAATAATTTTGAGAAAAGCCTTTGGTTGTTTAATTAAATTTTTTATTGCATTTAGAGACTCTTTAAAATATTTAATTTCTCTTTTAGGCAAAATACATTGAATACAGACAACAATTTTTTCATTAATTTCTGTTGAAATTGTAAAATTGTGTGACCATTTGAAGGGTATAAAATTGCTTGAATTAATTAACCATAAATTGTTTGTTTCGAGTAAATTGAAAAGCTAAAAAAATTAAAAATTTTTAAATTTGAATAGTCGACTCTCATCAAAAAATGCCCTTAAAATTTGGTTGACTATGTGAGTAAGGTTGGCGGTTCCTGGGAAATCTTCGGTTATCCGGAACAGGAACCGATATATTTTCGACCGAAAATTTTCGGTTGTCCGGTCTTTTTTCGGTTCCGGCCAACCTTACATGTGAGTAAATAGAAGCTGCAAATTTTTTTTCGATCAGAATCCGTCCTGACCCGAAAAATTTATTTAAAAATTAATTAAAAAACCGAAGGATGAGAAAAGAGTAGAACAACATCTTCTTCCCCTTGTCTATAAAATCTGCTATCATAAAACAAAATATTTTGGCCTTTAAAATTTAAAAGAAAATCAGGAAATTCAATATCCAATAAATTATTTGCAGTGTCAACGTTTCCAAACAGGCGTCTTCGGTGCCTTAAAAATAAAAATATTTAGTTATCCTTTCTAAATAAAAAAATTTTATTTTAATCAGGCATGTTTTTGGGTATGGATATATATTTATATTTTAACAATCCAAAGGTTCCCCCAAATCACAAATCAGAGATGGGTCGGAATTCCGATTTCCGGCGTTTTTTTCCTTCCGAGTTCCGACTTTTGAGCCAGTTCCGATTTCGGCTCTTCCGATTTCCGACACCTCTGACTGTTCCGACCCACCCAAGTAAATTTTTATTCAAATAAACCTATAAATTAAATGTCCAAGTGCCTGATCACTTCCCATTTCAACAGAAACATCATCAGAAATATTCGATTTAATATCAGCTACTAAAAGCGAAGCTTTCTTTTTTGGTGTTTGTTCAATTTTTTGTAAAATTTCTTTTCTTCTTTCTTTTGCCAATTTTTTTGAATAATTTGGGGAATGATTGTGCCCAGAATTTCCTAAAATTCCTTCAATAAATTTTGACGATTCTTTCCAATTTTCCATTGAAATTTTACATGAGGCTGGACATTTTCTTTGTTCACAACGAAAATTAATTACATTAGTTCCTCTATTACGAGTAAAACAATAACCTTTTTTTGTTAGAAAATATTAAACTTTAATCTAATTTTGAGAAAATTTTTTTAAGATTTTTTAATATTGACGTCCAAATTGATGGCTCTCCCATTGTCAGTAAAGAAAATATTTTAGTAGAATATCCAATAGGTTTGTTTAAACGAAGAATAATGAATCAGGATATACAAGGATTTCCCAGGGACCCACTAAGACAAGTTCAACCCCGATTTTAAACCCATACACGATTTCAGGCTTCTAAGTAAATTTGTCTTCTGCCAACTGAAATCTACCAAACTATTATAGTATTCTACCTAATTTCCAAAACTATTTTTAAAATTAAAAAAAAACCTTCATGCCAAAGACACAAATTTCCTCTATTTGTTTTTCCAGTTTCAAACAGAACAACATCTTGTAATACTTCTCCACCTCCCTCAACATCAATTTCCACATTTTGTTCATTTAAATAAGATTGTTCTTCGTTAAAATTTCTTTTTTGACCTGCCGAATTTTTTTGTTGATTTGCAATCATTTTCTCTAAAAATAAAAAAAAATTTTTGCGAATCATAAAAATAACCAAAAAAATAAATTGTTTGAATAACTAAAATTAAAAATTAATTTAAAAATAATTTTTATTTATTTTGGAATAATTTAAAAATGCAGCTACAAATTAAAAATATTATTGTAAAAAGAGAATCGAAATAAAATTTAAGTAATATACACAAAAGTGAATAGATTTTTAAAAAAATATGGCAAGAATTTTTACAAATTTAATTTTAGAAAATAGCTGGGAGCTATTTAAATTATGGGAATAATTTAAATTATTTTTCAAAAAATTAGGGAGGCACAAAAATAATAATAGAGAAGAGCAAATGTGAAATTAATTTAGAATGATTAAGATGGATAGGGGTTTTTAAATATATTGACTAAATTTGCTTGAGCCTTTGGATAAACAGGGAAAAATATAAAAATCCGAAATGTCCGCCGAAACTTCCGAGTGGAGCACTTTTCCGAAAAATATTGAAGCTAAACTTTTTAGTGCCACAAATCTTCCGAACCCAAACCTAAAGGCTTAGGAAAATTAAAACAAAAATTTTTTTGACATTCCATATCCATCTTAATTCATTCTCGAATGTATTGCTAAATTATACAAAAGTATTAAAAAAATACTGGGTAACTGACTAAATAAATATTTAATTATTACATAAATATTAACCTTAAAAATCGTTGTAAACCTTGAAATTTAAAATTCAAAGTTTCAAAAATTTTTTTAATTTATAAAAGAATCACTTTAGTTTTTTTAATTAATTTTTTATTGTTTGTTTTTTATTGGCATTGGTTCCATCATTTTCACGTTTGTGACAATGTAAAAGAGCCGAACGTATTAAAGCAAAAGGAAAACACTAAAGAATATTTTTTTTTTAAATTAATACAAAATTAAAATGTCAACCTTTTCCATTAAGCCATAATTTAGCCATGGAGAGCTTCTTGCCAATTGATCTAATAATAAATATACAGACGATTGAAATTGTTGTCGTTGCCCTCCTTTAATTTTATCCGAAGATGTAGAATTAATATTAATATTTCCGTTGACGTTTTGAAGTAGACTGCTAGATGCTAACTGAAAAACAATTCGAATTTTAATTTTTTAATTCAATTAAAAATTTTTTTAACTTAAAATAAATTTATTTTGTATAAGAGTTGGGTAAATGCACTGAATTATCAATTATTTATTTCAATGCGACCATTACTCTTAACAATGTTTTTGGCGATTTTCGGCCCATTCAAGACTCGTTTACGCCTTGACTGGTTCCTACACGCCGTAAAGAAAACATTTTCTACCAAAACAACCCTCGCCAAAACAACACCATTCCCTTTACTAAACAAGAACAAAACCACTTAACCACAACGCGAACTATCACAACAGTTTATTTTTTATAACAAAAGCTAAGGGGTTAATAACAAAAGTTGTTATAACAAAAGCTATAACAAAAGCTAACTAACTAGGGATGGCCCCGAATTTTTACAAGCGAAAAACTGAAGAAATTTGGAAATAAAAAATGGAAAAGGAGAGGTCAAAAAAGACGGAAGTAGGCTAAAGAGACCAAATCCCTACTCGATCCTTATTTTTAAAATTATTCAAAAATAAAAATAATAATTTAAAAAATACCGCAAGAAATTCATGCATTCTTTCAGCAGTATCTCCACGTTGATGTAGAAAAAATAATGCTCCAGTAATAGTATTTACAGCAAGAGGGATTGTGTGAGAATTATTTTTGGTAACTAAAAATAATTTTTTAATTTTTTTAGACTCAAAAAATTATACCGGAGAGTGACGCTTTATAACAAGATTGGGGATTGAGTGCCAAATGAGGCAAAGAAATGGCAATAAAAACAATAAGTAGACAGGAAATTTTGTAATGCTAAAAAAGAACCTTTAAAATATTCAAAAAAATATCAACAAACTTCATTCGGATCATCCAACCCATTTGTATTAGCCTGTTGTTTAATAGCATTTGCCAAAGCTAAATCAACATCTAATTTAAATCCAGAAGCAGCACAAGCTTCTCCAATATTCTAAAATTTAATTTAAAAAATTTTTCTTCAAAAATAATTTCTTTTTACAATTTTTTGTAGTTCATCCAAAGGAGAATTAATTAAAGAAGATAATGAATTAATTAAAAAAGGCGCTCTTTGTTTTAAAACATCATTTAATGCTGAAAATAACATATCTCGAAAAGCACAAATTTCACCAATTATCTGTGAAAAAAAAATAAAATTTAAAGAAAAGAATTTTTTAAAATAATTACAATAACTCTTTGCAACATTGAATCTAATGGAGAAATGCCATGAGTTGTGTTGGTGCTACGTTTTTCATTTTTGTGACCGCTTCCACTAGGCGAGTCTAATGAAGTACTTAAGGAAGTAACAATCTAAAAAAGAATGTTTTTATTGTAGAGAGAGAGAGGTTGTTTAGAATGGGAAATGAAAAAAAACACAGAGGGTATAATAAGAGATGTGCCGGTCATTTTCGCCGAATTTTCACCTTTTTGGTATTTTTTTCGTCTTTCGCTTGTTAATTTATCTTTTGCCTAAAAAGCAAAAGTCGCCTAAAAATGCAAAAGACAAAAACACCAAAAAAGGCGAAAGTGACTGCCACCTTCTGCTACAATAAAAAGTAACACTTCTCTAAATAATTTAATAAAGGATTTAAAATTAAAAAACCTCACTTCTTTAAGTTTTTCAGGTTTATCATAATTAACACGAGCAATATGTAATTGTTCATTATGTTCTCTCACAATTTTGAAAAGTTCGGTAATTTGACTTGCGATATGCCAAACAAGTTTTTCTTCCATAAATTTAATTCCAAATGGGCCAATAATTTGTGAAAGAGAACGAAGTTCTAAAAAATTAAAAAAATACTTTTTTGAGCAAAATTTTTACAAAATTAAACCTCTAGGATCAGTAAATCTTTCAGCTCGAAAAAGTTGAGTAGACGAATTAGTGTTGTTAACTGGTGTATCTAAACTTGGATTATTAACAAACGATTGCATATGTTCAGAGTAAAGAAGATGACAAGTGCTCGCTTTTCGAAGTAAAACCTCCAAATACCTTTTATTGAATGAAAATTATGTTAAAAAAGGATTTTAAAATTTAAATTATTTATAAAATTTAATTGAAAGATTAAAAAAATAAAAAAAATATTTTAAAGAATACCATTTTGAATAAATTTCAGCAAGCGTTTCATTCCCTTGGGCATCCTCCCTTTGTGATTGTTGTAAAAGTGTATCGTTAAAAAGGCGAGTTAAGTCAAAATTGTCTATAAAAAATAACTCAAAATAATCGAAAAATGGACATTATTTAAGTCTTTGGGTTCCCCACCCGAGGTCTTATTCGAAATGGTTCAGAATTATTTAAAAAACAAACAAAAAATATCCAAATGTTGTAAAGCATTCAATTGAGCACTTAAAAACGCTAACATTTCAGAAGGCCTTCTTGGACATTCTAATGGTTGTTGCTGCTGTTGCTCATTGTTTAAATGTATATAACGCAAAAGAGAAGTATTTAAATATTTCTCTAATTGATGAAAAAGAAATTCACGAGGAACAAAAATATGCCCAGAAATATTTAATTCTTTTGTTGTTGCTAAAGCTTGACAAAGTTCTCCAAGATATAAATTGTTTGAATCATTTGAGGATATTGGTTGGCCAGATTGGCGAATACTTTCAAACCCAGGCATTTTCATTTCATTTTTTCCTAAAAATTAAGAAAATTAAAATTCTCAAATCCCCTCTAGAAAACCTTGAAATTCTAAAGCAAACATATTTGCACAAGCTCTAGGTTCCGTGCTAAGAACTAGCTGTTGTCCATCAGCACATACTTTTGAAAATATGTCAACAATTTTACGAGAAATTTCTTCCAAGACAATATTACAAGAAGTGAGTCATAAAAATAAAAAATTAGTAAAAATTAATTTAAAAATCAAAACCTTTTTCAATAATCGTATCATTCTCTTCAGGACATAGTTCATGTAATGGACTATTAAAATGAGCACAGATGTGAGCAAACGTAATTGAAAAACGTGATTGTAGAGGAAAATCCAAACAATTTCGTAAATGTAAATCGAAAATACGAGGGTAGAAACTAAATTAAAAATTGAGTTAAAATTTTTAGATTTGGGGATTTTGTTAATAACTAAAGCGCGGCAAAATCGAAAACTAAATTCAGTAACAGAATTGGGGCATGATGGGATGGAGGAACATGACGGGATCCCGCAGGGATTAATTTTGTAAATCCTTAAACATGGTAATATCGTTTCTTGTTTAAAACCGGGCTCTTGCAAAATTCCAAAGAGGATTCCACAAGAGCTGGAGTTATTTGTTAACACTCCTTCGCTCTCTATTAAAAATAGGGTTCAACCCCAATACACGGGGAAAAGAATTCCCGGAAGAACGGAGGGATTAATCTTTTTCAAGATTCCCCAGGGGAAAGCTTGCATGGGGCCCCGTCCCCCAAATTCCCGCAACCCCCGTTTCACGTACGATCCGCCCTCGCCCTGTAAAATCGAACCCTAATTAATAACGAACAAATTGAATAAATATTTTATAATTTTAAAATTTACCAATAAATACTTAAATCACTAGTTTCTCTTAATAATTCATCCAAACCATTCCCAATATGCTTTAAATGAAAAAGTGCTGTATTCATTGCAACAGCAAAATTGGCATGAACTTGAAGTTTAAAGGTCGAACGTCCAATACTTGTTAATGCTTGAAAACGAAACCAATCTAAATGAACTCCACGAGAGTCTATTCCATCTTAAGAAAAAATTTATATTTTGAAAAAAAAATATTGTAAATATGCGATAATTTGAAACTCTGACAAGTAAAGATCAAAGACTCGTGGTCTTGAGTCTTGGGTTAAAATCTTTCTTGGGTCTTGGGGTCTAGTCTTGGTCTTGGAAATTTTTCGTTCTTGGAGGTCTCTACTGATAAAAATGCCTGAAAAGTTCCTAAAGTCCTCAAACAATTATTTTAAGACATGTTAATTTTTTATAAAGTTTCTATTTTGTGTCAAAAACTACAAGAGTTCAGAAATTTGGAAGCACAATATGAAGAGAGGAGTAATTACAGAAATGAAGTACAGCCATTCATAAAATTGCTCCCAAAAAATGTAAAAATATATTAACAAAAAAACAAACCAGAAATATTAGCCAATGCCTGAATACAAGAATGAATTAACAATTGTTCATATTCTGATAATCCACTTCCTCCACTAAAACGCTGAGAAAGTTCTGTGAGTAAAGGAGCATCATAACCAGCAATATATTGAATATAATAACTAGATATTAAATCAGAGTTTTTTAAAACTAAATTTCGAATTTCTGTCAAATAATAAAGCAGTTCTGGAAGAAATCTGAAAAAAATATTAAAAAAAATAAATAGTATATTATTAATCGAAATATAATATAGGAAATTATATATTTTAGATAAAAAAAGCTAGGTTTAGATAGTGTTGTGTCACGTTCAGGGGTGTACCATGGTGTGGGATCAAGTTTTAGTTGAAAAACAAATAAAAAAATAAAATGTTTTCTGAAAACCACAAAAATATCAACAACATCAGGCGTCGAAAAATAATCTGACGAATAATCAGCACTTTATTAATCAAGAAGAAACCGTATTAAAACGGGGTTATGACATAACGCTAGTCTCATCCAAGAACCCAGATTTTTAAATCTTGTTCAATACTAAATTTAATTTTGTTTTTTCTTACTTGTCAACAACAATATTTTGATGACCACTTTTCTGAATTGCTTTTTTATTCGCAGGAGAATATTGTAATAATAATTGTTGCCAAACATCATAATGTCTAAGTAACCATTGTATTTCGTCTCTAGCCATAGACAAACCCATCCAAACAAAAAGTATTTTTGGTCCAAGAAGTCCAGGTTCATCTACCAACAATAAATACAATTCTTTTAATGCCATACGTAAAAAATGCCTTCGATGAGCGTGTAAATGGCCACTAAAAATTTTTTTTAAAATTATTTTCTAATTAATTTACCAAGTCTGAATAGCCAAAATATTAATTTCTTTCAATTCATTCAAAAGTTTATTTTGATTTTTTAAAGGTTCCAAAACAGTTGAAATCATTGAAAATGTAAAGATAGTTTCATCTCTAAATAATCGAACAGCCAAGGAATGTTGCATTGCTTTTTGGAAAAGTTGGAGAAGTGAAGGATCAGAAAGGAGACGAGGACAAAGAGAAACACCAACTTAAAAATATTTTGAATTTAACCTAAAAAATTATTTTTTATAACTAGGGTTGCCAAAATGGACCGACTCGGACCGAAAGATCAAGTCGGGCGTAGGACATTTGGCCCGAAAAAAACTCAATGGCCGACTCGAAGCCCGGCCCAAAAAAATCTCGTACGGTCCGGCTCAATAAAAATGAGGCCCGAAAAGAATGACTCGATCGTCGGCCTATCGAAAACGGCAACCCTATTTATAACACAAACAAATAATCCAACGATCCATTGTGTCAAGGGACATATACTCACAAGCTATCTAAATTTAAAATAATTTTAATTTAAAAAAGTTTATTTTCTCTAACAGTATTAGTTTGTGCAGCATACAACATATGTCGAGGATTTGCAGTAAGCGAAATCATAGCAGAATCTCGTTGTTGTTCAGCAGAGATATTTCTTCTAAAGTAGGTTTCTTTTAATGATTCGAGTGCTGAACTGATTACCTTAAAAAATATTTTTTAAAAAATTTTTTAATTGATTTTTTAATAAGGATTAAATAGGATTTTAAAAATTCCTAATATTTCAAAAAAATTTTTTTAAATTAATATTTAAATTAGAGTTAAAACCCTGACCGGATCCCTACCGGATTTTCGGGATCCGGTGGTCCCAACCAGGGTATTTTGATAAAAATCGAAATTTCGGGATTTGATCCCCAAAATCCGGCCCGGATAAAAAATTCATAAATCCCGAACCGGGATCCGGCATTTTCCAAACTTTCAATTCAAATTTTTTAATTAATTCAAAAAATTCCAAACTCTATAAGAAAGTCCCAAATCTTCAGAAAGCTTTTTAAAAGGTTGTTCATAATCCACAATCATTTGGCCAAGTCTTGGAAAGGATGTTTCACTTCCAGTATGTAATATATCATAGGCAGCTGCATAAAGGCCTAAGACAGTTTTTCTGTCATCAACACGTGAAAGAAGAACCATCAATGAACAAAAATTGACTACCAAATTTAAAAAGCTTGTTGTCAAGTCGAGATTTTGATTCTACAAATTAAAATAAAAATTAATTTTAATTTTCCACAAATAGACTAATAATAAACATATAACCGTCTCGCATAAAATAACACGATATTTTTAGACCCCAAATGTCCCGTTTAGCCCGCCTTAATAGGCTGTTCTGGTTTCAATAAATCTTTCTGAATTCCTCAAGGATAGGATTTTCGGTTTGGATCAGAGAAGATTTTAGTTTCGGAGACCCGTAGATTTTCCAAGGCCCGACTACTCTACTCATGCCAGGAATGCCTAAAATTTCTATTTTTCTCGCAGGGTGAAACAAGTAGAAAAAATTAAGATATTTTTCTGAAGGAAATCCCCACTTGACATTTTCTTCAAAAAATAATTTTAAAAATTAAACTAACAATATTTAATCGACATTGATTAGCATCCATAGCAGTAAAAAGCTGCAAAATAGCATCCTTCAAATCCAACAAATCCACAAATGTGTAATAATACAAAGACAATTTTTTGATAATATTCCCCTTCATATCGTTGATGGATGAATAAACTGTCTAAAAAATTAATTTTTAAATAAAAAAAAATTTAAAAATTTACAGAATTTCGTTTAATATCAATTACTGGAAATCGTTTAACAATATAAGAAATAGCCGATTCAAGTGTTTTGTCGTTAAGAAATTGTGGCTGCGATTTTGGGTCAGCACAAGCTTTCTTCTGTTAATTAAAAAAATTTTTTAAATTAATTTTAAAAAATACTAATTTTAATAATTATTGTAATTTAAGAAAAAAAATAAAATTATCCAATCACGAAGAATTGGAGTTTCTTCGAAAAAATTATAAAAATAAGAAAACGGATTTTTCTAGGTAAATGTCCGAATTCGGGTTCGGGATTAGACTTGGTAATAGTTTGGAATTCGCCCCCCCTTTTTTCCTTTCTTCTTTTTCAAGATTTTTTTTTTCATTTTATGGCAAATTATATATCATTCGAAAGAGCTCTTCAAGCTGAGTCAAATGACGTTAAGAACAACGAAATCTGACTTAGGTGAACAAAATTGTGACCGTTTATTTTATCCCCTTGCATTGACACAAAACGTTTGCCCAAACTAGGATTAGGCTTCATAATTTTGGTAAGATTGATCAGATCTGGCTAATCATGGTATCATTCGACCACGCTCGAAGAGCGTGGTCGAATGATATATGATAAATTATGTATCAAACAAAAAAGCTCACAATGGTCAGTGAAACAGTGAAAAAAAAGGGGCGAATTCCAAACTATTACCTTAGACTTTTTCAAAATCTGAGCTCAGATTCGTAATCAGCATATTTTTTAATCTAAAAAATACTTTTTCTCATTTTTAAAATTTTTTTCGAAGAAACCCCAATTCTCCGGGATTGCCTAAGATTAGATTAATTCAAAAAAATTTTATTTTAATTTTAAATATTTTAATTTTTGCAAACCATATTATAAATTCTAGTCAACATTCCAACTGCTCGATCATTGAGAATTACAAGTTTCTCGGCAAATTTGAGTTGTGATGAATCTGCAACAGTTTTGTAGCTCATCTTGTTGTTATTTTTACATGCAAATTTTTGCGTATAAAATTGTAAAATTGCCTAAATTAAAAATTTACAATTAAAAATTGAAGGAGAATGGTCAAATCGAGAAAATGATTCACACAATTCAAAAAATATTTTTGGCGTTATGTTTTTTAATTAATTGAGAGATGTGGTAAATTTGAGAGAACATGAAGTCGTTTATCGGTGTCCGATCAAAAGATAGATGTTCTAAAAGATAGATACGGCTAATATCGATTAAAAGATAGACGCGGTCAAAGACGTGGTGCATCTATCTTTTAATAGATTTTGGCCGTATCTATCTTTTGTTGCATCGATCTTTTGTAAAGGAGCTAATTTATCGGCTTCATTTAGATTTTACTTTGATTTATTTTATTTTCTTGTTTTTTTTGTTTTTTTATCAAACTTTCTAATTAGTTTGGGGGTTTTGAGTTCATAAATATTGTATACAAATTTAGTTCATTTAGACATCATTTTCATTGATTTTCTTCTAACAACTGCCTTATTTTCTGTTGGTAACCATCAATTTGTTCAATAAATGGGTTGTACTCATAGTGCTAACGACAAGCAAGCGAAGGATAGAAGCAGGCAAATTGACGAACAGGTTTGGGATTTTGTTGCTTATGTTTTGGAATTAAGTTTTGACTTACCTCCCCGAATGAAAATCTAACCTTTTCTTGTCTCATTTAATAAAATTTCAGTTGAAAACGGACCATGAACGTTCACAAAGGGAGGTTAAACTCTTACTTCTGGGCGCTGGTGAATCCGGGAAAAGTACAATTGTAAAACAAATGAAGATTATTCACGAGACGGGATATAGCGACGATGAACGCATTGCCTATCGGCCCGTGGTATGCTTTTATACGATTAAGAATTCCTTTGGGCGAGTTCAATTTAAATTTCTTATAGGTTTATTCGAACACTATCCAGTCCTTGGTAGCAATTGTAAAGGCAATGGGCCGTTTAGGAATTGAATTTGCCAACCCCTCTCGGAAGGCCGACGTCGAATCGTTTTATCATTTGGCGGAGACTTCAGAAGATGGTTTGTTTTATTGTAAAAAGGCAAAAATGTCAAATTGAAATTAAATTTAGGAGGGCTTCCACCCGACTTGGCAGCTGTAATGAAACGTTTGTGGGAAGATGTTTCTGTCCAGGAATGTTTTGCACGTTCCCGTGAATACCAGCTCAATGACTCTGCCTCTTATTACTTGAATTCTTTGGACAGGATTGCAGCTCATGGATATTTGCCTACACAAGATGACGTTTTAAGAACACGCGTCAAAACAACTGGAATTGTTGAGACGCATTTCACTTACAAGGACCTTTACTTCAAGTTTGACATTTTTTCTAATTTTTGATAAAGAAAGTTTTTTGGGTTCCTTATTTTAGAGGGTATGTTCTAGAGATCGAGCTGTACTTGGACCAAGGCCTGGGCTTTTCCTATACCCTGGGTAGTTCAGGCCCAGGCATTTGTTAACCTTGCTGGATTTTTCTTGAACTACAGGCCCAAGATCAGGCTCAGGTCAAAAATCAAACTCGGTGTCCAGGAACTGGTCCAGGCTTATTAAAAATATCTATCTCTAGCAGGCCCGTAGCCAGGATTTTTTTTCGGGGGGGGGGGGGGGGGGGGAATTTTTTGCGCCAAATTTTTGGCGCCGAAGGCGCCAAAAATTTTTATTTTCAGCGCCGCAGGCGAAAATTTTGAGAATTTTAGAAGGCCGTAGGCCAAAAAAATTCAATTTTTCGGCGCCGCAGGCGCCAAAAATTTGATTTTCAGCTCCGCAGGCGAAAATTTTTTGAATTTTGGACCTCAAGAAGCTAGATTTCTTCCTTTTTTAGCGCCGCAGGCGAAAATTTTTTAAATTTCAGAGGCCGTAGGCCAAAAAAATTCACTTTTTTTGCCCCAGCCCTTCCCCAAATTTTTTCCTTTTTCCCATTTCGGGGGGGGGGGGAATTCCCCCCCTCACCCCCCCCCCTCTGGCTACGGGCCTGATCTCTAGTATGTTACATAGGTCTTACGAAAACCAAGCTAGGGATATTTTCTCTTAAATGTTGGAAAATTTTCTATTACGTTTCTTTTAATTAGAATGTTTGATGTCGGCGGGCAACGTAGTGAAAGGAAAAAGTGGATTCATTGCTTTGAAGGAGTCACCGCTATTATATTCTGTGTGGCATTGTCTGAATATGACATGGCGTTGGCAGAAGATGAGGAAATGGTTGGTTATTTTACAAATATTTTTTAATAATTAATATTATAAACATTTTGTAGAATCGAATGATTGAGAGTATGAAGCTTTTTGACTCCATTTGCAATAACAAATGGTTTTTAAATACGTCTATAATTCTCTTCTTAAACAAGGTTTTTAAAATGGATAAATATGTAATTTTTTATTATTTTTAGAAAGATCTTTTCGAGGAAAAAATTAGTCGGTCACCATTGACTTTATGCTTTGCTGAATATACAGGTTAGATTTATAATATTACATTAGATTTCAAACAAAATTTTTCGTTTATGATATCTCAAAAAGATTTGGGGAATTTGGTACCCTTTTAAATTTATAAGGTTACTAGATTTGTTTAATTCTTTGATATTTTTGATGTGAGGGAAACGCTCACAAACCTGTCTCTAGAAATTTTACCATTCTATAGAAAATTCCACTTTAAAATCTAAAAAAATTTTTTTCAGGCTCAAATACTTATGAAGAATCAGCCGCCTATATTCAATTGCAATTCGAGTCGCTAAATAAACGAAAGGATGGCCAAAAAGAAATTTACACTCATTTCACTTGTGCCACTGATACGAATAATATTCGGTATGTTTTTTATAATATTTTTAAAAAGTTTTACCAAATTCTCGTTTCTGCTTTTATTTTTGCTTTCGTTTATTTTTTCTTATCGATTTCAAGTTTTCTAACAATAAGTCTCTTCTTGAATGGGAACCGTTAATTAATTTCCGTTTCTGAATTTATACTAACAAGCTCTAGCCGGATATTTTCTCATATTCAATTCTAAATCTCCAAATTCAATATCTTTCCCTTACATTGAAAGACCGGGAATAATATAAATCTTATTGAGGAAATCTATTATATTTTCTTGATTTCATTTATTTGTTTGTTTTTGAGGTTTGTTTTTGATGCATGTACAGATATTGTAGTAAGAGAGAATTTACGGCAATGCGGTCTTCTCATCTAACAATAAATTAAAAAATTCTTTAACAACTCTTAAATGCGCACATAAACACACTAACACACACAAACATTCGTTTATATTTTTTGCTCGTCTTTATGTTTTTGACACAATTCAATTTTTCGTATGCTTTGCTTTTTTGATCAGTTAAAAATTGAAAAAGGGTCCTTTGAAAAATTATAATATTAAAATTAACAACGGAAATGTTTTCTTTAACAGCCTTTATTCAAATCTCTTTTGTGCTGTTTGTGTGTTTTATGTTGCGCTCGCATTTCCGTTGTTTGGTTTTTGGAATTATTTTTATACTCACTTCTCTCCAACTTTACGATTAATTTTATTTTGGCACTTTTTAGGTTCTATAAATAACTTTGATTAAAAAATTAGCCCCTTTCCTCCTTTATCAATTTATAAAAAAATTAAATTATTATTTTTATTTTTTAAAGGTTCGTATTTGATGCCGTTACAGACATTATTGTTAAAGAAAATCTTCGGTTGATTGGATTGCTTTAAGACAAAAATGTATGGACAAATTTAACTTTTTTTTTAATTTAAAAATTATATAACAAAAAATGTTCTTTTGTTTCAAGCATTCTTTTGTTTAAAATAAAATATATTTTTAAAAATTTTTAACGAATTTAAAAAGAATGCTTTAATGACCTCAATTTAAAAAATGCATCTCTCTCTTCGGTAAACCATTTTTTGGTTAAGTTGTTTTGATTATTTGTATAATCACATAAATATAGATAATTTTTATTTTCAAAAATTACGCATTTAAAAAAGTTTATTTTTATCTTTTTAAAAGAACCTTAAAAATTCTTTTGTTTACAAGAATGTCTAAAAATTTAAGAATTAAATGAAATCTTTTTGTTAAAAAGTTGGATAGGGGGATCTATTTTTCGTAAACCCTACACTTCTGTTTAATTAAAATTATGTTAGCGCTATAGGGGGGGGGGAATACGCTTCATCCTAAAGGTGTAACCTTGAGACCCAGTTATATAAAATTTAAAGAGACATTCTTGCTTTCTCAATTAAAATCAATTAAAATACCTATGTAAATTCGTCAGTCTCAACTGATGAGATTTTTAAATTAGCTTATTTCAATAAATTTTATTGTAATTGGTATTTTGACCAAAAAATCAAATTAAAACAGTACTGTCAAAAATATTTTATGAAAATGGTTTTTTTGTTTTTCTGAGATTTTAAAGAAATTCCTTGGGAAAGGCCCAGATTTGTACTGTTTTTATATTACTTGCTCTCTTTAAATTATATAATTTTTCATAATTTTTTGCCTATTTCTCCGTTTATATTTACGCTGCTGGTTAATAAGTCGCCTATAAAAATCAGCTTTTTAGATCCTTCAGACATTATAAGATTTTTATTTTTACCTATACAAAGTATTCTCGCATTTCTTTTGTTTTTTGTTGGGTTTTATGCAAAAATCAATGCTTTTTTAATGTTTTTTATCTTTCATACTTATATAATTTTTGAATAAAATTATGTTTATATAATTGGACAAATCTACTTTTTCCCTAGAATTTTATTGAAAAAATATTTTTGGAAATATTTATAGTCAAAGGAAATTTTTATTGACAAACTTGAAAAAATTTTTTGAAAAAAATACTTGGAGTTTTGTCTAGACAAGAAGTATGTAATTTTTTGAGGTTCTAGAAAATAAGTTTGATAAAGCGAAGAAAATTTTAGTTTTTTTAATTCCTAAATACAAAATTCCAATAGTGAATTTTTCCTCCTCAAATAAATAAATATAAAATTCAGAATTCGAAAAAAAGTCAAAACCAAAAGAATTTAAATCTTAACAGGAATACAAGATGTCATTACAGGACTTTTTTCGAAAAGATTTGACTTTAAAATATTTTAAGAGTTAAAAAAATATCCATATCCACACAAGAATCCACCAGAATAATTAATTATTTCCCAAAGGTTGTGGTCGCCACTAAAAATTTTTTAAAATTATTCGATTTAATATTTCAATTATAAACATTTTTTGATAAAAACATTTTTAAAATATTTTTCTTCAATTTTCGAAAGATTAAGTTTTTTTAAAGTTTTTTTTATCATTTTAAAATTATTTGGACAAAATTATTTGTGATTTTATTAAATTTAAAAATTTTACCAAGACAATATGCATTGTACCATCAGAACAATGAACCTATAAATAATTTTATAAATATTTAGAAAATTTAAACTTCATTGGTCCCGAAAATTTCATTTTAAATTTTAAAAATACTATTTCTGTCTTCTATTTTTATCTAATTAGAATCCCTAACCCTAACAAAAAAATCGAATTTTTCACCCAAAATAGTAATTACTCCCCCCTATGGTTTTCGATTTTCAAGGACTTATATTTCTGTACACAGGCATTTCCGCACCTGGAGAGAGTGGTACCGTTCGACTCAGCCAAGATTCAAAAATTATCGCACAGCGCCTTAAATTTAAAACTAGTTGTTATGTAAAATTTTAGAAAATGTTCGAATACTAGTTTAGGAGCTCAAATAAGAGAAAAATAGCGGGAAGTCTTATAATACCAAAAGCTTGTAATACCAAGCACCCAAAAATCCTTGAAATATCAAAGTAATATCAAAAAATAAAATTACAGTAAAATAATATCCTCCTCCTTCAGCCTTTTTAGGTTCCCGTCTCGCAGCTGGTTTCATCCCCCTTTCCAAATTTCGTCGAGTTCTTTCCACAACTTCAATTTTATCCAAAGCACGATAATGTTGAACAACTTCAGGTATCTGCATATTTAGAACATCATCACCAACATTCGCAAAACAGTTAAAGATTTGCAAATATCCAGAACTAACCTAAAATAAATACTTTAATTATCATATTTTTTTTAAATTTAATAAATAAATTTTATTTACGTTTTATAATATTCCTAAAAATAAGCATGTTAGCAATAAAAATCAAAATATTTTATAAAAATGATATAAAAGGAATTTTAAAATTAATTTCGCATACAAATTGAACTTGTGATTCAGTAAACTTTTTAATTTCATCAAAGAATTGGGACAATGTTAAATTTCCATAAACATCAAGATCTTCGCTTGGAGGTGGTGGAGGAGGAAGCATTTTAGATATTTTAAAGATTGAATATTTATTCATAATAAAAATTTAATAAAATCAGCTTTTATTAACTGAAAGGAGAATCTTTTAGATAATACTTGAGATAAAAGATAACTGGAATATTAGGAATTAAAGAATCATTCAGTAATTGGTGATAAGGTACATATAATAAAATGACTTTCATCAAAAATTTATTTAAGTATAAAAGATTTTTTAGAAAATTTTTCTGGAAAGTTGAAAAATTTTTAAGCTCTAGATTGCTGATAGTATTCATGAATATCTCGGAAAAAATTTCAAAATTGTGTGAATTAGTAAAAAATTTTAAGCGCACATAAATAAAAGAATATGCTACATTTTTTTCTCAAAGAACAATCAATAAAATAATTGTAAAGGACTTCTAAAAATATATGTAGTAGAGAAGAGAAAAATAAAATAAAGTCTCTAAATAGCCTCATAGATTTTAATTTTCTAAAGTATTCATGAAACTCTAAAAATCATTTTTGATAAAAATTATTTAAAGTTACATGATTTTTATTATTTAAAAATATAAATAAAATTAAAAATAGGAAAGAATTAATTGGAACAATAATAAATTTCTTAGAATTTTATAAAAATCAGCTTAAAAATATTATTTTTTTGCCTTAATTTTAGAATAATGTATATGCTTTTATAATTCATTTTGATTTTCATTAAAAAATTTCTTCCAGATTTTTTCTTCCAAATTTTTTAATACTTTTAGAATTTTATTTAAAATTACAACGTCAATATAAGCATGAAATTCTGTTGAAAGAACATTGACAAAGTCAGAAAGAATCAGTTGTCGCTCAACTGCAAACTCGGAGTATTTGAAGCGAAGACAACAACACTTTTCAACACTTCTGAAGAAGAGTGTTGAAGATCCGTATCACTAATAAACAAAAAAGATAACAAAAAACATAATCAAAAAATTATTTTTAATTTTTACTAAAAGAATATATAAAATTTTAAAAGGAACAAAATAAAAATACTAGAATTTTCGTTAAATTAATATTTAATATCTAAAATTGTTATTTTTTGTGGTGGGGTAAGTAAAATGAGGGTTATGGTCCTAACCTTCTAACTAAATAAAATATGTAGCTAATTTTATTTCTGAACATACATAGCTTTAATTTCTTCAACCCACCCGAGTTAAAAAGTCCATTAGAGGAAGTCAAATAAGAATTATTTGCGTCAATAAATAAAATTTGATAAATTAAGATAAATTTCAAGAAAAATTAATGATAGAGGATATAAATTGGAATTTTAAAATATTGTTGAAAGAAATGTTGATGTTGACTCAGGTAAAATTATGCAAGAATGTTGTAAAAAAATTAAAATTGTTTACAAATAAATAAATAAATTTTTATAATAAATTAGATCTGCTTTTAGTCTGCTTTTAGTCTGTTTTTCTCAAAATCTTGCTCAACTGGACCGCACAAAGCTGGGTAACGTGGACATCTTTTTGGAATAGATAATGAATAAATAAATAGTTAAAATTTCAATACCCATTATCAATAATAGTGAAGGGAACAGCTTCTCCTTCCCCACCAACTCTGATTGCTGTACATTCAGCCAACATCTTTAGAAAAATTTTGTTTTTCAGAAATTTTCAAAAAAATTTTCTTTTCACCATATTATGTGGTCCAGCTTGTTCACTACTAACCACCATAAATAATGGATCTCCAATTGAAGCTTGTTGTAATGGTTGTCCGTCAGCGTCCAAAAATGAAAGTGTTGCCGTAATTGGAGGGGGAGTGCCGGCATCGAGAATTTGTGGTTCTACTTCTCTTTAAATAATTTTTATTTTTCTTTCACTAAAAGATATCTCACTCTGAGAGGACTCGAAAAATCGTAGCTTATAATGGTGACGAATTAAAATTGGGGGTACCGGTTGGAAGTGCCCCCCTCCCAACCAGCGGTAAATTTTAAGGACTTATATTTAGGTGTATCAAGTATAGGCTAGAGCTGTTTCTTGGTCTTGAGTCTTGGGAAACTTTCGGTCTTGGACAGCTCTAGTATAGACTATATTATAGTGAGATTCGATTTGTTCAAATTTCTAAATAAATTTTTTCTTACTTAGTTTCAAATATAGTAGTAACCAAAACAGTCCCTTCAATTCCCTGTTCTCGCTTTTCCAACATTTTCTCCAAATTCATACTAACATCACAGGATACTCGATAGAAACGATCCCATTCTGTAGTGACTTGATGTGGAAGAACTCCGTCTAAAGAAACAACAACTAAAGCTTCCAATTTTCCGTCCTGTTTTTGAAAATTAAATTGGAAAATATTTTCTTTAAAATTTTCTACTACTTTAATTGTAGTTCCACAATTGGGTGAAATATTTTGAGGTGGGAAAGTAATAGATATTTGTTTAGCATTTTCTACTACTTGAGAGCATGTACTGAATTTTTCTGCTGCGTAAATAGCCCCAGTATATGGTTTTTTTGTATTTACTATGAATCTAATTCCTTCATTTGTGCAAAGTGACATTCCTCCTAATTTGGATTCTAAAAATGCTTTTTTAATGTTTTTCATCTTTCATACTTATATAATTTTTAAATAAATTATGTTTACCGTAAATATCCTAATAGAAGCCCAGTCCTAATAGAAGCCCACCCGACGGGGGGTATTGAAAAATATAAGCCCAGGGCTTATATTAGGATATTTACGGTATATAATTGGACAAATATACTTTTTCCCTAGAATTTTGTTAAGAAATATTTTTTTAAATATTTATTGTCAAAGGAAATTTTTATTGGCAAAACTTGAAAAAATTCTATAAAAAATCACTTTTTGGAATTTCTTGTGAATAAAATGTAAATTTTTTTGAGTTTTTAGAAAATCTATGTTTGATAAAGCAAATTTATTTTAGTTGTTTTAATTCCAAAATACAAAATTCCAATAGTGATTTTTTTATCTGACTCAAACAAATATATATAAAAGTTTGAGAAAAAGTCAACAACAAATGTATTTAAATCTTAACAAGTGAATGGAAAACAAATTGTGTAAAAACACTTTGACAATTTTGTATTTATTCCAAAGAACCACCCACATCATCTCCTGCGTCGTCATCAACTTGCTCTTTGTAGTAGCATTCAGCAATCTTATAAACCGACTTAGTCAACACTAAATAATAAAATATAGATTAAAATTTTTTTCATTTTTAAAAACTTTTCAAGGCAACAATAATGTCAGATACTTCCTCCAAATTGAAATTAGGAATAATTTCTTCTACTAAAAACTTGAAAAAGTCCAAAATTATATCCATTCCATCAGTGAAGTATTTGTTTACCTAAAATATTTCTTATAAAATTGTCATTCTTAATTATGTTTTTATAATTTCAGAATATATTTTTTAATTAAAAAATTGACTTGTTCTTCCCAATCCTTCATACTCATCAATTTATTTGAAACATCTTCTTCTCGAACTCTATCAGGCCATCTATAGGAATCGATTTTCTTAAATAAAATTTGATTTAAAATTTTAAAAAAGTATAAAAACATTATTAATCGTTTCGGCATGCGTAGGCAAAACATCAGCAAATCCGCCCAATTGTCCAAAGATTCCTTGAAATTTTTTTAAATTTAAATTAACAATTAAAAACTAGCCTTCTAATTTGCTGTTTGAGTTAACAATTACATGGATAGTAACTTGGCTTTCGTCGATCCCGTCCAGCAAATCACCAACCTCCTTCAACATCCCTTTAGCCTTAGCTTTCTTCTAAAAATATTTCTATTAGGTTTTGACGAATTTAAATTGTTTCCACAAATTTAGAAAATTTTCAAAAAACATTTAACACACACACACATGCCCTACTTTTTTAAAATAAGTAAAAGATTTGGATATTCGAATATTATTCTATTTTAAATTAATGGGAATAAAAGGGATTAAATATAAAAGGGATTAATTCCTAAATTAATTCTTTAGGTAAATTTTGTTTCATTTAATGAAAATATAAGGAACAGTTTTAATAAAAATTATCCAAAATAAAGGGTTAAAACACCAATGAACTAATAAGGGTCATTGATGGGGGAGGGGGCACAGCGACACCAGTCCCTTTCTTTTGTTGCATAAATTGTGTTTGTAATAATTCAAAAAATAAAACAACACAAAATACTTGGAACATTTCCATAAATTTAAAAAACTATTCATTTATAAATATAAAGTCAAAATTCACTAAAGTTAGATACCCCTAAATATCTCAATAAATGTTCTCGAAACAACTGAAGCTGGAACGTCTTAAAATACTTAACGCTCAGAAACATTTGAAATACCAAACGTGGAAAAAAGATTGAATTAACAAACCTCAACAAGCCCCTGATCTTCAACCTCTTCCTTAACATTTTCAGATTCTTTATTAACATCAAGTCGAATTTTTTTGACTGAACGTTCCACTGCTTCTGTGGATGTATCTAAAATAACTCTCAAACCTTTTCGTTAAAGAAAAATATGACATTCAAAAGAGATCTGATGACATGTGTTGCAAGGGCGTATCCAGGGGGTCGGTTTCGGGGGGGGGGGGGGGGGAACATTTGGTGTGCGCAAAAAGTTTGGCGTTCACTTTGGCGTTCCGAACGCAAATTTTTTTGTACATAAATTTTTATCTTTTCAGCGCCGCAGGCGAAAATTTTTTGAGTTTTGGAGCCCAAGAAGCCAGATTTCGGCTGTACTATAGTATAGGTCCACCGAGATCGGAACTCATAGTATATACCATTCGATTCGTCTCGCCGAGCTGAGTTCAAATATGCAAGAATTTTCTGCGGGAGACGAAAACTCGCAGAGATACAGGCCCACGAAGATACCATACCATTCGATTTGGGGTCAAAAATTCGAATAGGCGAATTATACCTCATTCGAAAGAGCTCGTCGAGCTGAGTCGAATGACACCAAAATCAACGAAATCCGACTTGAATAGACAAAGTTAAGATCTTTTCTTTTAGCTCCTTACCTATGGCATCTGTGGAGATTTTTGCTGCTAGGGAGGCCCCAAATACGTCCAGAGCAAGAGATTTAGGAATAGGTTTATGTTACTAGCCCAGACCCAGCGCCCGTAGACTCCCCGCGAGGCGCGTGCCGCAAAACCCCGCGCGAAGCGCGGGGTTTTGCACAAGCGCCTCGCCGACGCTCCATAGGTTTAGGTTTTTTTGTGTCATAACTTTTTCTAATCTTGTCCAATCACGGTGATTTTGGTGTCATTCGACTCAGCTCGTCGAGCTCTTTCGAATGAGGTATTATTTGCATATTCGAATTTTTTGACCCCAGAAATTACCAAATTTCGGGGGTCTGTAACTCGGCTATATAGGGTCGGATTTCGTTAATTTTGGTATCATTCGACTCAGCTCGACGAGCTCTTTCGAATGAGGTATAATTTGCATATTCGAATTTTTTACTCCAAAATCGAGCTTACTCCCCCTATGGTTTTTCGATTTTCAATCGCCTGTATCTCTGCGAGTTTTCGCGTCCCGCAGAAAATTCTTGCATATTTGAACTCAGCTCGGTGAGACGAATCGAATGGTATATACTATGAGTTCTGATCTCGGTAGACCTATACTATAGCGACCCCCAGATTTCTTCCTTTTTCAGCGCCGCAGGCGAAAATTTTTTTAAATTTTGGGGTTGTAGGCGAAAAAATTTCACTTTTTTGACCATCCTTCTCCTAATTTTTTCCCCTTTCCCCCATTTCTGGGGGGGGGGGGCTCTATCCCCCCATCCCCCTGGATACGCCCTTGATGTGTCTATTTTGCTAAGAGTTTCGCTTATTAATCCATTAAAAATGTTTTTCTTGTGTAATGAGATGCGCTAAGTTCAAATTTCAGTGCTCGAAACGGTCGGCAAGTCTCCGCAGCGGCAAGAACTTTTACCGCGGAGGCTTATGTGAGGGACGAAACAATTGATCATAACAATCAAGTCAGATTTAGTCGTATTGGTGGCACTCGACCCAGCTCGAGGAGCTCTTTCGAATGAGCTATAATTTACATTTTCGTATTTATGCCCCAAATTAAGTTTAGTCCCTCCCCAATAGTCTTCAATTTTCAGGGGCCTGTTTTGAGCACTTATTGTGATATTTGAATCAGTGAATTTCAGTGCGCAAGAAAAAACACTTTGATGTGTTGATAAGTGAACTCTAACCCCTAATTTCCGAAAATCTGGATTTTTGGACGCATAACAGAAAGACAAGTTAAAAAGTGCAACAAACCTTCACATTTTCTTTTCCCTCCACCAGAAGACTCTCCGTGTTTCTCTTTAAATTCATCTTCCATCTTCTTTTCCAAATCACAAATTTTTTGGTCAAGTTTGCTAAGTTGTTGGTTCATTTGGTTCATTAATTCAACAAGTCCTCTCCTTTCTTCTTTTAATTTATCAATTTCCTCACTATATTTTTTAAAATCAGATTCTTCCATTATTTTTTTGTTCTAAAATTTTTCATTAATTTTCACAACTAATTTTCGACAAACACGCCTTTTTGGATTCCGATTTCGGAAGGGGAATGAGTTTCTCAGGGAACGTTTTAAAATTTAAATTGTGGGACCATGGAACCTATTTTCATCGAAAAAAAATTGTAAATTCAGAAAGTAACGAAATTTAAAAATTTAACACAAATGAACAACAATTAAGCAACATTAAAAATTAAATAAAAATAGAAAAAATGGGGAAATTTAAATAAACTATCACGTCGCGGAAAAGTTAAGTTGAGTACTGGCTCGGTGGGGTACTATTGAGTACCGCCGATTGAGTAACGCCGTTTGAGTCCCTGGCCAGTTGAGTCCCGGCCGGTTGAGTCCCGCTGGTTAAATTTCCCTGTCTTTGGAACAACATTCCTTGACTTTGGAACAACTTTTCTCGTCTTTAGAACAATTTTCCCCGTTCTTGGAACAACATCCCCTGGTGTCGGAACAACATTCCCAGTTGTCGGAACAACTTTCTTAATAGTTGTAACAACTTTCTCATTAGTTGAAACAACCCGCATCAACATTGGAAGAACTTCCCCGTTGTTGGAACAACTTTGCACAATGTTGGTCCAACCTTTCCCATAGTTGGAACAACTTTCCCCGTTGTTGGAAAGTTATTCATATATAACCAGCGGGACTCAACCGGCCGGGACTCAACTGGGCAAGGACTCAACCGGCGGTACTCAACCGGCGGTACTCAATCGGCGGTACTCAATAGGGTAATATTGAACGTGACAGACCCCCTTTTTTCTTCCCCAAGTTTTTCCCCTATATTTTTACAGAATGGTCAGACTTTTTCCTTTCTCCCATCCCAATTGCCTTTCTATATTTAACAAAAAGGATTATTTAATTTTATACAAGTGAAAGTATATGCAAAAAAATTAAGAGGAGTATTAATTTTGTTCTCAATTTATAAAAAAATGGAACAACTTTTGGCAATTGGGAAGGAATCAAGGAAAAACTGTTGTTTATGATTGATTGTAGGATTTGTAGAAAGGCAATTGGGAAGGGAGAAAGGAAAAAGTCTGACCATTCTGTGAAAATACAGGGTAAAACTTGGGGAGGAAAAAAGGGGGTCTGTCACGTTCAATATTACCCTCAATAGTCTCGTTCCCGTACTAGCTAGTACTCTCTAGTAGGGGACAATTCAGTACAAGCCGTTTTTCTACCTTCATGAAATTTTTTAAAAAACTTTCTTAGATTTTTAGGGTTCGTTTTCAACAAATATGGTATTATTCAAAAAATCTTTAAAAGCTGAAACAAAGGAAATGAAAATTTTAATAAACAAAGAAAATTTTGAATTCTGTACTTTGTGGAAAAAATCCTAGAAAAAATAAAAACTGTTCTTTTCCGAAACCGGCTCTTCTCATACCACATTTGGCAAAAACAAGCCTCAAAAATTTAAGAAAATCCAAAGAAAAACAAATTTTCATGGAGACTGAAATGGCAGGTAATGAAAAGTTTTACTGTACCGACATTCAAGACGGTACACTACAACTGGGCGCGCACAACTGGGCGCCGCCACAACTGGGCGCCCGAAATCAAAATTCCTTCATATATTATCCAAATTTTGTTTATATCTGTATATATTTTTATTTTTTAACAAATATTTAGTGTATAATTAAAAATGTTAAACACTGCTAAAATTGATACTCTAGGAAAAGTTAAACTACAATGGGCATCTTTACCTTTTTGACAAGCCAAATACTGCAGGAACTATAAAATTTTGGAGATGCGAATTTAAAAATAGAGGAATCGACAAGTATAAATGGCGCATTTGGACAACCATGGAGAATGATTTTCTTCGGCTGGTGAAACCACATGCATGTGAACTCGCATCGTGGCACAGCAAGTGAAGACGGGAATGAAACGACGTGCATTGGAAACTATGAAAGCCCCAACAATGATTCGAGCGGTTGTGTTGCAAAACACATCTTCACCAGCTCTAGCTGAAGTGCCTTCATAAAAAGCTTCTAATTTGGTTATTTTTGTTTAAATTAAAGAATAAAAAATTTTAAATAAGATGATCCAGAGAGCACGGAAAGAAGTTGATGCTCCTTCAGCGATGCCCGCAAACCTACACCAGCTTGTTATTCCAGCCGCCTACCAAATTTAAAAAAAACAGATTTGGTCGAAGAGCAATTTTTGTTGAGTGATTCTGGAGTATATTATGAGGGAGGAAGTGAAAACCCACAAAGGTTTTCACTTCCAAGTGAAAACCCCTCATTTTTGCACGTGCATCAACCTGTAATTGGGCACAAATGATGGACTACACCGGGCGCCCAAGAGCTAATGGTTCACGTACACAGCCACGATTCGATCCAGAAAACTACAATCTCACTTTAATTGTTCTCATCCATCAACTTGGCACTTCATTTTTCAAAAAGTGCAAAAAGTATATTATTTTTATATTATTTTTCTTTTTAATTTTTAAGGATACTGATGGTGATTTTTCACATTTATTGCTGGGTGGGAACCTCCTCCGAAAAGAAATAAATACAGAGATGCTGATGCTCGGATTTTGGCAAATGTTCAAATTTATCTTCCTCTTGTTTTTAATGCACTAGACATTAACAACGGCCATGATTACAATCAAAATCATAACAGAATTATTGAATATTTGAATGGTATTTCAAGAAATTATAGAATGAACCCGTGATTCTTTTTCAGTTTATTTATTTAAAGTTTATTTTTGATTTTTTATTGAAAGGATTTCTAGAAATTACAGAACAACTCTAAAGATTACTATTAGCCGTCGAATATTTATCAAGTTTTTTATAGAATGTCAAAATTTCTAGAAATTACAAAAATTTTCAACTATCAAAATTTTAATTTTTTTACTACTGGTCACAAAAATCTCAAAATTTTAATCATTTTTCCGTGATAAATAGATACATATATAGTTTTAAGATTTTATTGATCGATAGTATTTAAAAGTCGAGGCAAAATTTTGATTTCGGGCGCCCAGGGGCCTATTCCACCAAACGACATTGACATCAAATGTCGCGACATTTGTCAATCGCTTGACATTCCGATTGCGATTGTTCCACAAAGCGACATTAAAATTATTTTGTGACATCGAATCTACTTTCAGCGACATTGACAGCGAAATGTCGCGATTGTGTTCCACAAAGATTCTAAATTTAAGTGTCAATCAACACTAGCAATCAAAATGTCGATTTTTAGTGACATAGCGTTAAGGCTTTGTCGTTAATGAGAAAATGTGTTTTTAGAAATCCAAATTAAAACTTAAAATTACAAATAAAATATTTGGCTCTATATGAAAATAATGCGGGAATCAAATTTTTTCCTGCTCCCCATAATAGTCAATTTCTCAATAATTCTCTCTATATTTGATTTATGCCGTAGGGAAAATACCCGCGAACTATCACCGCAAAAGGATTATTTTTCTCTAACTTTGTGAGCATTTACTTTTTTTCTGTCCGATGTGTGTGCGTGTTTTGTCTGTCCGAGTTAGTCCGTGTTTTGTCTGTCCGAGTTGGTCCGTGTTTTGTCTGTCTGTGTCCGTCCGAGTTAGTTCGTGTTTTGTCTGTCCGTCCGAGTTCGTCCGTCTTTTGTCTGTCCGAGTTGGTCCGTGTTTTGTCTGTCTGTGTCCGTCCGAGTTAGTTCGTGTTTTGTCTGTCCGTCCGAGTTCGTCCGTCTTTTGTCTGTCCGAGTTGGTCCGTGTTTTGTCTGTCTGTGTCAGTCCGAGTTCGTCCGTGGTTTGTCTGTCCGAGTCCGTCCGATTTTTGTCTGTGTGTTCGTCCGTGTCTTGTCTGTCTGTTTTTGTCTGTCCGAGTCCGTCCGTGTATTACATTTGAACATGCCACAGGGAAATTCATTGGAAGTAAACGAGGGAAAAAGTCTGACCTTTCTGTACAAAATAAGGAAAAATATTGAAAGGAAAAAATGAAGGAAAAAATTTGATTCCCGCATTATTTTCATATACGGCCAAATATTTTTAGATGAATTAGAGTGTGCTCTTTAATTTTATAAGTTTTAAAATTTTTTGTTTAAAAATAAATTCACTATAAGCTCTCGCAAAAAGTACCCCATTTTTTAGCGAAAAAGGGACACATTCTCTCCAATAGGTAACCGATTATTTCGAACAAGCATCTTTTGTTGAAATTTTTGATGAAATTTTTATTGTAAATGTACATACTTTTTCATAAATCCTTTGTAGATTTTGATTATTTTTATAAACTAATGGACTCTGATCTGAGTTCTATTTCAAACTCTGTTAACGAATTAGACGAAAAATCATCAGATTCATTCAATTTCGAGAATGAAAGGTCCTCTTTTAGTTCAGATACAACTTTCAAAAAACAATTATATTAATTTCATCCATTTTTTAAAAATTTTTCTAAAATGTAAGAAAAAAAATAAACTAAAAAAATAAATAAAGAACAAAATTAAAAAAACAAATAGTTTAATGATGACATCGACATTTTGACAATGACATAGACTGATTTCGGTACTTATTTAGTTTCCCACCCCCAGCAATTTTTTTGGAAAATATGTAAAAATGGTCAGTCTGAACAACAATCGTAGAACCGATTAAGCTGAGTCGAATGACACCGAAATCAACGTAATCGGACGAGTTTTGCCAAAGTTATGACATAAGGTTGCCGACTCCGGTAGGTCTAAATAATGTCATAACTTTGGCAAAACTCGTCCGTTTACGTTAATTTCGGTGTCAAACGACACAGCTCGACGAGCTCTTTCGAATGAGCTATCATTTGTATACTTTTTCGTCCTTTTGGTTTTTCGCCCCTGTGGTTGTTCAATTTTCAGGGGTCTGTATCTCGGTCCAATCAAGTCGTATTTTGTCGATTTTGGTGTCATTCGACTCAGCTTAATCGGTTCTACGATTGTTGTTCAGACTGACTATTTTTACATATTTTCCAAAAAAATTGCTGGGGGTGGGAAACTAAATAAGTACCCTGATTTCTTTAGTGGAACACAATCGTATGGGTGGCACGACAATTGTACAGTGGGACGATTGTACAGTGTGACAATTGTACAGTAGACAATTGTACAGTGGACAATTGTACAGTATTCAGAGATTTTTAAAAAGAAATTTAATTTTGCGATAGTCGGTAAGAAATATATATACACTTGACCCAAAGTATCGAAACCATATAATCAACATTAAATTTTTAAAATTTTATTATACAACATTGGGAAGTTGCTCAATGGCGGGGAAGCTTATTTTGATCAAAATTTTCAATTTATCAGCCGAGAGAGTAATCGATTGATCAATTAATCCCTAAATGGAATCTTGATTGATCACTAAGGTGATCGATATCTGTGTCGCTTATCGCTCTTGTTTAATCACTCTTCCGTTTGATCATCACTCGGTTTCCGATTTCGATATTTCTCAACATTTCCGATTCACTTTCCAGGTTGATCACTCACGTGATTGATCACTCTTGGTTGATCCCCTTCGAGATTGATCACTCACACGATTGATCACCCACTTCGCTGATCAATTCAACGAATTGAAGTTTGTCCGTCATTGGAACAACCTCCCCATGTTGCATAATAAAATTAAAAAAATTTAATGTTGATCATATGTTTTCGATACTTAGGGTTTACATTAAATTTTTTAAAAAAGCTCTTAATACTGTACAATTGTCCACTGTACAATTGTCTACTGTACAATTGTCTCACTGTACAATTGTCCCACTGTACAATTGTCATGGAGCCATCGTATGTCAATGTTGCAATCGCGATTGACACTTGGACATCGACATTTGATGTCAATGTCGTTTGGTGGAATAGGCTCCAGGTGCGGAAATGCCTGTGGACCAAGATATAGGTCCCAAAAATCTCGAAAAACCATAGGGGGGGGGGGGAATAAGAGGGATATCAGAGGATTTGGAGGGATATTTGCGGAAGGAATAAAGCGGATATCGGCGGATATAGAAGCAGATATAAGGAGATTTAAAGCGAGTAAGAGGGTTTAGAATGGTATCCGATATTATCCCAAATATCTTGATATACTGATATCCCATTCAATTCACTGATATCCCAATTAATCCCTCGTTAGCTTTCCATATCCACCGATATCCCCATTAATTCTTCGATTTTTATAATTAAAAAATCAAGAATCAAGGCCTAGATCCAGGCAATTAGGCCAATATCCAGACTTGGATCAATTCAAATCAATATTTTTAAAATATCGAAAAATTTTTCGAGAATCGAGATTTTTTTCCAGTCTGATCTCTAGTATAGAATTACTGGAACTTCTCATGGGACGCGTGAAATTCAGAATCAAATTATTTTGATAATAAAATATTTTCCATTTGTTTAAATAAAAAAGAAATCTCACCATTATTTTCTTCAAAGCTTCTCCACATCTTGCATAAATTATTTTAGAAGAAACTAAAACATTTTCAATACATTCAATTTTCCAAACAAAACATTTTGGTTGTTTTGCTGTATTAGTTAATTTTTTATTTATTACCAAATTTGTATATCCATTAATTGATTTTGAAATTTCAAAAATCAACTCAATTGGAAGTATTTTAGTATTTTGTTTAGTTTTTGTTAAGGTCATTTTTAAGAAACACAAAAGTTTTGTTGTTATTTTTGTTGCTTTTTTTATTACATTATTTAAAGTAATGTAAAATTTTTTGAAATTTTCAAAAAAATTCCTATTTTAATTAAATAAAAATTTTAATTTAATTTAGTTAAAAAAAGATTGAAAATTTAAATATATGTATGTAAAAGAATTTTAATATTAGGATATTGTTAGTATTTCCAAATATATGCCCATAATAACCTAATAATTTAAAGTTGCTCATTCTTTCTTTTTGGGGTAAAAGCCTTGAAAATTAAATTTATTTTGTTAAACAATAATTTTACAATTTTTTAAAAATATTTACAAATTCTCAAAAAGAGTGAAATTTTTGGGCTAAAATAATGCTAAATAATGCAAAACTAAATAAACTTAAAAAATCGTTAACTTTGTTTACATCAATTCTGTAGAGTCTCTCTCCTTGTTTTGCTTCGAAGATGGCATTTTCCCTTTTATATAAAAACGTTTTTAAAACGTGTGATTCAGCAGAATATTACACATGTCGAGTATTTCTCCGTTAGAAGAAGGTCAGAACAGAATTAGCATTAAAAATCGTTAAAATGTTAGGGACTTTTTTGCTTCTTTAGGACTCAATAGCAACTAATTCTATACAGTATTTTGTTTAATCATGGATATGGAAGAATCCAGAAAAGGACCAGAAAAGGACGATTCGGTATCGCCAATTCAGTATCTAGGCCATATTTTGGGCCACAACTTTTTTGTTTTCCTCCAATTCGGGTAATTTTCGTATCCTTTGAAAGGACTCGAGATGCGGCACCTTTTTAATAATGAACTGATTTAATCTGAACATCCACAAAAAGTAGAGCCAAATAAAATCGAAAATCACGATTAACCTCACCTATTCTGCTGTTACTTTTTGTAAGATGATCTGATCAATCTAATCTTGCTAGGTAAATAATCCCCGCTTTTAGAGCTTTCGGTTGATATAATAAATATTCTGTATATTTCAGTATTGTTGGGTGTTATTTAAAATCAAATCATTTTAATTTTTATCATTATTTTATATGTATATAAATTGTTAAATTTTTAAGTGAATTTACTTTTTTCCATAAAATTTTAAGAAATTAAAAGAGATTTAAGTGATATAGGTATTTTTATGGTAACATTGGGTAAATTAATAAAGGGCCGATTTTTGTTATGAAATTCTAATAATTAAAAAAAAAATTTTCACAACGTAAAATTTTCTTAAATATAATATTTCGGTCCCTTATAGAATTTAAAAAAATAAAAGAAAATATAAATATCAAAATTTAAATTTAAGATTTTCTATTTTCATTCTCTTTATTTTCTGTTTGTAGCCAATAACATCCCCAAATAACAATTAATGCTGATAGTAGAAGGCAAATCTATTTTTATAAAAATAATTTTTTTGAATTAAATTTTGGCAAAAAAAATAAAATTTAAATTATTTTTAGAAAATTAATAATTATTGAATTTCTCAATACAAATATTTAAGGGAATTTTGTGGAGAATATTCGACTTCCTATTACGATTTTTTGGCTTTTCCATTATGATATAAAGATTAACCTGCTCTCAAAATTTTTCTATAAGACTAGAAGGTATTTGAAGATAAAAGGAAATATTTTTGGATATACTATTTAAATTTATTTTTGTAATTTTTATGTTTGTTGAAGAGGCATAAATCTTTTTGCTTCCCCTGAAAGGCAAATCCGCATTACCCTCGTAATTTGATTTTCCCCAATCCTCCACATAAATATGACCCTCAAAATATTTAAAAAGTATCTACCGTATTTACTGAAATAGTACGGCCCCCTTTATTAGAACGGCCCCCTCAAATAGTACGGCCCTTTTGATGAGGGTTGAAAAATAGTACGGCCCCCTCAATTAGTACGGCCCCCTTATTAGTACGGCCCCCATTTAAAAAATATAAAAAACAGACAAAATTTGATTTTTTAATCATAGTAATTATTCCTCGCAATATTTAACTAATTTATTGAATCTTAATATCTATTGGTATAGAAATTGGAGTGCTTAAGAGGATATCTGCGGATTAATGGAGATTTTGTTGGATATGGAAGGATATTGATGGACCTGGAGTGATTTAAGTATAGATGAATTTAAATGGATTAGTTGGAATCAAAGTGAATAACGAATAGTTTTTAGTACTAGAAAGTTGGATTGACAACCTTCTATCTAAAAAATTAAGGGCAACTCAAAACATTCTAGTATTTCAATCCATCTTCGTGCCTATTTTTTAAGATGACCCGAACCTTGGCTAAGATAAGATAAACTGGCAATGTCAAGAATATCATGTTTATATTATACGTTGAAGAATGTGAATTATTTAAAAGCACGCGCGGATGCACGCGCGGAAGTACTGATTTTAGGGTTCAGCGTACCGGTATTCAGAGACCTCGCGATCGGGATTAACCTAAATCGGTATCGGGATTTGAGATAATGATACGATACCGGCTCAGGATTTAAAAATTGGTATCGGTATTTTCTAAAAAATTTTAATATGAGCAGAAATTAAATAAATATTTTCTAATTCAAAGATCTTAATAATAATAAACCGCTGAATCCTAACTGATTTAACGCTTGCCTCTCCACAAAACACGAGGTAGACAGTTGCGCATGGCGCTCTACAAAACGCTCTACAAAATGCTTGATACAGATGTCATTATAGACGGGGTCTTAAATGATTTTTAAGTTCTGCTAATTTTATGTTTGGAACAAGCTTTTGATTTGGGATAATTACCGAGCATACTATTTTGGATACTATAAAAAAATTTAAACACAAAAAAAAGATTCAGATAATTTTGAAAAAGGGTTGAAAAATAGTGCGGCCCCCTCAATTAGAACGGCCCCCTCAAATAGTACGGCCCTTTGGAAGAGGGTTGAAAAATAGTACGGCCGGCCGTACTATTTCAGTAAATACGGTATTTACCATAGACATAGATGCCACTATTGAAAGGAAAACTGAATCTGCCATACAAACAAGGTTATGGTCAATTACCTCCTTCTCCGGCAAATAATCATTAATCCTGCTTTTATTGCTAAAATTTAAAATTTTTTAAAAAAAGTTCTTCTTTAAAAACCCCCACCTAATAATTATTTTTCCTTCCAATGTTTGATTATAAAAACGTTCAACTTCTTCTTCCATTTCCCCATCTGCCAAAACACGAATTATTGCCGAAAGTGTTTCTTCACTGTTTGCATCGTTGGAAGAAGAGGCTATTGTGTTACTATGTCTCTTTTTACGGCCGTGGGAGAGGAACAAATCGTTGGTGCCAGAATCGAGACAATTACTCTATTTAAGTAAAATATTTAAATTTAAGCAGTAGATGAACACTGTACTGCTTGAACTTGATGGGAAAATAAAAAATAGAAAACTCGAACTATCTTGGAGGGAAATTATTTAGGGACTCTATTTAAAATGTTGGAATCTAATTTTGTTGGGATCTTCATACAAGCAGTACTTCAAGCAGTACAATCGGTTTATGAACATCGTTTGGATATATACAGCTTGAACTCTGAAAAAAATTTTTTGAGAAAATATTAAAACGAACAGGAGGACATCCATTCGGTCCAGCACAAACACATCCATTCGGTCCACTCCCAAAGTATATGTAGCTCGCCAAATTATTTCCTTCCTTTTCTTTTTCGATAAATATAATTTCTTTCAGTTTTATTACTTGAGATGTGTGGTTAAGTGGTTTAGTTGATGAACTTTACTCGATAAGGGTCCTTTTAAATAGGGTTGTTCATTTTTCGAGTTTTTTTCGAACTTGTTTTTATCAAGTCGAGCCTATACGAGTCTTTTTCGTGCCAAATATCTTTTCTTGCCTCTATATCTTTCGGTCTGAGTCGGGCCATTTTGGCAATCCTACATTTAAATCCAATCCATTCAAATTAATTGATGTGTGGCCTTTTTTTCAACAGTATGGCCCTTTTGCCAACTTTAGGGGCATTTGCCACTTTTTGATTTTTTCGCCCTCTTTTTTACAATGCCCCTTTTTGACCTTTTCCAAAAAAGCAAGAAATTTTACATAGAAGCCTTCAAAATTCTCAAAATTTTCGCCTGCGGCGCAAAAAATGAAGATTTTCACTTTAATATTCTGTGGGGTGAGGTTCAAATCCATGAGCGGACGTACAAATCTTTCGTCGATGTTTCTTAATCACAATTATTCATCAACTCCCTTGATAACTTCTCATCTTTTAATCCCCCGATCATCGATATTAATCCACCCACCGATCATCGATATATCCTATTTCTTTTGTTTTTTTGTTGGGTTTTATGCAAAAATCAATGCTTTTTTAATATTTTTCTTTCATACTTATATAATTTTTGAATAAAATTATGTTTATTTAATTGGGCAGGTACTTATGAAGATGGAGGTGCCCTTTCTGCGGACTTTTTTTGCGGATTTTTCTTCCTTTTTAAATGTTTTGGTTGTTTTGCTTTCAGCAAGTTTTGCTCGTAGCAATTAACTGTCAAAAGATTATTAAAAATTTTACTTTAACTAAATTTTCAATTACCCGCTGATGAATTTCGAAAATGGATCACTGATCTCGGAATGCTTCATAGAAAAAGAATATGTTAATGTGGAACAGAAATGCGGTAATTTCAAACATTGTCCCCCCCCCTTTATTTTTATTACCTAAGATTGTACAAAATGGTCAGATTTCCTTCCTCTCTTTCCTCTATTTGAGCTTGACATATTCAAACAAGAGATATTGTTGATAAAGAGAAGATTAAAATTAATTGAGTTGTTCAATACTGAGTTCAATTTATTTTTTCAGTTGTTCAATATTTTTAAATAGAAGTAAGAATGTAATGTTTTTACACACACATTCATAATGTTATACACCAAATCAATTTTATTTAATTCTTTTTTTTGTTTAAATTGTTTTCGAAGGCAAAAAAAATAATCTTCTCTTTATCAATGTCTCTTGTTTGAATGTGTCAAGGGGCAAATAGAGGAAGGGGAGGAAGAAGAAAATCTGACCTTTATGTACAATCTTAGGTAAGAAAAATAATAAGGGGGAGGGCCTTTGACAGTTAGTTGCTACAAGTAAAATATGTAAAGGAAAGGAAGAAAAGTCCGCAAAAAAAGTCCGCAGAAAGGGCACCTCCATCTTCATAAGTACCATTGGGCAAATCTACTTTTTCCCTAGAATTTTATTGAAAAAATATTTTTGGAAATATTTATAGTCAAAGGAAATTTTTATTGACAAAACTTGAAAAATACTTTTTGAAAAAAATCACTTTTTGGAATTTTTTGTTTAGACAAAAAGTATGTAATTTTTTGAGGTTTTAGAAAATAAGTTTGATAAAGCAAAGAAAATTTTTGTTTTTTTTAATTCCAAAATACAAAATTCCAATAGTGAATATTTTTCTCCTCAAACAAACATAAAAGTTTGAGAAAAATGTCAACAACAAATGTATTTAAATCTTAAAAAATGGAAAACAAAATTTTGTAAAAAACCACTTTGACATATTTTGTATGTATTTATTACAAAAGTATATATTTTAGGGTTTAGTAGGAAATCAGAAATTGAAAAAATTTAATATTTTTAATTTCCAAGTGGAATACATACAAAATGTCGGTAAGTAGAAATACAAAAGACCTGTATTTTTTAGATTTAATTTTAAAATATTTTATAAGAAACATATATCAAGTCATCAAACAACCAATAGCCAAGAACTCTAAACCAAAACCAACAATCAGCCAAAGACCAAATCATCACCACCAGCGTCCTCACCCATGTCCTCTTTGTAATAGCATTCAACCATCTTATTAACTGATCCAGCCAACACTAAATAATAAAATCCGGATTTTTAAAATTTTCATTTTTAAAAACTTTTCAAAGAAACAATAATGTCAGATACTTCCTCCAAATTCAAATTAGGGACAATTTGTTCAATTAAAAACTTGAAAAAGTCCAAAATTATATCCAGTCCATCATCGAAGTATTTGTTTACCTAAAATATTTCTTATAAAATTGTCACTCTTAAATATTTAATTTCAGAAAATATTTTTTAATTAAAAATTGACTTGATTTTCCCATTCGTTATGACTATTCAATCCATTTGAAACATCTTCCTCTCGAGCCCTAGCAGGCCATCCTTCTGAATCGATTTTCTTAAATAAAATTAGATTTAAGATTTAAAAAAAGTGTAAATTAAACATTATTAATCGTTTCGGCATGCATAGGCAAAACATCAGCAAATCCACCCAATTGTCCAAAGATTCCTTGAAATTTTTTAAAATTTAAATTCGGACAATTAAAAACTAGCCTTCTAGTTTGCTATTAGAGTTAACAATTATATGGATAGTAACGTGGCTTTCAGACTCCTCAATACTGTTCAGCAAAGAAACAAATTCCGACAACATTTTAGTAGCCTTGGCTTTTTTCTAAAAATATTTGTATTAGGTTTTAAGGAATTTAAAAATTCTCCAAATTTGAAAAATTTTTCAAACATTTAACACATACATGCCCTACTTTTTTAAAACAAATTATCCATTTTTATTGAAATTTAATACTAAAATAATTAAAAGATTTGGATATTCGAATATTATCCAATTTTAAATTAAAAGGGATAAAAGGGATTAATTCATAAATTAATTCTTTGGGTAAATTTTGTTTCATTTAATGAAAATATAAGGAACAGTTTTAGTAAAAATTGCCCAAAATAAAGGGTTAAGACACCAATGAACTAATAAGGGTCATTGATGGGGGGAGGGGGCACAAGGACACCAATCCCTTTCTTTTGTTGCATAAATTGTGTTTGTAATAATTCAAAAAATAAAACAACACAAAATACTTGGAACATTTCCATAAATTAAAAAACTATTCACTTATAAAATAAAGTCAAAATTCACTAAAATTAGATACCCCTAAATATCTCAATAAATATTCTCGAAACAGCTGAAGCTGGAACGTCTTAAAATACTTAACGCTCAGAAACACTTGAAATACCAAAACGTGGAAAAAAGATTGAATTAACAAACCTCAATAAGCCCCTGATCTTCAACCTCTTCCTTAACATCTTCAGATTCTTTATCGACATCAAGTCGAATTTTTTTGACTGAACGTTCCTCTGCCTCTGTGGATGTATCTAAAATAAACTCTCAAACCTTTTCGTTAAGGAAAAATATGACATTCGAAAAAGAGGAGATCGAAACCGAGATCGAAAATCGAAGTTTCGGCGCTATATGAAATTAGGTTGGGAATCGTTTTTTTCATTACTTTTTTCCTCCCTTGACATGACATAATGGTCAGCATTTTCTTCCTTGTTCAATTCCATTAAATTTGCCTGTGGCATAATCAAATGAGTGATGATAAAGAAAAGATTAATTTTTAAATATTTTTTCCTTATTTTCATTCATGATAGTCCGAGTTACGTTTATGTTTTGTCTGTCCGTGTCCGTCCGTCTTTCGTCTGTCCTCTAACCCCTAATTTTCGACTCTAACCCCTAATTTTCGAAAATTTGGATTTTTGGACGCATAATAGAAAGACAAGTTAAGTTATAAAGTGCAACAAACCTTCACACTTCCTTTTCCCGCCACCAGAAGACTCTCCTTGTTTCTCTTTCATTTCATCTTCCATCTTCTTTTCCAGATCAAAAATTTTTTGGTCAAGTTGTTGATTCATTAATTTCTTTTCTTCTTTAACATCTTCCATCATCTTTTCCAAATCACAAATTTTTTGGTCAAGTTGTTGGTTCATCAAGTTCCTTTCTTCTTTTAATTTATCAATTTTCTCACTATATTTTTTAAAATCAGATTCTTCCATTATTTTTTTGTTCTAAAATTTTTCATTAATTTTCACAACTAATTTTCGACAAACACGCTTTTTGGATTCCGATTTCGGAAGGGGAATGAGTTTCTCAGGGAACGTTTTAAAATTTAAATTGTGGGACCATGGAACCTATTTTCATCGAAAAAAAATTGTAAATTCAGAAAGTAACGAAATTTAAAAATTTAACACAAATGAACAACAATTAAGCAACATTAAAAATTAAATAAAAATAGAAAAAATGGGGAAATTTAAATAAACTATCACGTCGCGGAAAAGTTAAGTTGAGTACTGGCTCGGTGGGGTACTATTGAGTACCGCCGATTGAGTAACGCCGTTTGAGTCCCTGGCCAGTTGAGTCCCGGCCGGTTGAGTCCCGCTGGTTAAATTTCCCTGTCTTTGGAACAACATTCCTTGACTTTGGAACAACTTTTCTCGTCTTTAGAACAATTTTCCCCGTTCTTGGAACAACATCCCCTGGTGTCGGAACAACATTTCCAGTTGTCGGAACAACTTTTTAATAGTTGTAACAACTTTCTCATTAGTTGAAACAACCCGCATCAACATTGGAAGAACTTCCCCGTTGTTGGAACAACTTTGCACAATGTTGGTCCAACCTTTCCCATAGTTGGAACCAGACCTGGGCGAAACTCAAAATTTTTTTCTGACGAAACGAAACGAAACAAAATTTTTTAAAAATCGTTTCGTTAACGAAACGAAACGAAACAACCAAAATCTTACGAAACGAAACGAAACAAAACGAAACATTTTAATATTCAAAAAATTTTCAAAACTGCATTTATTTCGAAATTATTCGACCTCAAATACGTTATTAGTCGACTATGACTTATAAATGATTTAGTTATTGGTTTATTTACAACAATTGTGTCCCATAAGCCAGGCCCGTAGCAAGGAAAATTTTCGGGGAAGGGGGGGGGGGTCAATCATTTTCGAAGCCAAATTTTTGGCGACGCTTTTTTTTAAATAAAATTGAATATTTTTCAAGTAAAATTTTATTTTAAGCGCCGCAGACGAAAAATTTTAAAATTTTGAAAGGCCGTAGGCCAAAAAATTCACCATCTTGCTCCATTGCCTACCCAAATTGTCTCCATATCTCCATTTCGAGAGGAAGGCGATATAAGCTAGTGCTTCGCCGGAAGTTCCGGTTCCAGTATTTCCGCAACTCGCAATCCGCAATTTTTAAATTATGATGCGAGTCCGGTAATAGAATTTGTCGTCGATTAAGTAATATGTATATGTGGATTAGGGAGTGGAGTATAAACGGATTTGTAGTATATAAGTAATTGCTATCTTCCTTTTTCAGCGCCGCAGGCGAAAATTTTGACAATTTGGGAAAGCCAAGAAGCCGAAATTCTTTTTTTTTCAGCGCCGCAGGCGAAAATTTTTTAAATTTTCAATAAAAGATGGTAAATTTTATAGATTTTGGCCTTAGTTTAGGCTTAAAAAATTGTTTCGTTTCGTTGAAAAATCACAGGTGTTTCGTAACGAAACGAAACGAAACAAATTTAAAAGTGTTTCGTAACGAAACGAGACGAAACAGTAAAAATCATACGAAACATACGAAACAACGAAACGAAACGAAACGTTTCGCCCACGTCTGGTTGGAACAACTTTCCCCGTTGTTGGAAAGTTATTCATATATAACCAGCGGGACTCAACCGGCCGGGACTCAACTGGGCAGGGACTCAACCGGCGGTACTCAACCGGCGGTACTCAATCGGCGGTACTCAATAGTCTCGTTCCCGTACTGACTAGTACTCTCTAGTAGGGGACAATTCAGTACAAGCCGTTTTTCTACCTTCATGAAATTTTTTAAAAAACTTTCTTAGATTTTTAGGGTTCGTTTTCAACAAATATGGTATTATTCAAAAAAATCTTTAAAAGCTGAAACAAAAGAAATGAAAATTTTAATAAACAAAGAAAATTTTGAATTCTGTACTTTGTGGAAAAAATCCTAGAAAAAATAAAAACTGTTCTTTTCCGAAACCGGCTCTTCTCATACCACATTTGGCAAAAACAAGCCTCAAAAATTTAAGAAAATCTAAAGAAAAACAAATTTTCATTGAGACTGAAATGGCAGGTAATGAAAAGTTTTACTGTACCGACATTCAAGACGGTACACTACAACTTGGCGCGCACAACTGGGCGCCGCCACAACTGGGCGCCCGAAATCAAAATTCCTTCATATATTATCCAAATTTTGTTTATATCTGTATATATTTTTATTTTTTAACAAATATTTAGTGTATAATTAAAAATGTTAAACACTGCTAAAATTGATACTCTAGGAAAAGTTAAACTACAATGGGCATCTTTACCTTTTTGACAAGCCAAATACTGCAGGAACTATAAAATTTTGGAGATGCGAATTTAAAAATAGAGGAATCGACAAGTATAAATGGCGCATTTGGACAACCATGGAGAATGATTTTCTTCGGCTGGTGAAACCACATGCATGTGAACTCGCATCGTGGCACAGCAAGTGAAGACGGGAATGAAACGACGTGCATTGGAAACTATAAAAGCCCCAACAATGATTCGAGCGGTTGTGTTGCAAAACACATCTTCACCAGCTCTAGCTGAAGTGCCTTCATAAAAAGCTTCTAATTTGGTTATTTTTGTTTAAATTAAAGAATAAAAAATTTTAAATAAGATGATCCAGAGAGCACGGTAAGAAGTTGATGCTCCTTCAGCGATGCCCGCAAACCTACACCAGCTTGTTATTCCAGCCGCCTACCAAATTTAAAAAAAACAGATTTGGTCGAAGAGCAATTTTTGTTGAGTGATTCTGAAGTATATTATGAGGGAGGAAGTGAAAACCCACAAAGGTTTTTAATTAATTTTTGATTTTCTTTGTTTCATTCCTTATTTAGAATCCTCATTTTTGCACGTGCATCAACCTGTAATTGGGCACAAATGATGGACTACACCGGGTGCCCAAGAGCTAATGGTTCACGTACACAGCCACGATTCGATCCAGAAAACTACAATCTCACTTTAATTGTTCTCATCCATCAACTTGGCACTTCATTTTTCAAAAAGTGCAAAAAGTATATTATTTTTATATTATTTTTCTTTTTAATTTTTAAGGATACTGATGGTGATTTTTCACATTTATTGCTGGGTGGGAACCTCCTCCGAAAAGAAATAAATACAGAGATGCTGATGCTCGGATTTTGGCAAATGTTCAAATTTATCTTCCTCTTGTTTTTAATGCACTAGACATTAACAACGGCCATGATTACAATCAAAATCATAACAGAATTATTGAATATTTGAATGGTATTTCAAGAAATTATAGAATGAACCCGTGATTCTTTTTCAGTTTATTTATTTAAAGTTTATTTTTGATTTTTTATTGAAAGGATTTCTAGAAATTACAGAACAACTCTAAAGATTACTATTAGCCGTCGAATATTTATCAAGTTTTTTATAGAATGTCAAAATTTCTAGAAATTACAAAAATTTTCAACTATCAAAATTTTAATTTTTTTACTACTGGTCACAAAAATCTCAAAATTTTAATCATTTTTCCGTGATAAATAGATACATATATAGTTTTAAGATTTTATTGATCGATAGTATTTAAAAGTCGAGGCAAAATTTTGATTTCGGGCGCCCAGGGGCCTATTCCACCAAACGACATTGACATCAAATGTCGCGACATTTGTCAATCGCTTGACATTCCGATTGCGATTGTTCCACAAAGCGACATTAAAATTATTTTGTGACATCGAATCTACTTTCAGCGACATTGACAGCGAAATGTCGCGATTGTGTTCCACAAAGATTCTAAATTTAAGTGTCAATCGACACTAGCAATCAAAATGTCGATTTTTAGTGACATAGCGTTAAGGCTGTGTCGTTATTGAGAAAATGTGTTTTTAGAAATCCAAATTAAAACTTAAAATTACAAATAAAATATTTTTAGATGAATTAGAGTGTGCTCTTTAATTTTATAAGTTTTAAAATTTTTTGTTTAAAAATAAATTCACTATAAGCTCTCGCAAAAAGTACCCCATTTTTTAGCGAAAAAGGGACACATTCTCTCCAATAGGTAACCGATTATTTCGAACAAGCATCTTTTGTTGAAATTTTTGATGAAATTTTTATAAATGTACATACTTTTTCATAAATCCTTTGTAGATTTTGATTATTTTTATAAACTAATGGACTCTGATCTGAGTTCTATTTCAAACTCTGTTAACGAATTAGACGAAAAATCATCAGATTCATTCAATTTCGAGAATGAAAGGTCCTCTTTTAGTTCAGATACAACTTTCAAAAAACAATTATACTAATTTCATCCATTTTTTAAAAATTTTTCTAAAATGTAAGAAAAAAATAAACTAAAAAAATAAATAAAGAACAAAATTAAAAAAACAAATAGTTTAATGATGACATCGACATTTTGACAATGACATAGACTGATTTCTTTAGTGGAACACAATCGTATGTCAATGTTGCAATCGCGATTGACACTTGGACATCGACATTTGATGTCAATGTCGTTTGGTGGAATAGGCCCCAGGTGCGGAAATGCCTGTGGACCAAGATATACGTCCCAAAAATCTCGAAAAACCATAGGGGGGGAATAAGAGGGATATCAGAGGATTTGGAGGGATATTTGCGGAATAAAGCGGATATCGGCGGATATAGAAGCAGATATAAGGAGATTTAAAGCGAGTAAGAGGGTTTAGAATGGTATCCGATATTATCCCAAATATCTTGATATACTGATATCCCATTCAATTCACTGATATCCCAATTAATCCCTCGTTAGCTTTCCATATCCACCGATATCCCCATTAATTCTTCGATTTTTATAATTAAAAAATCAAGAATCAAGGCCTAGATCCAGGCAATTAGGCCAATATCCAGACTTGGATCAATTCAAATCAATATTTTTAAAATATCGAAAAATTTTTCGAGAATCGAGATTTTTTTCCAGTCTGATCTCTAGTTTAGAATTACTGGAACTTCTCATGGGACGCGTGAAATTCAGAATCAAATTATTTTGATAATAAAATATTTTCCATTTGTTTAAATAAAAAAGAAATCTCACCATTATTTTCTTCAAAGCTTCTCCACATCTTGCATAAATTATTTTAGAAGAAACTAAAACATTTTCAATACATTCAATTTTCCAAACAAAACATTTTGGTTGTTTTGCTGTATTAGTTAATTTTTTATTTATTACCAAATTTGGATATCCATTAATTGATTTTGAAATTTCAAAAATCAACTCAATTGGAAGCATTTTAGTATTTTGTTTAGTTTTTGTTAAGGTCATTTTTAAGAAACACAAAAGTTTTGTTGTTATTTTTGTTGCTTTTTTTATTACATTATTTAAAGTAATGTAAAATTTTTTGAAATTTTCAAAAAAATTCCTATTTTAATTAAATAAAAATTTTAATTTAATTTAGTTAAAAAAAGATTGAAAATTTAAATATATGTATGTAAAAGAATTTTAATATTAGGATATTGTTAGTATTTCCAAATATATGCCCATAATAACCTAATAATTTAAAGTAGCTCATTCTTTCTTTTTGGGGCAAAAGCCTTGAAAATTAAATTTATTTTGTTAAACAATAATTTTACAATTTTTTAAAAATATTTACAAATTCTCAAAAAGAGTGAAATTTTTGGGCTAAAATAATGCTAAATAATGCAAAACTAAATAAACTTAAAAAATCGTTAACTTTGTTTACATCAATTCTGTAGAGTCTCTCTCCTTGTTTTGCTTCGAAGATGGCATTTTCCTTTTTATATAAAAACGTTTTTAAAACGTGTGATTCAGCAGAATAATTACACATGTCGAGTATTTCTCCGTTAGAAGAAGGTCAGAACAGAATTAGCATTAAAAATCATTAAAATGTTAGGGACTTTTTTGCTTCTTTAGGACTCAATAGTAACTAATTCTATACAGTATTTTGTTTAATCATGGATATGGAAGAATCCAGAAAAGGACCAGAAAAGGACGATTCGGTATCGCCAATTCAGTATCTAGGCCATATTTTGGGCCACAACTTTTTTGTTTTCCTCCAATTCGGGTAATTTTCATATTCTTTGAAAGGTCTCGAGATGCGGCATCTTTAATAATGAACTGATTTAATCTGAACGTCCACAAAAAGTTAGAGCCAAATAAAAATCGAAAATCACGATTGACCTCACCTATTCGGCTGCAACTTTTTGTAAAATGATCTGATCAATCCAATCCTGCTAGGTAAAATAATCCACGCTTTTAGAGCTTTCGGTTGATATAATAAATATTTAGATTTCAGTATTGTTGGGTTTTATGCAAAAATCAAATCATTTTAATCTTTTATCATTATTTTATATGTATATAAATTGTTAAATTTTTAAGTGAATTTACTTTTTTCCATAAAATTTTAAGAAATTAAAAGAGATTTAAGTGATATAGGTATTTTTATGGTAACATTAAGTGATTTAATAAAGGGCCGATTTTTGTTATGAAATTCTAATAATTAAAAAAAAAATTTTCACAACGTAAAATTTTCTTAAATATAATATTTCGGTCCCTTATAGAATTTAAAAAAATAAAAGAAAATATAAATATCAAAATTTAAATTTAAGATTTTCTATTTTCATTCTCTTTATTTTCTGTTTGTAGCCAATAACATCCCCAAATAACAATTAATGCTGATAGTAGAAGGCAAATCTATTTTTATAAAAATAATTTTTTTGAATTAAATTTTGGCAAAAAAAATAAAATTTAAATTATTTTTAGAAAATTAATAATTATTGAATTTCTCAATACAAATATTTAAGGGAATTTTGTGGAGAATATTCGACTTCCTATTACGATTTTTTGGCTTTTCCATTATGATATAAAGATTAACCTGCTCTCAAAATTTTTCTATAAGACTAGAAGGTATTTGAAGATAAAAGGAAATATTTTTGGATATACTATTTAAATTTATTTTTGTAATTTTTATGTTTGTTGAAGAGGCATAAATCTTTTTGCTTCCCCTGAAAGGCAAATCCGCATTACCCTCGTAATTTGATTTTCCCCAATCCTCCACATAAATATGACCCTCAAAATATTTAAAAAGTATCTACCGTATTTACTGAAATAGTACGGCCCCCTTTATTAGAACGGCCCCCTCAAATAGTACGGCCCTTTTGATGAGGGTTGAAAAATAGTACGGCCCCCTCAATTAGTACGGCCCCCTTATTAGTACGGCCCCCATTTAAAAAATATAAAAAACAGACAAAATTTGATTTTTTAATCATAGTAATTATTCCTCGCAATATTTAACTAATTTATTGAATCTTAATATCTATTGGTATAGAAATTGGAGTGCTTAAGAGGATATCTGCGGATTAATGGAGATTTTGTTGGATATGGAAGGATATTGATGGACCTGGAGTGATTTAAGTATAGATGAATTTAAATGGATTAGTTGGAATCAAAGTGAATAACGAATAGTTTTTAGTACTAGAAAGTTGGATTGACAACCTTCTATCTAAAAAATTAAGGGCAACTCAAAACATTCTAGTATTTCAATCCATCTTCGTGCCTATTTTTTAAGATGACCCGAACCTTGGCTAAGATAAGATAAACTGGCAATGTCAAGAATATCATGTTTATATTATACGTTGAAGAATGTGAATTATTTAAAAGCACGCGCGGATGCACGCGCGGAAGTACTGATTTTAGGGTTCAGCGTACCGGTATTCAGAGACCTCGCGATCGGGATTAACCTAAATCGGTATCGGGATTTGAGATAATGATACGATACCGGCTCAGGATTTAAAAATTGGTATCGGTATTTTCTAAAAAATTTTAATATGAGCAGAAATTAAATAAATATTTTCTAATTCAAAGATCTTAATAATAATAAACCGCTGAATCCTAACTGATTTAACGCTTGCCTCTCCACAAAACACGAGGTAGACAGTTGCGCATGGCGCTCTACAAAACGCTCTACAAAATGCTTGATACAGATGTCATTATAGACGGGGTCTTAAATGATTTTTAAGTTCTGCTAATTTTATGTTTGGAACAAGCTTTTGATTTGGGATAATTACCGAGCATACTATTTTGGATACTATAAAAAAATTTAAACACAAAAAAAAGATTCAGATAATTTTGAAAAAGGGTTGAAAAATAGTGCGGCCCCCTCAATTAGAACGGCCCCCTCAAATAGTACGGCCCTTTGGAAGAGGGTTGAAAAATAGTACGGCCGGCCGTACTATTTCAGTAAATACGGTATTTACCATAGACATAGAAAATCCAATCCTGCTAGGTAAAATAATCCACGCTTTTAGAGCTTTCGGTTGATATAATAAATATTTAGATTTCAGTATTGTTGGGTTTTATGCAAAAATCAAATCATTTTAATCTTTTATCATTATTTTATATGTATATAAATTGTTAAATTTTTAAGTGAATTTACTTTTTTCCATAAAATTTTAAGAAATTAAAAGAGATTTAAGTGATATAGGTATTTTTATGGTAACATTAAGTGATTTAATAAAGGGCCGATTTTTGTTTTGAAATTTTAATAATTAAATAAATTTTTTCACAGTGTGAAATTATTTTCTTAAATATAATTTTTCGGGCCCCTTTTAGAATTAAAAAAAATATAATTTAAAAAATAAATAAAAAGAAAACATAAATATCAAAATTTCAAATTTAAGATTTTCTATTTTCATTATCTTTATTTTCTGTTTGTAGCCAATAACATCCCCAAATAACAATTAATGCTGATAGTAGAAGGCAAATCTATTTTTATAAAAATAATTTTTTTAATTAAATTTTGGCAAAAAATAAAATTTGAATTATTTTTAGAAAATTAATAATAAATACTGGATTTCTCAATACAAATATTTAGGGAAACTAGTGAGAGTATACCAGATCCTAAATTTCTTTATAAAATTTTGTAGAGAATATTCGACTTCCTATTAATAATTTTTTGGCTTTTCCATCATAACATAAAAATTAATAAGCTCTCAAAATTTTTACATAAGACTAGAAAGTATTTTTGGATATACTATTAAAATTTAATTTATTTTTGTAAAATTTCATGTTCGTTGAAAGACTTCTCATAAAAGGCAAATCTACACTGTCCTCTTTTCCCTAATCCCCACATAAATAACCCTCAAAATATTTAATAAGTATCTATTTACCATAGACATTGATGCCACAATTGAAAGGAAAACAGAATCTGCCATACAAACAAGGTTATGGTCAATTACTTCCTTCTCTGGCAAATAATCATTAATTCTACTTTTATTGCTAAAATTAAAAAAAATTTTTTAAAGGAAATTTTTTCTTTAAAACCCCACCTATTAATTATTTTCCCTTCCAATGTTTGATTATAAAAACGTTCAACTTCTTCTTCCATTTCCCCATCTGCCAAAACACGAATTATTGCTGAAAGAGTTTTTTCACTGTTTGCATCGTTGGAAGATGATCCAATTGTGTTACTATGTCTCTTTTTACGGCCATGGGAGAGGAACAAATCGTTGGTGCCAGAATCGAGACAATTACTCTATTTAAGTAAAATATTTAAATTTAAGCAGTAGATGAACACTGTACTGCTTGAACTTGATGGGAAAATAAAAAATAGAAAACTCGAACTATCTTGGAGGGAAATTATTTAGGGACTCTATTTAAAATGTTGGAATCTAATTTTGTTGGGATCTTAATATAAGCAGTACTTCAAGCAGTACAATCGGTTTATAAACATCGTTTGGATATATACAGCTTGAACTCTATGAAAAAACTTTTTTGAGAAAATATCAAAACAAACAGGAGGACAGCCATTCGGTCCAGCACAAAACATAACAGTACACTGAATTTGGACATCATAAGATCCATCCAAACGAAACGCTTTCAGATCTGCCTTTAGTCTGTTTTTCTCAAAATCTTGCTCAACTGGACCGCACAAAGCTGGGTAACGTGGACATCTTTTTGGAATAGAAATATAAATAAATAATTTTAATTTCAATACCCATTATCAATAATAGTGAAGGGAACAGCTTCTCCTTCCCCACCAACTCTTGTTGCTGTACATTCAGCCAGCATCTTTAGAAAAAATTTTTTTTCAAAAATTTTTCAAAAAAATTCTTTTTTCACCATATTATGTGGTCCAGCTTGTTCACTACTAACAACCATAAATAATGGATCTCCAATTGAAGCCTGTTGTAATGGTTGACCGTCAGCGTCCAAAAATGAAAGTGTTGCCGTAATTGGAGGGGGAGTGCCGGCGTCGAGAATTTGTGGTTCTACTTCTCTTTAAATAATTTTTATTTTTCTTTCACTAAAAATTATCTCACTCTGAGAGGACTGGAAAAATCGTAGCTTATAATGGTGGTGACTTAAAATTGGGGGTACCGGTTATAAGACGCCCCTCCCCACTGGTAACTTTTAAGGACGTCTCTTATATTGGGGTGTAAGCTACCCGACTCTTGGTCTTGAGTCTTGGAAAATTTTCAGTCTTGGGACAGCTCTAGTAAAGGCTATAATACATATAGTGAGATTTGATTTGGTTAAATTTCTAAATAACTTCTTTCTTACTTAGTCTCAAATATCGTAGTAACCAAAACGGTCCCTTCAATTCCCTGTTCTCGCTTTTCCAACATTTTCTCCAAATTCATACTGACATCACAAGATACTCGATAGAAACGATCCCATTCTGTGGTGACTTGATGTGGAAGAACTCCGTCTAATGAGACAACAACTAAAGCTTCCAATTTTCCGTCCTTTTTTTAAAAATTAAATTGGAAATATTTTTCTTAAATTTTCTAGTACTTTAATTGTAGTTCCACAATTGGGCGAAATATTTGGAGGTGGGAAAGTAATAGATATTTGTTTAGCATTTTCAACAACTTGCGAGCATGTACTGAATTTTTCTGCTGCGTAAATAGCTCCAGTATAAGGCTCTTTTGTATTTACTATAAATCTAATTCCTTCATTTGTGCAAAGTGCCATTCCTCCAAATTGGGATTCTAAAAAGAATATTTTTTATTAAAATTCCAAAGATGGACCTCATTGTAAGAGACACCCAGTATTAGATACTCACACTAGGGGATGGGCTGGGTTGAGAAAAAACTCTGTTAGGATCGAAGGTCTGGGAGAAAAAGACCAGGTTTCGGATTTTGAGTAATATGGCACTAGGAGGATACCCTCTATTTAAGTTACCCTCTATCTTCATTATAAGATACATTTCTACAGCAGCAAGGGAGTATTTTCTAGGGAGGTTCAGCTGTATATTAAATTAATTTACCACAATTAAATTCATAAAAGTCAACAGAAGGATTCTTCTTAACATTAGCGTTTGCTTGTCCAACAGCGAATATATGGCAAGTACTTTGTGTACGGTCAAAGTTGAGAGATTTACAATTCAAATTTTGGAAACAAAGAGAAACACAATCCGCAATAGTTACTCCTTGAGCTGTTGCTACAGGTTGTCCTTCAATAGAGACGCCAATAAAACGATTGAATGCTGCTTGTTGACGGCAGGTTGATGAACTTAGGTCGGCTAGAAATTAGGAAGAAATTTTTGGATAAACTTTTGAATTTTTTTTTGAAAATATAGTTGATCCTTGCTATAAGATACACCTTGGGATACTGAAAAACCTTATCTTATAATGAAGGATCTTAACTTGGGCGGCTACTTCCAGGGACAAACAAATCTAAATTAAAAAATATAGAAGGGACCTCCTCGTAGTTATTGCTAGGCGCTTTCGCACACCACATTCAGGACCGGGGCATCGACAAATGATCTCTCATCCTTTTAGATCGTTTAACCCCCGTCTTAGCGTTTTAAATGCTCTAGGTGAATCATCCTTACAATATTAAAAACTGAGTAGTATCTAATATAGCAGGTTCACTATAGGGTACATCTACATAATAGTCAGGTCCGAGACGAAATTTCATCCAAAAAATCGGTCATCTAGATCAAGATTCTCACAGATATCGATCTCATAACTCGAATGATCATTAAATCTGTTGTCTATACTGGGGGTATCTTATAGTATTTCGACTGCAAGTTTCAAAAATAATTTTTAAAATTACCAGAAACACAAATAGGTTCATAATAATCTTTATTTTGAACAGCCCCTTGTTGATCAGCCCTCGAAAAAGTATCTTCATCGCTAACTATACAATTTTTCTCGTTTGGAGAAAATTCTACAGAACGGCAAAAAGTATTTAATGAATCTAGACATTTTTGTAAACAATTAGATTCTTGTGGTTCTACCTTCAAATTAAAAATATTTTAGAAAAAATTTATTTAAAATATTAATTACTGATTGTGTATGGTCATAATATTTAATTTCAAATTGTGTTGTTTTAACAAATACCAAATTTCCTCCTTGCTGGCTGCAACGATTTTGGCCTTTATTTTAAATTGAAAAAATTAATTTTTTTTTACATTAATTTTGTTTTTCTGTTTTCTTATCAAAATAACGAATGTTAATATAGAGATTTATTGTAAGGAAAGGAGGATACAGTTAGCTTGGTTTGGTAACCACAAGGTCATGGTTAGCCTTAAGACCGTCTTATGCTACCGGTAAAACCTCCGGTTGATGGTTACCTAACCAGCAACCGAGCTTTGATATTAAAATGAAAGTGTCGTACAATTAATATCTGTCTGTTATGTTTAATATGTTCTAGCTTAGTATTAGCAAATTCTTCAAAGAGTAGTAATTTTAAAATTTTCCAAATAAACTTACGATTTAAACAATTATTATCGAAATAATCAACAGGCTGGTCTACAGTCATTCTCAAATGTGTTGGTTTCGATCGTCTATCTTCAATACTCATTTCACAAGCATAAGTATCATAATTATAATTAACTGAACGACAAATAAATTCTTTTTCTTTTAAACAAGCACTTAAACATTGTTCGCGACTTGCAACCTTTTTTAAAGAATATTTTTAGTGAAATTAATAAATAGATTTTTTAATTGCTTTAGAATTCCCTCTTCTTTATAATTAAGGAAATATCAATTATCTCATAAATTAATAAACTATCTTCTCATTATATGTAGGATACCCTCTCGGTGCTGAAAAATTTCCTATCTTAAAAAGGTCTCCGATAAAAGTTTTCAATAAGGGCTCATTTAGACAGCATTCAAATAGAGCCAACCAAATTCTAATAAACCCTATTCATATTAAATTGAGGTGTATCTAGTCCCTGCGGGAATAAAAAATTTATGTTCGATTGTTATAGAATTTATGGACATTTTTAAATTCCAAACTCTATAATTCTCCACTATTCCTATCCCCTTCAAATAATTAAAGAAATTATTTACTTGAATACTTTTCTTTACAAAACCCTCAAGTGAAGTTTTTCTTATTCTTTCAAAAGAAAACGATCTATAAGTACATGCTTCGTGAGCATTTACTGCAGGCAAACAAGTCTTTTCGTAATAAAAATTATTGGCTGATGGATTTGGATTTAATTCTGCTTGGCCTGCTGATGGACTTGAAAAATTAAAAAATTAATTTGAGGGAATTTTTATTAGAAAAGCTTAGAGATTTCTCAGCTTTTAGCAATTCTTAAGCAAATCCCATAGATAGGTGGACCGTTTTTAAGTGGAAGACCGTTTTTAGGTGGAAGAAGCTTCGTTTTTCACCTTTTATTTTATAATCCTAACCAGATATTTTCCGCCAAATTTATCTAAAAATTTCTACAATGCCCACAACTATGAGTTCTCGGTTCTTGGAAGACCCTTAGATATTCGGAAACGACCGAAGAATCGAGCCAAAAAATCCTTGGTTCTTTAATTCAGTTCCAAACCGATATTTATTTACAGATTTCCACAAAGACCTTGGAAAGCCCTCTGATCGTTTCTTGGAAAACCCTCTGATTTTTGTAACCGAACCGAAGAACCCAACCAAAAAATTCTCGGTTCTTCGGTTCGGTTCCAAGCCCCGACAACCCTTTCCCCTCTATCCTTTCCAAATCTTCCAAATTATTTCCAATTTTTAATTTCTTACGCAGCAGCATCATCAAAAAAATAGCAAGTTTCCCTTCCATCAAAATTAAAAGAAGCACATAATCTTTGAGCCCCAGTTGTCGGTTCTATATTATTTCGACAATATTGAGAACAAGTTAAATCGTGCCCTGCAGTAGAAACAACTAAAGGCGTTCCATCTAAACGAGCACGAGAAATTCTGACAAAAGTTGCTGTCTCTTGTGGGGCACATTCAAAAATTGAATAAACGGAATTATTTAAATAAATTAAATAAATTATAGAAGAAAATAATAAAAATTTATTTAAATAAATATTTTGTAATAATAACATTTTTCTTTAAATTAAATATGTTGTTGTTTGGTTTCCCAAAATTTTTTCCTAAAATTAAAAAAAAAATATAAAAAAGTATAGAGTATCAAGTAGAGCTTCCGGTAAAATGGAAGTTCCAGGATTTTTTGGTTCCGGTTCCGGCCGAATTTGCGGTTCCGGTGAAGCACTAGTATCAAGCAGCGCTAGGTTTAACTCTAGGAGTTAGCTCAGGAATCGGCTCCAGAGCCTAGATTCTAAAAAAGTAGGAGCCGAAGCTCAACTTTTCTTTAATTCCCCAAGGCTCCGGGGCTATATACTCAATGAACGGTGGAACAAAAAAATTTGGTTTCATCAGGAGCCTGAGCCAATACTTTCAAAACGTCTGAGTCGGAGTTACACGGGGCTTGAGTACATAGACAAGATTAAAAAAGACAAAAAGAAAAATCGAAAATAAAAACAAAAATTTACAAAAAGAAAATTTACAATATTTTCAAAAGATCAGTTGATGATTAACCTAGCAAACAGGCTAAAAATTATATAAATCCAGTAACAGGTTTAACTTGTTTTGTCTATCCTACTACTAGATAGTCTCAAAACCTCTAATATTCTGTTTTAAATAAATAATCTCATTCAAAATAATAAATAATTTTATAAGAAAATTTAAAAGAGAAAAAGACAAGAAAAATGGATTACCGCTGGATGAACACAAAAATTTGGGTCAGATGCCGCTACTTGCTGTTTTGGAAAGGAATGAAGGGTTGGATAGTTTTGTTGTTGTGATGGTTTGTGGGGGGGATTTTATTACATAAAAAAAGTAAAGGGAAGAGAGAGAGGAAAGATGGATTGATGGGGGGGATTTCCGGGGATATTTACCTAAAAATATTTATTTGGTTTTTGGAGAGTTGAGAGAAGAATTGAGAAATAGATGAAGTCAAAAATTAATTTTTTTCTCGTTAAAAACGTGATTATTTAATAAATTATAAAATAATTAAAAGAAATTTTATTTAAAACGAAAAAACAGATTTCACGTATTTGCTAAAATAATTACCCAGAATAATTATTGTTTCAAACTCTCCTGGAGGGAGTAATTAAAAGGAAGGGGGTAATTATTTGAGCTTCTTTAAAATGACTAATTATAACTATTCTTAAGAGGGGTAATTATTGTTTCAATCTCTGGCTGTGTGGGGTAGTTAATAGGTCGAGGGTAATTATTTGAGAGAAGGACATTATTTCAGCATTTACGGTATTCAGGATATGGCAAAATGAATTTTATGATAAAATATTATGTTCGATATGTTAAGGTAAAAGTTTTGAACGACTAAGGATGACGGATCTGTATATCCAGAATCGAAAAAAGACCGATATCAGAAAATTTTTGTTCTGATATTAAATCCGACCACTTGAGGAAAGACTGGACTATTTACGGGGAAAGGGGAGGGATGTTTTGAACTTCTAATTTAATATTAAATCTTATATAGGTGTTTTTAAATGCCTTTTTAATCCTTCCTCCTTATAATATAGTCAAAGAATAAAAAGACAAAAAGATTTTAAATTTTAATTATCAAAAAGCTAGGAAATCTCAATTAATCGAGAGAATAATGTCAATAAAAATAATTAATTAATTGTTCATAATTAATTAATAAATATATTTTTAATTAATGTAAAGCTTATAAAAATAAAAGAAAACTAAAAAATCTTTTTCCTTCAAATAAATATTGAATTGTAATTTTTGTTTAGAATTTTTCTAATTGAATGGAAAGAAAAAATGAATGGATTTTGTATAAAAAACTAAAGAAAAAGTCACTTCTTCCTTTCCAAAAATGCCTTTTCCTTCTTTTTAGTAGACCGTGACACTTTTACAGTTTTTTTGCGCATTGAGGGAGAGATTTATTTGATTTGAGATTTATAAAGAAACGAAAATATATATTGATGTAGAAGGATATTAAAAATAAATATTTAATATAAAAATAATAAATGCTAGTTGAAATTAAATTTTAATTTCCGATTACCTTCATTACAAAGTCTTTTTTGTGTATTTGCTTAATAATTTACTGTATTTGCTAAGATAATTACCCAGCGTAATTATTATTTCAACCTCTCGCTGGAGGGGTAATCAAGAGGGGGGGGGTAATTATTTGAGCTTTTTAAGAATAATTATAATTACTTTTAAGAGGGGCAATTATTTTTTGATCTCTAGTTGTAGGGGGTATTTATCTGAGAGAGGGACATTATTTCAGCATTTGTGGTAGTTTATATTTTTTAAATTAAATATTTAAATTGATAAATTTTTATTAAAAATATATTTCTTTTTAATATTTAAAATATGTATACAAGAGTTCGATCTGAAATGACAGAGATCCAGGAGATCGGAAATGTCGGGAATTTGAAATGTTTCAAAAGTCGGAATTGGAAATCCTCGTAAATCTTAGAAAATCGGAATTCCAACCGATTTCTGATGTATAGCTCAGCTAATTTTAATTTTATCAATTTTCTATTAATTAAAATAACAGAACCAAAAAACATTTTCTTTTATTTTCTCTAAAAATAAATATTTTTTAAGAAATATTTAATTAATTTTTAATAAATTTAAAAAGACATTTACGAACATTAAACTGATGAGAATATAGGTATATTTGTGTTTATGATGGCCTTGACACCAAGAAAATGATTTGATCGTTTATGTCTATATTTAGAGGGAAAGGAATGTACTATTTTATTTAAAGATAGAAAGGGATATATTTAAAATAATGATTTATCTAAATAATATTTGTACTTTATTTGGATTTTTATATTAATAAAATATTTCTAATAATATAACCCCTGCTATATATATAGGGTACGGCAAATTATGGGCACAATTTTTGTCATAATTTTCTTCGAAATTGATGAAAATCGGTATTTTCTTAAATTTTATTCATAAAACTTTAACAAACTTTTTGATAAAAATACTGAAAATTTGGTTCACTGATAGCAAAGAAAAACGAGACTGAACATCTAGAAAATTTAAAAATATTTATTATGCCTAAATTTAATTACATATAACTTCGTTTTAATAATGCAACACAAATGATTTTGGTACTAAACGACTCATCTGATGAAGGAGCATCGAAGTAGCTCATAATCTCATTTTTGAAAATATAACACAAAAATCTTATATTTGCCAAAATTATTTTACAGTAAATGCTGAAATAATGCCCCTCTCAAATAATTACCCTCACCCTATTAATTATACCCCCTACAGCCAGAGATCGAAAAAATAATTGCCCCTCCTAAAAATAGTTATCCGCATTCTGTATTTAAAAGTAATTAATTTAAAAAATTTTTTGAAATTATTTTATTGACTAAAATTTCATTTTAAAAATTTTTCGATTATTTACGATTATGTACGATCTTTTAGTTGGACATTTATTTGAACAAATAATTTTAATTGACGCATTTCTAATTTTATTTAATTCCAAAAATAATAAAATTAAATTAGCTAGCTCAAAACGGCGCAAAACCTCTAAAAGGGAGAGGAAGAGTAAAGTCAGGAATATGGGAAAATGAAAAATTGCTTAACGAAAATTAAATTTTTTCGAAGATATTATAAATAACCTTCTAAAATTATAGGGTTTTTATTTTGGCAGGCCGAAACTTGCGGACCGAAACTTGCAGACCCGACGAATTTCTCGAAACATAGCTCATCGAAAGAGCTCGACGAGCTGAGTCGAATGACATCAAAATCATCGTGATTGTACAAGCTTGGACAAAGTTACGATAGAAAAACAAAAACATAAACCCCTGGTCCGCAAAAGTCGGTGCCTACCGTATTGTGTGCCTACCGTATAAAGTCGTGCCTACTGTATTTTCTCGATTAATTCCCCTGGGGAATTATTTTTTCAACCCTTCCATGGCATGGGGAATTAATCGAGGGAGGGGAATTATTCGAGTTTAGGCATTTGAACGTGCAGTAGGGTATTTGGGGGTGTTTCAACCTTAAAGATAAAACTGTTTAACGGAATTTAAAATTCAATAATAAAAATTTAGATTGAATTAGAAATTTTAGCTAAACCCGTGTTTATTTTTACAACTGCGTCCAAAAGGACCTAGTAAATAAAAAAATTTTTTTTATTATTTTTCAAAAATAGATTTATGTACATAATGTTTACACAAATTTTATTTTATTTTTTACCTTTCAAAATCATTTAAATAAATAATAATTTCTCTCTAAAAATATTAACCCTTCTCTCTAAACCCAAAAACACAAAATAAATAAATAAATTTCTTTAAAAAATTAAAATGAATTTTAATTTAATTAAAATCATTATTTCTTTACTATTTTTAATTATTTTATTTTTGTTTGGTTATATTGAATGTCAAAATGGAGAACCAGGGCAATCAGGATCAGGACAACCGAATCCTCCTTATTGTAGAGATCCAAATGGTTGTGAGTAATTATTATGACGAAAAAAGAATTTAAAAAATCTGGGAAGAAATTTAAAAAAAACTTTTTGGGTACATCTTTCATTCTAAAATAAAAATAAATACTTTTTTTTTTAATTTAAAATTTTTCCTTCACTTTTCCTTTGAATAAAATTATAAAATAGTACAAATTGTTGATAAATATTTCTGTTATTCTTCTACATACTATTAATCCTTAATCCTTGTAAAATTAAAAAATAAATTTATGCCGAAAATTTCTAAAATAAGTAGGGCGGGGACAAACATGCACGCAAAATCGCCAAATATGCGCATATATATGCACCAAAAAATACCAAAATATGCACCAAAATAGGCAAAATTTGCAAAAATATGCACTAAATATGCAACAAAAAATAGTGAAATTGTGCTTTAAAAACAATATTTTAAGTATAAAACAGTAACATAGCCTTTAAGATTTTAATTTAAGAGTCAATTAAAAGTTTTAGAAAAAAAATTTTTTTAAATTTTTTATTAAAATTTAAAAGTTCCAAAAATTTTCAAATTTTAACCAATTTTTATAATTCAATAAATTAAAAAATTACATTAAAAAATACAATAAA